AATTGTTAGCCAATTAAATCTGAGTACACGTTTCCGCATCTTTGTATGCTTATCATTATTTATGTTAATTTTTTTGTTCAGAGTATAAGTTTTTTAAAAATAAATTTAAATTCCTAACCGAACCATGCCACGTTGTAAACATGCATGTCCCTTTGTAATGAAACTTATATTACCAGAAAATGGTTAGTTCTACCATGAAATCTGCCGTTTTGTAGGTAATACGATTTACTTACAGTATTTGATTCTTGGACAAAGTGGTGCTGTTCAAGCCAGTTCTGGTGACATATAAGTAGGATAAAAACACTAAAAGACAGTGTAAGACAACAGTAGGGTAAAAACACTCGTGGTGGTGGTAGTTTTTACTCCGGTTTTCCAAAGCACAGTTCAGCCACCGCATTGTTCCTGGGCAGGAAAGACAGAAACATAAAAGACAACAGTAGTGTTTAAACACTGAAAGACAGTAACATATAAGACAATATAAGGGTTAAAACACTGAAAGACAGTGACATAGACAGTGACATTTAAGACAACAGTAGGCTTATAACACTGAAAGACAGTGACATAGACAGTGACATATAAGACAACAGTAGTGTTTAAACACTGAAAGACATTGACATATAAGATAACAGTAGGGTTAAACACTGAAAGACAGTAACATATAAGACAATATAAGGGTTAAAACACTGAAAGACAGTGACATAGACAGTGACATATTAGACAACAGTAGGCTTATAACACTGAAAGACAGTGACATAGTGACAAACAAGTCAACAGTCGGGCTAAAACACTGAACGACAGTGACATATAAGACACCAGTAGGCTTAAAACACAGAAAAACAGTGACATATAAGACAGCAGAAGAGTTAAACACTGAACTACAATGACATATAAGACAACAGAAGAGTTAAACACTGAAATACAGTGACATATAAGACAACAGAAGAGTTAAACACTGGAAGACAGTGGCATATAAGACACCAGTATGCTTAAAACACTGAAATACAGTGACATATAAGACAACAGAGGAGTTAAACACTAGAATACAGTGACATATAAGACAACAGAAGAGTTAAACACTGATAGACGGTGACATATAAGACAACAGTTGGTTAAACACTGGAGGACAGTGACATATAAGTCAACAGTTGGGTTAAACACTGGAAGACAGTGGCATATAAGACAACAGTAGGGTTAAACACTGAAAGACAGTGACATATAAGACAACAGCAGGGACAGTGACATATAAGACAAGAGTAGGCTTAAAACACTGAAATACAGTGACAAGACAACAGTACGGTTAAACACTGGTAGACGGTGACATATAAGACAACAGTTGGTTAAACACTGGAAGACAGTGACATATAAGACAACAGTAGGGTTAAAACCATGGAAGACAGTGACATATAGGACAACAGTAGGGTGTAAACACTGAAAGACAGTGACATATAAGACAAAAGTGGGTTTCAAACACTGAAAGAGAGATACGGAACCATGCAGTCTAGTTTGTCTTAAACACGTATATTACATGTAATTTATATAACATATTTCAATGAGCAACTTTGTTACAACTTTTCCGAAAAAAATTTTTTATCATTTGTGAATGGCAATGATCTGAGTGATTTATACAGAACTAATCAACGGTGTCCATTGATTTATTTCACTTATTTGGCTAGTATTAAACATTGTAGTTCGTTTGGATATATATCATACCGATAATTATTATTCCATTGACGCATTACTATCCACATCTTCTGTTGTTGCTGTTGTTGTTGCTGTTGTAATAGGATGTTTCCTCGTAGCTTGTCTGCTCGCATGCATATTTAAAGATTATATTGTTTATAATGTATGCTATATAAAGATACTTATGTGATTATACATGTTATCAAGACAGCATACTACATGTTCATCTCGAATGCCTCTTGACGTTTAAAAATAACGTTGCTCAAATTATAACTGTTACATAAATAAATAAATAAATAAATGAATAAATAAATAAATAAATAAATAAATAAATAAATAAATAAATAAATAAATAAATAAATAAATAAATAAATAAATAAATAAATAAATAAATAAATAATTGAATAAATAAATAAATGAAATAATTTTCTCAATAAATTATCATTAAATATGAAATGACGCGAAATAATAACCTTTTATCATAGAAGAACAGCTGAGTAAAGAGGTACTTCGATTAAACAGGTTAAAATATCTATTTTAAAAAACCTGTTAGTCGCTGAAATAATAGAATCAAGTCTTTGGATAAGACGGTAGATCATAGCAACGTTTAGTTCTGTTGTCTGTTTACAATAAGAGACGAGATGGTCTTTAAACCGGGTCCATCAATGTCTGGTCGTCTGCTGGGTCCATCAATGTCTTGTCGTCTGCTGGGTTCATCATTGTTTGATCGTCTGCTGGGTCCATCAGTGTTTGATCGTCTGCTGGGTCCATCAATGTCTGGTCGTCTACTAGGTCCATCAGTGTTTGATCGTCTGCTGGGTCCATCAATGTCTGGTCGTCTGCTGGGTCCATCAATGTTTGGTCGTCTGCTGGGTCCATCAATGTCTGGTCGTCTGCTGGGTCCATCAGTGTTTGATCGTCTGCTGGGTCCATCAGTGTTTGATCGTCTGCTGGTTCCATCAATGTCTGGTCGTCTGCTGGGTCCATCAGTGTTTGATCGTCTGCTGGGTCCATCAATGTCTGGTCGTCTGCTGTGTCCATCAATGTCTGGTCGTCTGCTGGGTCCATCAATGTCTGGTCGTAGGCTGGGTCCAACAATGTCTTGTCGTCTGCCAGGTTCATCAGTGTTTGATCGTCTGCCGAGCGTGGATGATACACAAATAGTGTAATAATCTTGTTCTGGTTCTCGAACAATAATAAAACAGCCTATAATAAAGACTTGTGATACTTTTGTTGTAATACCTGAGATAAAAGTAAAAGTTATAACACATTATACCTGTATAATATTGATTTCTTTGTGATGAAGTCTGTCGCTTTACCTTACGTTTGAACATAGTCAAAAATTGATTGCCCCCTCGGCAGAGTACGGGAGGTGACAGCTGCTTGTACTATCTACGGTGTGCCAGGTTGCTTTCCCAATTTTCATTGTTAAACCTTCAAATATTGATAAAGTACGTTTATTAAAGCGAGAAATGTTCTGTTTTTGATAGCTTGCTTTAAAATATTGATATTGATCTTATTATACAGTGACGGTAAACCGTCCTTTAGTTAAATTTGGAAATGTTTCCCTTATACTTTAACTGACTATTCTACTCTCGTAAAACATTTTTTATATGACATAACATGTTCATTAATATTTGGGCTTAATTTTTATGATTTAAAACAAAAACTTAAAATTTGTTAAACCACTTACTTAGCAACGACATTTTTGTTGTACTCTCGGGAAATTAATTCACTACACTTTACAATTATATGATAAAGGTGATAAAAAAACAACAACAACAACAACAAAAACAAAAAAAAAACAAACAAAAAAAACAAACTAGTAGGGTTAGATAAAATAATGTAAATGTAAGACAATAGGGAACATCTGGAGATAGAATTGAGAGAGGATGAGCGAGATTGCTACACGTAGTTAATAACGCATCTCTGGGGCATTCTTAATTTGGAGAAATTACTTGTTATAATGACACATTTTGTATGAATTTACATTACGGTATAAAACTATAATATAATATTGATTTTTGCGTATATGCATTAAAAAGTAACATATGGAATGTTTTATACTTCACAAAATAAGCTGTTCAAAATATTGACACACGTTTTTGAACTGCAGGTGAGTATAATTTTCTGTGTGTTTTTTTTTCCTTCAGGACATCACGAAAATTATATGAAAGTATTAAAGCTTTATTATAATACATAACTCCCTAAACTTATAACTGCAAGGACCCACTTATGAACCATTTGTTGTTTACTTTTAAAGTATGCGTACATTTTACGCACGTTATTAAAATATAAATACATGTCCATCTTACTTATTATATACAATTAACTCTTCACTAATACTTTAAAGTATGGATTAAAATATGGGTATACTATACGTAAAATTATCTCTAAAGGTACAAGACATTTAACTCTTAAGATATATGCATTATGTATACTAAACTCTATATGTAAAACACATTTAACTCATTAAGTATGCACACATTTAACTCATAAAGTTTATGCTCATTTTACTCATACACTACTAAACTTTCTAATACACGTAACTCTTAAAGTATGCTTGTACTAAAGTTTTAAAGTATGTGCTAACTTTTAAATTCTTAACTTGACAAGGGAGGGTAAAGACGTAAAATAATGTTCAATTTAATTTTATAACCTTTAATATCCAATCTCTTGAAACTTTTATAATGTTACTGTACTCATTAGAATGTATATTTGACGAAGTGCACACATGACTAACTTTACAATGACTACAACTTCCAAAATGGTTCGAAATGGAATTGAATCTAATCTTGTACTTAATTGACATATGCCGAGACAACATGTCAGAAACCGGCAATAAGTAACACACATAAACTGTTAATTTACTAATTACATGCGTTAACGTTTAACGTACACGTAACATAGATTAATTTAACACGTGTAAAATTGAAATTAACGTATACGTAACTTGCATACTAGTAAATGATTAACGTTTACGTCATTTGCATAAAGTCTTAACGTATATGTAACATGCATAAAATATTAACGTTTACGTAACATGCATAAAATCTTAACGTATACGTGAAATGCACAAAATCTTAACGTATACGTAACATGCATAAAATCTTAACGTATACGTGAAATGCATAAAATCTTAACGTTACGTAACTTGCGTAATGTCGTAACGTATAGGTAACATGCGTAGAGTCATAGCATATAGGTAACTTGCGTAAAGTGTTCATGTATATAGTCTTATTCTAAAATATGTTTTATAAGTTTTACTAAGATAAGTAGTATTTATGTTTTACTAAGATAAGTACTATTTATGTTTTCAGGAGAGCATGTCGAGCATCAACAGTGAAATGAGCACAGAAACCAGCTCATCTCCTCTTCGTGAGGGAACCAGTCCAAAGCCAGAATCGAAAACAGGTACATGAACGTTTAAAAAAATTGAAATTGTAAAATAAATACCACATGGCTTTTTAAACCTTATAATCATTACATTGTGGACGTCACATTCGATATTGAGAAACTTTATAAATTTTTATATCACTCGTTTTTGTGTTGATAGATAAATAGTGATTGTACTGAAAAGATTTAAAATGTAGTAAAAACGTTGAAGATTTAAGGATCAGATACGTATATACAATGTATAATATTTTTTTTACAAAATAGGATGCAGAAAACGATTACTTTCTTTAACAATGTTAAGCGCAACAGTCACTTGACGTAACGTTGTCAGAGTGTAAGGTTTCGCAGATACGTGGTTGACATATAAATCTAAATTCAAACTTAGCATATATTTCCTCAGTAAGCGCCTGTCACTGATTTTTGGGGGAATTTTCTAAGGATTTGGAAGATTTGTGGAGAGACACTGAGATCTGGCGAATATTGATTCATCAGAATTTGCTCTCTTATTCCCAGCAACTGGTTCAACAAGGGGGTTTTGGTAAATACATAATTCATGTTTTCTAGCGGTCTTCGTCTTTTCTTGGAGACATAAGCCAGCCGTGGGAAATGTTCCCAGAATCATATCACTCATACGCAACAGGCGAAAAATAGCACAAATATGTCTTAAGCAATGCTAGCTCGTCTATGAAAATAAGATTCGTTTCATTTAAAATGCAGGAACATGTCTCTCCTATTTACAACATTTTCTTTTTTCTGTGGTTGAGAAGACATTTTATACGAGAACTTTGTGTTTGTTGAGATTCTTTCCTTCTAAGCACAGTTTAAGCTCCTTAAGGTGTTTAAAATGTGACTTATAAAAAATGGAATAAGCGTGTATGGTAGTGATAAATGTAACTTCTGCTAACAGACTATTCTATTTCACAAATATTTTGTTGCTTGAAGTGTGCTCTATTTCCCGCTAAGACTTTTCATTACATTGCCAAATTTAGAATTTCCCGGAACGTTTAAGAGCCTAAGATTTATTTTAAAGCCACTTGTCTCGATGCGATAACGCCAATTTCTTAAAGCTAAAATCAATGGGCCACCTAAAATCTGTCTCTCTTCATGTCACATTATGACGCAGCTTTTATGATTCGGGAAAATATCAGCAGGTAAATGAATTGAGAACCTCCCAGATTTATGAAAAGGAGGAATAAAAATCAATGTCACCCTTTGAGAACAGTCAATAAAGACAGTTCTTATCGGCTTTTACCATGACCCGCGCTTCGTATCAAATGGAAGCTTTAAAATTTCTGACAGTGCCTTAAGCAGGGAGTGCTCGTAACGGCACCTGTTGCTATGGCGACATTTTTGGAGATTTTTCTTTTCTTGTGACTAAGAGCGTGGTAACAAATTAAGTTTCTAAGTTATGAAGACTGGTGTATTCATAGCAGCGAATGTTACATAGTCAATAACAATAACTCTTTTTCAAGACATGAAAACATTCAATACGATAATTATAATGGAACATTAACAGTCATATTGCATTTTGCTTAGTAATGCCGTCATGCCCTCCTTTCAAATAAACTTGTTTTCAAAAAGCAAACATACTCAATATTTTATTCTATATTTAAGTGTTTCCAGGTGTTTATTTATTAATTTGAGCAAGAATGAAACATATAAAATAAGCAGCTTTAATTGAATATGTTAACTTGTTGTTATATGGTAAAGGTGTATAGCAGTTAAAGGTAAAATAATGTGTTTTACGGACAGATCGATATATCGCCTAGTCTCGAGTCACGTCTTTTATCTGTCAGCGAATTCTGCCTTTTATCAAACAACAATCTGGAGACAATTTTGTGGAAAGTTGGTTTCTTATTGATTGCTTTTTTTATTGTTCCTCGCGCACCTGGATGTCGCGAGAGCGTTCTTCTTGATTTTAGCGACTATATAGGATCGTGCTTATTTGTAGGTTTTTACATATTTTAAAAGATTTTACCAATAAATGGTGCAATTTGTGAATTTTTTTCCCAATGGATGCGAAGACCCATTAAGAACAAAGTAAAATGAGTTGGTAAATGTAATATTGTGATTGCTGAAGATGTGCTTTTTCTTTCTTCCACGAAATTGACAACAATTGAAGCATATTTATCATACATTATTGTTTGAACCTTTTGTCTGCTAATGTTCCATGAGAGACTAAATTGACCCATTCTATTTTTCCTTGTACATTTTTTTTGCCATGCTGTGCAGTCATATTTATTTATATATAGGCTTTGAATGAACTATCGATCATTTCTAAATATTTTCAATTTCTATCTTACTTCAGACGTTACTCCTGTGAAAGAAAATGGTACGTCAAGCCCTGTCCCTAAATCAGTAACGCCCGTCCCTGCAGGAGATGACTTTTTCCCATTAAACATGAGTAATACACCAAACTCATTATCACCTGTATCACGTGACGAGAGCAAAGGTCACCCGGAGAGAAAACGGAAGTACAGTGATGATGACAGCTTAGAGGTATGTTGTCACCAGTTCTTTGACATGTACCTCAAATATTCACTGCCTTTACCAAGTTCAGTTTTATTTTCATTATCATTTTCCAAGTTCTTTTACCATTTTTTTCAAACTTTGCAAAGCGCGTTTCTTTATTTATCATTCAATTAAAAGATTGACCAAATTAAAAACAGACAAATAATAAAAATGTAATTGCTAGAAGTTTTAAAATATATAAAGATATAAGAATACTACAGATTCTTTTATTGCTGGTAATATAAACGTTGTTATATGTTACAGACCTCGTCTAAGGCTAGTGAATCTGGCACCCTAGATGATTCTATCGTGAAAGATGACGATGATGACAACGATGATGATGATGAAGACAAGGTTCCACCAGGATCTAACATTGACCCGGAGAGACTTAAATCTTTTAATGTAAGTTACTAGTACAATATGAACTAAACCCAACATTAACCGCTATAGAGTTACAAGTTCTAGAAAAATGCATATTATAGTGTGCTTCGGATATTCGTACGTGTGTTACTTACTTTACTTACTATGGAGATGAAAATTTATGTCAACTTTCCATTTACGATAAAACAAATTAAATAAACGTGATCTAAAAATGTTTCAACATAAGTTGTTTAACATTTTAGCTAAAAAACTGTTTCTAATAAAAATGCATTTGCATAATTCTGCGAACTTTCAGCACAACCTTGGTATAAATAATGTTTGAATTTATCGCTAAGTATCGGTGCATGTTTTTTTCTACAGGATTTATTCTCCCGATACACATGTATCTGGTACGGTGAAGCGGTCAATTAGTAAAGTATAACTATTGATATCATACCAGAAAGTCCAGCTTTGAACATATTCCTTTTATCTTTTAACATTTCAATTTTCAGATGTTTTGTCGTTTGTTTGTTGATGAAAACTTGGACAGAATGGTTCCGATTTCTAAACAGCCGAAGGACAAAGTACAAGCTATTCTCGACGCATGTGATAGACAGTTTCCGGAATTTCACGAAAGGGCACGAAAAAGAATACGGACATATCTGAAGTCTTGCCGTCGAATGAGGAGATCGAAGGAAAATGGCTGGGAACCAGTATGTATTTTTCTGATTATATCTGATGGTGGTACTTAACCCATATCTTTCATCCAATGGACTTCGATTTTTCTGAACTATCCAACTCTAATTTTGTGGTTTCAACATGAAAATTGTATGTTAGTCAACCAACCTTATTGAACCCGGTCAGATTGTACGGGTGTGCAGGCTGGCCTGGCTTTAGACATTGTATGAGACAAAGGATATACACCTTCGAGTAAGCAGGTTAATGGTTTAAGTTTTATTTGAAATATTAGAGCTATTTCTACAACGTTTAAATATTTTATGCACACATTCTTTCAATTTTGTAATCAAATTATTGTTGTTTTCCTTTTCGTTTCAAGTTGCGACCAACGCCGCCACATTTGACGTCTGCGGCAGCAGAGAGCTATCTTGCCCAGGCATGCGAGAACGAGAGTATCAATGCCAAGAGAATGAGGATGGGGCTTGAGCCCTTACCAGTGAGTTTTATTCCATGCACTGTGCCGGAACTCTTAAAGTCTTCTCAAACCAATTAAAATCATAAAACTCATTACAATTCATAATGATGTTTTCTTTAAAATCATTAAAAAATACTGTTTACAAGCCTATTCTTTTATACTTTTATAAAGATACCTTATATAGAGAGTTAGAAACAAACATAATATAATTGATATTTAATGTGATATAAAATAGTTTCCTGACACACATGTAACAGATATTCACCACGTTTTACAGGCGAGTGCTATGCCTATCACACACCATCCACCCGCTGTTGTATCCACACTGTCTACACCACAGAAGACCAACTCAGCGCAACCCTCACCTCCCCCGCCCTCACGCTCAGAAAATAAAGACAGTGGAAAGGATCAAACTCGTGAAAATAGCCAATCGTTGCTAACCTCGACTGCGGCCACGCTTAGTCATGACCGCCACACTCCTGTCACTGTATCCACGGCAGACTTCATCCGCCATCCTCCTCCGCCAACAGCGTTTAGGCCACCTCCAGAATTCCCGCCATTTTTTGCTAACGGAAATGGATTATTCCGTCCTGGTTTCCCGGGTTATCAACATCCGGCTCATCACCATCCACCTGTATTACACAGCCCTATTCAAGCAACAAGTCTGCAAAACGGTGAGCGTACGTGAATATTATAACAATTTATTTAAAATTACTCTGTCGAAAATTATATGAGTTTTATGATAATGTAAATTATGATAAGATGATAGTTTGTGTCTATACTAATTATACAAAATAATAATGGTTCACTATTTATTAAATAAATCAAAGTATACGTTACACACTGGCCAATTTTCTAGGCTCACTGAAATTACAAATAAAATTGCAACATCGTTTAAAGGGAGACAACTTAAATAACTTGTACAAACCTGTTTTATTTACAGAGACATATTTATGACTTAAACTAGATCTACACTCTTCATGATTAATATCATTTTATTTTCTACTCTTCCATAGGTCCAACAGATCTGAGCATGAAAAAATCCTCGTCGAAAAATCAACTTAGTTCAAGTGAAATAACAACAATAAAACAACTAATTTCCGGGTACAGAGAATCTGCAGCGTTCTTGTACAGGTCGGCAGACGAACTAGAACAACTGTTACTTCAACAGAACTAGTTTATAAAACATTGTCGGTCCCGTGCATGTGATTATCATATGACAATAGTTTAACGTGCAGGCCAAACAACAAAAGAAAGCGCAAACTTGACCTGTAAGCTTGAGAATGGATGGTTCTACAAAATGGCTTAAATTCAAGTTGAAATTTTACATACCATGTGCAATATTATTTGATAACTATCTAGTCTATTTTAAGTTGTTGTGTAAAGATTCGAATGAAAATGCCAGGTGACATTTAGGGATGCACATGTACTTAATTATTCTTATGTTCAAGGAACAATGGTGATGTTATCATTTCTGTGTGGTTTGCATCATCAAGATTCATAAATTCGATCGACGATGTTCAGAATTCTAAGATAGATATATAAGTTATATAGGTGTGTATCTTCTGCTACACAGCCTGTACGGTTGAAACTTGTTAAAAAATTATACTGGTGCCTTGATGAAATAATATCAAGATTTGAGCCACGCCATGACAAAACCAACAGAGTGCGTTTGCGACCAGCATGGATCCAGACAAGCCTGCGCATCCACGCAGTCTGATCAGGATCCATGTTGTTCGCTTACAAACCCTATTACAAGTTGAGAAACTGATAGCGAACAGCATGGATCCTGATCAGACTGCTGGTCTGGATCCATGCTGGTCGCAAACGCATTATGTTGGTTTTGTCATGACGCGGCATATTTGTTTTTCTCCTTCACTGATAGGAAATTACAAGGGTATCTCCTGTAATTTATTTTAAAATTGTTGTAAATCTATTTAGAATACATCCCAAGTTTTTATTGTGATCATATATTAATATTTAAGCTCAGTTATAGTAGATAAATGTATATTAGCGCTATTTTTTCACACCATTCCAATGAAACAAGGTTGTGCAATTCTATATTTTATATTTAATAAATAAACAGTGAAAGTCAGATTTTAGCTAGTATTAGTGACCAAATGAAAAGGTATAAGCAAAATAACATTGTGTTTTGCTGCAAAACGAGAAGTTCCTTTACCTTTAAGAATAGGTAACATTATATTCTATATACATGTATAACAAGCCTCTTTGGCTTTATTACAAACAGTTTTTGGCTGAATTGTCTGCTTTCATTAAAGCTGAAAGAACATGCTACTAGCTTTCTTATTTAGTTAATGATAAAAATGTTGTAAATCCCTTTTGATGAATCAACCTTTGTGCTAACTTTTATCAAACAATTTTTTTGTTCGTTTTAAAAACATATTTTTGCATCGATGTAAATTTATCTTGATATAAGATATTGATAGCATATTTTATATTTGTATATATATTGACTATATATTTGTTCATAAAATGATATTTTTATTGTAAGTGCATGTTAATGCATATATAAGTTATTTGTATTGTTACACATGCTTGCCTTCACTGTGTTCTAATATATAAATTAATATATGGAACAGTTTACCTATATTTTATATAGAGATAACGGGGAAACTTGATCAATCAACTTAGTATATCATAATTAACATGTATATATGTGTGATCACGAGCGACCCGTGAATATATAATTATAACTATGTATACTTGAATATAATGTGAGTATATGTTTACATTAGGTATTTACATATTATCAAACATTGTTAGTTCACCAATTCATCAGTTACAAGCACGCTTTCCACTGTAGTGCTAGGTGTTTTTAAAGTCAAGAAATGTATTTTTCAAATCCACAATTGAAAAATATTGATTAGTAAGAACAGCTGTTTCAGTCGCGAAACACACAATGTAAACTATATACTTTAACAGGCTATTATACATGTATGAATAGCCGTAATTTTACAGTGACCTATCAAATCACAAAATAAATAGATCAGGTTTTTAAGATTACTTCTATTTATTGTTATGATTAAGTGAAGAATTATTTAAACTTCTTGTCCCGACCTAGCCTATTTACCAGTATAATTTAAACTGTGTTATATCATTATATATTATACACCATATTTGCAAACAGCATATATGTGATGACACAAAGTTTTTATAGTAAAGTTTTAATTTGTTTGTTTTTATATAACTGTCTCATGAAGCGTCTTTGCTCAGGTCACATCAGATGTACATATACATGCTATCTCTAGCATCATTATTTATATGTTGTTATATGTGTATTTTATTTATATATTGTGCTAATTTAAAAATTGAGCCGCGTCACGACAAAACCAACATGGGTTTGCGACCCGCGCAGTCTGATCAGGATCCATGCTGTTTGCTTACCAACTCTATTACAAGTGGAGAAACTGACAGTGAACAGCATGGGGTCCTGATCAGACTGCGCGGATGCGCAGGCTGGTCTGGGTCTATGCTGGTCGCAAACACACTATGTTGGTTTTGTCGTGACGCGGCTCAAATGTTTTACAGATTTCTAGTCACGATGAACATGTTCACATGGAGATCATAACTTGAGGTTTTATGCCTTTAAAGTTTTCATGAGCAGGTTCCATAGACAGTTTTGAGTCAGTTTATTATTTAGGTCAAATGTGTTATTATATTTTTTACTTTTTGAGCAAGTGTCGGCAAGTGATTTTCTTCAAGTGCACTATTAGTTCGTTATTTTTAGTTTTAAGTCGAAAATTCATGAAAACTACTAGTACATAATGTATATGGTAGTATATATTCGTCATGCAAATGAATTTTTTTATCATACATTTGACATTGTTAAACCAGTTGAATATTTTGATGAATAAAAATTGGCATCTAATGGCAACATAATTAGAACATGTAAATGAGGGAAGCACTGGAAATAATGACTAAACATATTCTATTTTGACTGATAAAATAGGCAGCGTAACTGTTCTAGTCATTTGAACAAATATTATAATTATATAAGTCTACTATAAATCACTAGATTTGTTTTGCTAACAATGAACTTTGTTAATCGTTCATCTGATTTTCATGTTTATAGTTTACATTAAATTATTTTTAAATAAACAAATTACAAATGTTTAGAATAATTTACATTATACACGCTAAGGGCAGGTAATTTTGGTTTTGCAAGCAGAATTATTCTGCTTGGGAAGAGTGATGTATTTAAACTGAGGATTTATCGTTTGATGACCTCCCATCTGCCGTATTTAGAATAAGGACCTCACATTTGGGGTATTTAGAATAAGGACCTCACATTTGGGGTATTTAGAATAAGGACCTCACATTTGGGGTACAATGTATTTAAAATAAGGACCTCACATTTGGGGTATAATGTATTTAAAATAATGACTTCATATTTGCACATTTTGCTTGTTATTCTCTACAGAAATGCTTTTTTTCAATGATTTTGATTCATAGACAGTGTAAATGTTTGAGGTTTTATTCTTTATTTCATAGATATTGGGGATACATGATGTCTATTTTCTTGATATATTTCATTATATGAAATAAAGTGTTTTATATGAATATCGTGTTTTCATTTTTTTGTCTAGTGATGAACATTACGAACATTAAGTGTATTAAATTGCTTAAGAACATAATTGACTACAAGAACAGTGGATGCAGGAGTGACAGCTGTGAAGGCCTGTTGTTAGGATTTTTAAAATAAATGGATAAAAATAAAACAATACATAGAGGATATTCAAGTTTCTTTTCTATTAATACAATCGAGTGGTATGAAATATGGAAATTTTCATATCACAAGATGAAAATAAACCCTGTATGCATAGAAAAGAACTTGAATTTTCTGTTTACTATATCGTACTTTTTCTCTTACTTGACCTTACAATTCTTAAGAATTCTCCTTTAGTTTTGTGTATTGGCTGAATTAAGAAGAAAGAAGTCCGGCAAGACATCAGTGAAAATACGGAAAACATGTTTCACTGCCGTGAAAAATAATTTTTTACAGTGAAAATACGGAAAATGAAAATACTTATTTTATCTTATGAATGCTTCTCAATATTTCATTTATTGGTATAAAATAAATAGGTTTATGGTTTATTCTTGCCGTTACTAGTTCAATCTGAACTGACATCAGTTAACACAATAAACAATTTTGTCTATGGACGAAGTTAAAAGACTGGTACTAATAAGGCGTTGTTCTAATGACATTTCATACAACTCAACAGTGATAAATCGAATGTCGAGCTGAATGTTTAATGTCGATCTCTGTGCAAACTTCATGGACTTTTTTAATAAGATATTTTAGCGTATTAAATATTAAATATTTTGAAGGCATTTAATAACTAGTACACTGTGCTATATTTATTATCATAAAGAAAATAACAATACAAGTGATAACGGTGTATATGTATACATCACTGTACCATCAACTCATCGATGTGACAGATGGTATATGTTTATATATTCTCTTAATGTATATACATGTATATACATACATTGTAGCTTAATATTACATCGGATACAACATAACAAATAATTGTAGAACAAGCATGGATAATATAAACATGGATAACACAAAGGAAACTAATGGGAACCGGAAGTCAATTTCTGAAAAGGTCCGGACAATTTTACTCAACAATCTTCTTATATTCCTTTTGATTCTGTCATTAATTCTGGGTATCGGACTTGGTACGGCTCTTCGGACAGTTCAACCACCACTCAAATCTCGGGATATCGGGTATCTACGATTTCCGGGTGATTTACTCATGAACATGTTATCATTTCTGATTGTTCCACTTATAATCTCCAGTCTCATTTCCGGTCTTTCATCGCTGGATACGCGTGCTTCCGGTAAGATAGGTCTTCGCGCCATAATATATTATTTAACAACAACATTGGCTGCGGTTATACTGGGTATTGTTTTGTCTGTGACCATACAGCCAGGGTCACGTGGTGGAGATCCGGATGACATTATACAAGGTGATGGGGACCGAGTCGTCAATACTGTAGATACGTTCCTAGATCTCATCAGGTAGGTGTAATAGGTATAATATGCACTGCGGTATACCGTACCCCGGATATTGCTCGATATAATGAGGACTTTCATCCCATTTCGCGACTTTGAACGAGGAAGGAAGGTAAGTTCAGTGACGATATTTAGTCATTTTGAATTGGTTTGATATAAATTTTATAGAAAAACAAATACTTCGATAATTTCTCTAGTTACTGAAACCCCAAAAATGTTGAGAAATAGCTTTGAAATGTAATTAGGAGGTAAAATTCGTCTCTTTGCTCACGTGATAAATGAGCTTGGATCAGTCAAATTTGATGTTTTTCTGCATATACTTCCTTAAAAGAAAAACTTGAATCGAGTGAAATGTGTTAATGATGATAATGTTTATGTTGTAAATGTTCAATCAACAATAGACCCTCAGATGACAGTGCATTTTGAGAATAAATACACATGTCAGTGTACCGAGTATTGCGTTGGAGTTGCCCGCCGGTGTCACGAGTATTGCCTTTAGTGTAACGAGTATTGGTTGTCAATATCGAGTAAACACAGAGTATTTACCACATTTAATCTTAAATATATCTTATATTGTGTATACTTATTTACACTTTATGTGCAGAATAGGCAGGGTTCGGAGGTACTGGAAACATCTGCGAATAATTTTTCATTCCTGTTCATGAAAAATCTCAGTCGAACGAACTCAGCAATTTTCTGTGTTTACAAAGTTCTCGTTGCTATCGAAGGAACAACCTTTCCAGAATTTGTTAATAATTATTGCATATCTTACTTTAAATAGTAAAAAAATGCATCCAAAGTGCATTAATGCTGCCTCAAGATTGTCAATAGTAGACGGTATTGAGCAAGTGTGTCACGGTTCAGAACTGTTCACTAATTCCCGGGACCCTCGGAATACCGTACCGCGGCTCTACCGACTGAGCTATCCCGCCGCATACACATCATCACCCCGAAATAGTGAACAGTTCTGAACTTTCGGTCATTTTTCACCTGCACTTTAGCAACGGCAGACCGTCTGCACGTGAAAATTGTTACGTCATTAACAATGAGTTACCGTATGACTGTCGAGCGGGTACAGCTCAAAAACCGAATAATGGATTTTAATAAGATTATGATTAAAGGCAGCAGATGCAATAAAAAGGTTATGTTCTTTATAACCTTTCACCTCATAAAGGCGTGTTTTGAAGGCTTCACACCACACCCCTTTTGAGGCCTCAAATAGTGTAAAACATGCACTATTTAGGCCCCAAACACCGGTTTTGTCGTTTGAAAAATGTTGTTTAAAAGAGTGATCATATTTTCGGCGCAACCCCCATTAAAGAGGTACACCAAGGGGTTGCCACAAAGGGGATGTGCCCCCTTCTGTTTGAAGGGGGGCAGTAGCCCCTCTAATCGCCGAGAAGATTTGGGACTTGTGGGGGGGAGTAAAATGGCCTCAGGTCGATTTAAAGATGCCGTGTAATCAACGCCGAAAAGCCTTAGACTTTATCTCAATCAATTGAGAAGTTGCTGCACATTGAAATCAGTTTTTATGGGAAAAAAAAACAACGCAAAAAAGAGATTTCTGGCAATTTTGAGACGTCCTCCCGTTGCCATGGTAACTGGAAATTTAAAATTGAGCATGCTATTCCACAGGCCATGGTCCAGCCAACATTTGTGCCCATTTTGATCAGTATTGAAGCATTTTATTTTTGTTTCAAAGCAGATTGAACTTGTAACAGGAGGCTTAACTCGTGGGGCGTCCGTGGCCGAGTGGTTAAGGTCGTTGACTTCAAACCACTAGCCCCTCACCGCTGTGGGTTCGAATCCCGACAGGGACTTTGGATTCTTTCATGTGAGGAAGCTATCCAGCTAGCTTACGGAACGTCGGTGGTTCTACTCAGGTGCCCGTTTGTGCCTGAAATAATGCACGAAAGGGCACCTGAGGTCTTCCGCCACCAGTAAAGCTGGAACGTCGCGATATGACCTTTACTGTGTCGATGTGACGTAAGGACCCAAACAAACAAACAAACTAATCAATGAAAAAAGCCATTTTTCGCAATATGCTCATGCAGTAAAAGGTTAAGACGATACCGGCATTTTTGGACGGCATAAGCCCGCGGGCCAATATTTTTCTACCTGTGTCAATATGTTTCTTAAGGCAAACTTGTCCTGTAAACACCTATTATTAATGTCATCTAAATATGTTTTTTATTCTTCTTCTTTTCAGAAACACATTTTCTTGAGACATGTACTTAAAGATTTTGTCGTCAATTTTGATGGTTCTACCCTGCTTCCGACCCTGCTTCCGACCCTGTACACACTTTATTTCATCCAATGTGTGATTTTCAATCAAATGGGAAATTAAATCTCTGATTTGCCCGTAAAAAAAGAACAGTAATAACACTGAAAATGCATTGTTGAATCTGAAATATTTTAATAAATATCACATAAACAGTACATTATCAGCAAAATAAAATGGAATCGATAAACAGACGTATAAATAGGCAAAAATATCGATTTTCCATACTAATGTGCTCATTCTGTTTTGCAATACACTGTACACTTAAGTTGGGATATTTTGCAATACTCTGTACACTTAAAATCAATACTCGGTACACTTTCTTCTATCTTTTTTGGCCTGTATCTTTTTGTACTTTCACACTTTTTGCCTGAAATTTGAACACAGCATACTTGGATTGTGAATAAAAAAATTGCTCGATTCAATTTTTTTTATATTGGTAATATTATAATTTCTAACGATTCTACAGTATCGCGGTCAGTATTTTCTAGTGAGCAGCGGATCGTTTAGGGGTAGTTTAATCAATTTTACAAATACCTGTAATACCTTTATGTCTTTTAGAGCTACAAAAATACCTCTAGATATATAAAACCAGTTTAGATAGATGAAATGGCCATTAGTTTGGAAAATATCGTTACTGAACTAACCTTCGTTCCCCGTTCAAAGTCGCGAAATGGTATGAAAGTCCTCATAATATCGAGCAATATCCGGGGTACGGTATACCGCAGTGATATGATGCCATTAAAAATTATTTTTTATAATTGCTAGCACGTCTTAATTAATAAAGAATTAACTAATTCTGTGTAAATGATAGTTTTAAATGATTTCAAACTTCATTAGATTTATTAAATAGACGTTAATCCATAAATCTAAAATATAGTGTTTTTTATTTCGTTTCTGATTTCCCCATAAAAATGTCCGGCGGGATATGAATTTTTATAGTATTTTCTGTAAAATTGTCGTTATGTGTTACCTCAATTGAAAACGATTAGCGTCAGGCGACTTTCTTACTCCACAAACAACATGTATTTGAATTGAACTGATATTATAAAGTTTTTCAAAAATCATGTGATGCGAATATTGTTATGTTGTGTATGCAATTTGATATGACAGTTTCTTGAAATTCTGAGTTTTGTTTAATTAAACGCGTTTGATACCAAGAATTAAAATGACACTTTAAACATTACCATTCAAAGTTGTTATGTTCTGTTCATTAATACGAATTTATATTTTTATCTATGTCCTGAGAACATTTTTATGATAGATATAACAACTACATGTATTTTTATTCGTTTAATTTTGTTCCTTACATTATTCAGGCAATGTTTTCCAGATAACATCGTAGAAATGTGTTTTAAAAAGGTAAATATAACGAACAATCCGTAAAATTAAAATTAAGCCGTGTCACGACAAAACAAACAAAATGGGTTTGCGACCAGCATGGATCCAGACGAGCCTGCGCATCCGCGCAGTCTGATCAGGATCCATGCTGTTCGCTATCAGTTTCTCTACTTGTTATAGGGTTTGTAAGCGAACAACATGGATCCTGATCAGACTGCCCATCCGCGCAGTCTGATCAGGATCCATGCTGGTCGCAAACCCATTATGTTGGTTTTGTTGTGACGCGGCTCAAATGCTCTTTGTGATATCAAAATTAAAATGCCCTTACTGCCCTAAAATGACTAATATAAAATTAACTAATAATCAATTTAACTCCTTTTTCACGCAGTCTGTTCTCAAACATTATAAAATGCATAATATAATTGTCATATAAGCATGTATATTTAGAACTTACTTTTTTACAGACTCTAACAGAGCAAGTCTTGAAAAATGATACAACTGGGAAGACGGTTGATGACGTCAACACAACAACCGTATCCATGGTGACGACAAATAATCCCGACGGGACAGTCACCCCAGACAATGGCATAATGGTTGGTAAGTATTTCTAAAAGTCATCAACGTTTAGTTTTTAAATTACTTTGATTTGTTTTTCTTATATTGAATTGAAAAAAGAAGAAACCATGTAAATTCCAAGAAAAAAATTAACACACAAAACTGTTTTCCTAAATCGTTTAATAATTTTTATACAATTATCTAATAAAAAGACTGCACTAAAGGAATTTAACTTATAAAAAAGATCGTATTTTGATTGTCTTCACAGAGCCTGTGAAAGTATATGAGCCAATGTTGGTGAAACAAGATGGTATAAACGTGCTAGGTATGGTTGTGTTCTCAGTATTTCTCGGTGTGATCCTCGGTAAGATGGGACCTCGTGGGAAACCTCTTATTGACCTGTTTGATTGTATCTGTGAGTCCACCATGATCCTTGTCAAACTTGTTATATGGTAGGTATAAGATGATTTCAGCGGACACACTATGACCTTTGTCATGCTTGTTACATTGATCTATATATCATTTTGGTCCTAGACTTTTACCTTAGTTGTGGTTAGGTAGGTAGTTGATTATAGTCAACATATATCTCAGGTATTTTAAAATGTGTTGCTATGAGTGTCGAGTTTAATACATAATACATTTGTAACATGAATAGATGTATGATATGTGTTTTCACATTGTCATAGCAATAATTTCCAGAACAATATATTGCAGGTATTCTCCTATAGGGATTATGTGTCTAATAGCAGCCAAGGTTGTGGAAATAGACGATCTGGGAAAAACATTTGAACAACTTGCATTCTATTTTCTCACCGTGATGCTGGGTCTATTTCTGCACGGGTTTCTCACGTTACCTCTCTTATATTTCGTTATTGTCAGGAAGAATCCGTTCTTATATTTGTATGGCGTCTTAGAGGCTATTGTGACAGCTCTTGCTACTGCATCCAGGTAATACTTGTCATTGATTTCTACATTGTTGTAAAGATTTGATGGAAAGTTTAGGCAAGTGTAGTACAGCAAAAGATAACTACATGTGCTATTATATCACATATAGTTCGTCAAATATTGATATCAAATATTGACTGTGTCTGTTAACACATAAATTGTATTTTTTTTATAAATTCTGACCTTTTTGAAGAAAAAACAACAACACATTTCAAGCAAGTTTTAATAAAGGCCTTGTAACAAGTTGTCCTTTATTTAAGTTCTGCCACAATGCCTGTAACAATGAGATGTTTAGAGGATAGGAACGGTGTTGACAGCAGAGTTGTTAAGTTTGTTATCCCGGTAGGGGCGACAATCAATATGGATGGTACAGCACTGTATGAAGCAGTTGCCGTTCTTTTTATTGGACAAATGCGAGGTTTCGATATGGATATAGGACGCATCATCACAATAAGGTAATGTGCATGTATACTTGAGTTTTTTGAAAACCGTTCGATACAGTAAACTTGCTGCCAACCTTCACCGATATTATCAAGCTGTACTTAATATACCAATAATAAAGTCTGAAAATTTTTCGAAAATAAGGCAATTTTTAAGAAAATTTGTTTTAACTGCTCCTTATCGATTCTTGAATTTTTAAACAAATTCCTGGGAAGGAATTCGGGAAAATATAAGGCCCTGTTAACAATGATTGTGAATTATCTGTCAAATAAAAGCAAATTTTAAAATGCAAGGGCAGATAACTCGAGGTTCCGCGTAATATGTTTCTGTTATTAATCTGTATTCTAGGATTCAATTGTTTAAATATATTTTTCATCTTGTTTTTATTGTCTGATAATTCTGTTGATTCGTTATAGTGTGACAGCTACAGCGGCTGCTATCGGTGCAGCGGGCGTTCCACAAGCCGGCCTTGTTACCATGGTAATTGTATTGTCTGCTGTCGGGTTTCCAACTGAAGATGTCGCTCTTATATTAGCAGTTGACTGGTTGTTGTAAGTCAGCTACAGTACTGTGTGTCATTTAGTATTTGAGTATCTGGAAAACGCGAATCATAAATAATTTCATTTTATCGTCAGATGTTCATACTCGCATTTTGCGTTCATCATCTGATTTTCAACTTTATACCCCTAGACCAAATACTGAACAATTTCGTAAGTCTTTTGTTTATTCTGGATCTTGTATTTGGAATGGCCTTCCTGATTATATTAAGTCTGCTACATCTGTTAACCATTTTAAAACCTTATACTTGAGGTTTTATCACACATTGATGTATACAAATTGATAATCTCCTGTATGTTTTTACATTTATGTATTTTAATAGTTTGAATATGTTAAATTTATATTGTTCCTTGTTGAGGGCCTCATGGAAGATTGATATGTTTGTTCAAATGAGTTCTCTCGTTAAATAAAGTCTTTATTATTATTATTATTATTATTATTATTATTATTATTATTATTATTATTTATTATTATTATTATTATTATAACTATGTTAATTGATACGCTTGATTCCTGTAGGATCAATAAGCATTGGTGCAAGACAATGTTTTCCCCCTTTTTTACTTGGATTGTTTAACCCTGGTAATTTCCCTGTTTTCTCAATATTCAATTGAAACATTGAATATTTGTTCACTTTCAATATTGGTATAAATGTCTAAAGGGCAGACAGCATAAGATACAGTATGATAAGTACTAGAAGTTCCTTTTTTATATATTTTCCCTGATATTCTTAAAAGTTCTTAAAAGCCATGTAAGACATTTATATACTTTCAAGGGTAGCTAGTTTTGCAGATGATTATAGCCACTTTTCTACTTTGCTTTCCTTCTTTGACACGTTCTATGATATATTTCAGGGATCGTTTTAGGACGGCCATTAATGTTCTAGGTGATGCATTTGGTGCCGGTATCGTACATCATCTATCACGTGACGAACTCCAGAAACTCGACAACTACTCAAAGTCAGAAGCCTCAAATACGGTGCCGGGGAGCACTAGATCTACAGAAAATAATGCATTATTAAATGACAACACACGGTATAAAAACTACAGTGGAACTGACAACGACGGTTACATAGAAAAGGAAGAGGAAACTTGAAATTATATCAAATGTGTACATTGATACTGATATTATATTGTTAATGGGGTAATGCCATATAGATGTACTCTGTTTATAAGGAAAGGCATGACGTGAGGCTTGTATGACCGTCAACATAAACCCAAAGGGTAGGCCCGGTGACCTCACATGCCTCTTAATTCCTTTGTTAAACATTTATATTGTACATTATGCTATTTTACACTCATCCGATTTCCGGTTGCGTGTGTGTCCATGCGTAGTGTGCATGTTTAAGAAGTATATTCATTACGAGGCATGATGGAATTTCAAAATACATTGTTGTTACAAATGACCATGATAACCACCATAAGTAGATAATGTGTCGGGTGCAGGGCCGGGTCAAAGGAGAAAATTTTACTTACATCTTATTTTCATAATCTATTACATTGTTTACATAACACGATTATATTTGATCCAAAGTCAATGATAGCATTGCACGAAAATACCATATCAAAAGTTCAAAAGATAACACTAATGTTTGACAACCTGAAGTCCATTTTCTTAGGTTACGTTCTATGGACACCTGACTAGTTATCTTAAATAATGCTTCAACTTTATAATTATATTTTGTTAATTCAGCCTATCACTAATACTAACTTTAGCATTTTGCTGTGTATAAACTACTGTATAGCGATTAAGTGTTAAAATAAAAAACCAACAAATATTATGTATGATATTATAAAATCAGTTGTCAGTTGATATATTCATAATAACTTTGATATATATTTTTGCGATTTGATTTGATTAAAAACATATGATAATAGAGGGCTAATGCTTCTTTGTTCGTGCATTTAAATATGTAGAAGCACGCGCTTATAGCGATATTCTTACATAAATGTATACCTCTAAATCGGTAATTCATTGTTTTGTTGTCTGTGTTTCGTATAAAGAAAAATGGTTTCCAATTGAGGACTGCTCCCATTCTGACTAAAGTTCAGATCTACTTATTTATTTTATGTAGATCTGATGACGAACGTATATGTTTCGCCTTCTTTATTAAAAAGCTATTTTTAGCCATGCAATCAAACCGGTTTTTACATAGGCATTAGAAGAAGTATCAAAATACCGTTATCCGTGGAAGTTAAACAAATTGTTGATTTTTGTTAGAAAAAAAAATGTTTGAAGTAATTTTTAACAAATTAACTTGAAATAATAGAGTCAATTTTTAATGGGCAAGATTGTTTTGCCAGTTTACCTGTCGGCTATATGGACAACGCCATGTTTGTTCTCGAAATCGTGAAAATTACCTACTCAGTATTGGTTTTCCCAGGGTTAAAATTAGAAACCACATCGCTTTCAAAATTATGAAAGCTCGCCGATGATTGGCTGTGTGAAAGGTCACCAGAAATGATTTCGTATTTGGTCACGGTCAGATCTAAAAGCGGAGCGTTATTTAGAGCTGAACTTTAATCAGATTGCAATTCTACGATAGTAAAACTACCGGGTTTGTCATAAAGCTCTTTTTTATATTGCGCCCTTAGTCAATCATGTTTAAAACGTGCAACACGTGAATCAATTTATACCTTCGAGAGCAGTTTTAAAACTGTCCCTTGTAATTCTTCTAAGAATGGATACGCATAGTTTGTATTGTATTTTATTTAAAATTTTATATTTATGTATATGTATAGATGAGACTATAATAAAAAATAAACTGAAGGCTTTACATTGTCCATCACCGGAGTATACATGTTTTTCAATCACAGACGTTTATTCAATCATTGTGAAAAGAGATACATTGTCAATAATAGGAACATATATTAATTTAACCAATGTAAGAATGCATACGGTCAATTGAATTACATTCATTCAATGTTAGAAATATCAATGGTCAATCTTTGGAGTATATTCAATCAATGATAGAAATATCCATGGTCATTCTTTGGAGTCTATTCAGTCAATGATATAAGTATCAATGGATAATCTTTGGAGTGTAATCCACCAAATATAGAAATATCCATGGTCAATCTTTGGAGTGCATCATTTCAAAATTTTAATAGTTTCATGCAAATGATTAAAAACAAACATCATTTAGTAGTTTAAACGTTCTGGACTTTTTATATATATTGCCTTAATGTGTGACCTTGACCTTGAGTGTAGCGATCTCATTATTGTTCTCTGAACATTGTCTTATATTAGTGATCATTTGTGCCAAGGTATTTAAAAATATTTCATTACTTTAAAAGTTATGAAGCGGACACGAAATGATGACTTTTTTACAATTGACCAAGAGTGCCTTGACCTTCGGGGTAGCGACCTGGTTGTTGCGCCTTGCACATCGCCTCATAATGGTGATTATTTATTTAAAAAAAAACTTTTCATTAGTTAAGTTATGGAGTTGACATGGAGCGGACACTGTCCGTAATGAGTCACAGAGTGAGCTAATGTTTACAAGTGCTACACTATAGGCGCGTCAAAGAATATGACTCTTTTTAGCTTTAAATCTTCCTTATTTTAAATATGTGCTAAATAGAATGTTTTATATTCGTGTAGATTCAATACTAAATTTATTGAACTCATTGAATACGTGCCTCTGGCGAGCATAATATGATTTTATTCCACTCGATCTATAAATGTAGTATTAAATCTACACTCATTTAATATCTTCTATGTAGATCTAATTGCACAACGAATAATATATACAACGCATGTATGCAGTGAGATTAACGAATCCAGGGTTACACACCTCCTCTATTGTTTGTGATAGGTCTATATTTTTCGGATAGACCTGTTTAAACAAAAGTAAGTCCGTTATGAGGTCTATCTTTTGCACGTGCGCAGGTCTGTTCTAGTCAGAAAGACCTGGTCATGAAATGCACGTGAAAAAATAGACCTGCCTATGCGCAGACAAAGAAAACATGAAATGCAACAGAAATTAAAACCCTTTTAACTAAGCAATTATTCCAGCATCCCTATATTAAATCTGTCAATAAAAATAATGGATAGCATATCAAAGTTAGGACACATTTAACATTTATTTCATCGCGTCATTTTTTAAAGTAATAGTAATTCTGTCATTAAGTTCATAAAATAACAAAGTGGACGCTTTAAGTTCATATCTATAAAACTATATAGCAAAAAATCACAGCATTCTCATTACGATTTTAAAATATAAATGAAGTTATAAGTGATTTAGTTTAAAACATTTTATGATGAACGATCATATTTTATTCTAGAACACTTTATATTCTGCTATAAAAAATATAGTTTCGGTTCATGTATCTCACACTTGCCAACAATATACATGTACATATGTAGGTATTTCGTGGTCTGCTGGGTATCCACACATTGCTCTTCGGACAGTTGCCACCTCGGAAGTTTGCCCCCTTTTATGCAATGGCAGTCTCTGCCCCCTCATATCTTTGGAAGGGTGGACATTTGCCCCCCCCCCCCCCGCTGTTTTAAAAAATATTTTATTGTTGAATTGTTTGCTACCATAATTCATCGCCTATTGTCGAAATTTCGATGTGCTGAAATACACAAAAACTCTCGCGCAAATTTGTGAAAGTCAAACTAGCATCCATAAATAAATAAAACTAATTGTTTCCATTGGCATACATAAAATCTGTACATGAGATGACAAGTGACAAGTCACAACGGCAAAAAAAAGGGGGGCATACGTCCGGGAGGCAATTGTCCGAGGGCAAATGTCCTAGAATCTGCATTGTCTGATACGAAATACTATCAACATAATTATTCATTCTTTAACATACCTTCTATAACAGATCTATTCACTTTATAAATGACAAATTGCACATTTAGCTTTTTTTTTTTTTTAATTTTAAAGGGGAAAGCAAAGTATATATTGTATGTAAAAAGCTTACCTGTATATGCGTTGTGTTAAAAATAATATTTGTGCATTTCATCAAATGCTTCAGAACCCAATATAGTTTAAACGGTGTGTAAGTTGGATATCGGCCTCGTACATCGATCTTTCTGTTTAGGAAAGACCTGGTCACGAATTTCATGAAACACCTCGAGCGCTACGCGCTCTCGGTGTCACATGAAATTCGTGACCAGGTCTTTCCTAAACAGACAGACCTCGTACTCGGTCGATATCCTATACATATATTGACATACAGTACTAATAACTACACAAAAATTAATCTTTGTTTGGCCTTTACATTTATACCCGCCTGTACACAAAAACTTGAAATATTGATTTGACGATTACAAATATTTACTACTACAATTTAAGAAGCATATACATGCATTTATATGTCTTATAGTAATAACGTTGTCTGCACGACATTTAAATCATGTGGAATATAACAATATGTGTTATAGGATTTTACATGATAGTATTTTGCTATACTAGTGACATACCATCTGTAAACACGAAGTTGGGTACTATCAATGGATTAAGAAAGGCAATAGAATTTTTAGGGAACGAGTATAGCGTTGATAGTTATTTAGGCATTCCGTATGCCGAACCACCTGTCAACGAAAGACGCTTCAAAAAGCCAGAAGCACGTGGACCGTTCCAGAAACCATTCGAGGCAAAGGACTTTGGTGCTGCTTGCTTGCAGTTTAGTTGGTTTGAAGAAATAACAGATTCGTCAGAAGATTGTTTATTTTTAAATGTATACATACCAGGTTTGAAATCTGACCAAGAGAGTGGACATGCGGTAATGATTTTCATACATGGTGGTGGATTTACACTTGGCACAGGCAACACTTATATCGGGGAGACGTTAGCTGCCGTAGGAAACGTTATAGTTGTTACCATCAACTATAGGCTCGGATTATTTGGCTTTCTCGACATTGACGATGAAAACGGTAAAGGAAATTATGGACTTTGGGATCAACATCTTGCCATTAAATGGGTTCATGAAAATATAGCTTCTTTTGGGGGAGACAATACACGTGTCACACTCTTTGGCGAGTCTGCTGGTTCCACGTCTGTTGTTTTACAATCGTTATATCCAGGAAACAAAGGATTGTTCCGAGCTGCTATCGCTGAAAGTGGCGGCATAACGATGCCATTTACAGTACCGTATAACCATATCACCCCAGCAACATACTTTGCTAAGAACATGACCTGTAACACGGAGAACAAGTTAGAAATGTTACAATGTCTACAGCAAGCGCCGGCAGATCGAGTATTTAAAGTTATTGTTGATACAATTACAGAGGACTTCAGCGGTGGGTCGGTCAAGGTCACGTTGAACCCAAGTGTTGATGGCGAGTTTATAAAGAGACGTCCGATTGATCTATATCAAGAAGCAAGAACTGAAATGCTGGAAGAAGTAGAATTTTTCAGGTCAATTATTTTCATGAATGGAATAAACGCTGCTGAAGGTGCAGTGTTTACTATCATGCACGCAAACCCGCTAGATCTAGACAGTTTTAAAGTTACACGGGAAGAGATGAACAATGTTGTGATGCCGGCAGCTGCTGCATTAGCTTTTAGTTTTAACCGAACAGTAACAGACGCACTCAAACAATTGCTTTTATTTGAATACACAGACTGGACAAACCCTGATGACCCTAATACAATACGAGACCAATTAATTCGCTTCTACAGTGATGTATTTTTCAATGTTCCAGCAATGGAATTAAGTCAACTTCACGTGAATGGAACGAACGCGGGAAGTTACATGTATAATTTCCGTGCACGCGTTAAAGGACACATTTATCCTACTCCAAGCTGGGCCAAGCAATCAAATCATGGGGATGAGCTTGGTCCTGTGTTCGGTTATAACTTCCGGTACAACAAGATACTTGGTATATCAACATACAAACCGACAAGGGAAGAACAGAAGCTGTCGTTGAAGATCATGACGTACTGGTCAAACTTTGCTAAAACCGGGTATTTATAATTTTCTTTTTGCACTGTAACACTTTAATGTCAGATAAAGAAGACAAGATTATAAAAAACTTGATCTCCCAGCTTGAGTTGATTTTGTCATGTTATACAAGGACTGTAGCATAGTTCAACAAAGCTGATATAAAAACATGATATTGTTTAGATATAAATATTACTTCAGAAAAATGACGTTTAACAAATATATCGACTTTAAGTAATGAATGTAATATTCATTTCTTGAAGTGCGTCAGAAAATTAACTCATAGAAAAGTAATGCAGAGATCAAAGGCCAAGACATATTTCTTGTGCTATAAACACCGTTAAACCGCTAGGGACATCTTTAGTAAATAAAATGTTCAACTTCTGTAATTTCATCCTAGCTGGTAATAAAGTGAACGATGTATAAGATTTACACACTTTATTTTTCATGAAGGTGTAATCATGTATTTAGAAGTAATGAGGTATATGATTTTATATTACAGAAACCCAAATGAACCCATGATTGTTCCTGCTGGCAATGTATGGCCTATCTATACACCAGAATCTCAAGAATATCTGACAGTAGACTTTGAGGAAGATTCCGTCCAGAACTTCATGTATGTACGTGAGCTGGAGTTTTGGCGGAGAACATTGCCCACATTTTTCGATGCTGTTGACCAGAAATCTAGGTTCTCGTCTACTGTATCATCTGAGACAGGATACTGCGAGAAAGACGGACCTTGTAATTGATAGAACCGAAATTTCTTTATTTCATTATTTGGAATGTATTATTTTAATTATGTGTACTGTCTTAGCAATATGACAGTCACATACATGTTTTTGAAAATTAGTCTTTTTTCAGGGTTATTAAAGATCTGCATGTACGTTTATTCTAAATAAAATCTATATTTAAAACACACAGATTCTAGTGCGTTAATTGAAGTTTGCTTCAAATATTTATAAGCTATTCGCATTACAATAATCTTACTATATTAAAATCTCCGGAGTCTTGTTGTTTATTGAAAAAGAACGGTAACTTTTTTATGCCCCCGGGCATATAGTAATTGAACCGTCCGTCCGTCTGTCCGTCCGGTCCGTTTGTCTGTCCGTCTGTCCGTACGAGGTTAACCTAGAACGGTAAGTTGGATTTTTCATAAGTTCTACCTGTACCAATGGCTTCTAAGTTTAAAAACTTACTTATCAACACAAAGTATATGATCTGGGCAAGTTACATAACTCTGGCTTTCATATTTACCAAGTTATTGCCCTTTTCAGCACTTAGAAAATGAATAATGGTTAACCTAAAACGGCAAGTTGGAAATATCTTAAGTTCTATCTATACTAATGGCTTTATAATTTCCACACTTACTTATCAATACAAAGTGCATGATATTGCCAAGTTATATAACTGTGTCATCCATATTTCCCAGTTATTTATCTTTTTTCACTTTGAAAATAGGGCCTTGTCTGGTTAACCTATTTCGGCAAGTTGGATTTATCTTAAAATTTCTCCTAACTGTTAATTTCTTTAATGATATCTTTCATATTTAGTAGGTGGATACCTTTGATGGTCCTCTAATTTTTTGTGGAGTAAGCGGTCTCTAGGTCGCTGGTTTAAAAAATAAATATAAACATTCTTGCTCATACAGCCTTTATTTTTTTGTTGATGTCTAAGTTTAATACAAACATGCCAAGGGAGGTCCTCCTTTTTTGGGTGTAGTTAGGGGTCATTTGGGTCAAGGTCAATGGTACCAATGTCAAGGTCACCAATGTTAAAAATAGATTTTTACAGGTGTATTGACCTTATTCTATAGACAGATGTTATTTATAATTGATAGAAACATAAACTTTGATGGAGGTAGTGGTCAGTTGGGTCAAGGTCACCAGTGCTAAAAATAGATTTTTACACTTTTGCTCATACAGCCTTTATTAAGTGACAGATATATTTTATATTTGGTAGGAAGATAACTTGCATGGTATTCATCCTTTTGTTTGGGGTAGGGATCAGTGGGTCAAGGTCACTTGTGCTAAAAATAGATTTTTACACTTTTGCCCATACAGCTTTTATTTATTGACAGATGTATTTTATATTTGGTAGGAAGATAACTTGCATGGTATTCTTCCTTTGGATGGAGTAAGGGGTCAGTTGGGTCAAGGTCACCAGTGCTAAAAATAGATTTTTACACTTTTGCCCATACAGCCTTTATTTATTGACAGATGTATTTATATTTGGTAGGAAGATAACTTACATGGTATTCTTCTTTTGGATAGAGTTAGGGGTCAGTTTGGTCAAGGTCACATGTGCTTAAAATAGATGTTTACACTTTTGCCCTTACAGCCTTTATTTATTGACAGATGTATTTCATATTTGGTAGGAAGATAACTTGCATGAAGTTGAATATTTTTCAACTTCACAAGTCAGAGCAATGACTTGGCAACTTATATTTTTCACAATTACAAAATGCCATGACTTTGTCAAGCTATATAACTTATGTTTACAATATTTTGGCAATTTTTCTGTCCATAACTGAGTGAATGGGTAAACATTTTTTGAAATATTGCTACTGACATGAATCTGAGCCGGGGGCATTTGTGTTTAACAAACACGTTCTTGTTTCTAAGATTATCTCAACCACCGTTGAGCTTAAATTAGCACATGTCTTCTTTAGTATGCTAACATGTATTATATAATCGTAGTTGTTGCGTTACAAGTGTCTATCTGTGTAAACTAGTGACTTTATCACAGTATTCAACACTAGATAGCATTCACCAAATATCACAAAGAGCAAGTTGATTTATTACATTCAACACGAAAACACAAACAATTGAAGGACGAAACATCTGGAAAGGTTAAATATGTCTCTCAGAAGCTTTATTGATTCTTATTTTTCAAACATTAGGAAAGCCAGACATTTTCTTTTAGGTACAGAATACAGATCTGCAATTTCAAATATACGACAAGAACAAAAACTTGTCAACAATTTATTTAAGTACTTAAAGCTCTCTTGATATACTCATTCGTTAATCAAGCGTCTGGTGTGTCAAGATCAACGGATTCATGTGGTGTTTTGCAGCGGTAAACAGCAGCAATTAAGAACAGCATAGAAATGACGCCAAAATATCCTCCATATACTGTAAACTGAAATATAAAGTATACACGATATATGACCATGCTTGTGCTCTAAATAACCAACTTTTTATAATATGAAATTAGGTGCTCCCTATGGCGCGGAAAGCTCTTATGATTTATGATTTAAACATAAAATGTTTAGTGTACATGATAACCAGATCTATCATGCAATTCGTTAATAAGTAAATGCATGTATTTTGTAACGAATAAATTTGTGGTGTTCAACCTATCATCGGAAGAGGGACCACTGACATGCGTCGGCGTTTGGAAAATCATGGGTATATTTCATTTGACACTTGCTCTATTGTAAGATTTTTCCATTCACCTGTGAGAAACGCCTCTGACGGTCGCATCTCTTTTACAAATCCAAAACTACATAATAACGCCGTTAACAGCTTCCAGTTCATTGTTTTGTTCTAATACATTAGAATCTAAAATAATTGTAATATACACAACTCGCCTATCTAAACATTAACCTTTCCTCAGTGCACATTGCTTGAAGTTTAAGCTTTTAACAATACCAAACGAGCGACTTTCACCAATAAAACTTTTTATTTTATTTATTTTATTTAGATAAGAAACAGTAGCAATCGTTTATCTGATGAACCTGTGCGTAGCCTTTTAAATCAAAGCACTGACAGTACTGTGAATCAGCGAAGAAATATAGATACGAAATAATTAGATGGTGGGAAAGGTTTGCAAGAAAAATCTTTTTCAAAGAAAGGCGAATTTGTATGGGAGAAAAGGTAAAACAAAGAACGAATATTATGTTCATGAATATTTTGGTCATTATGCATACATGTATATGCGTTCCAGAAAAGTTTGTCCCATTATAGATATGGACCTCTACGAAATTGCATTGCGCATGTCTATTAGCTCAAGGTTTAGAGATATATGCGCATCTTCCTGCTATATACCTGTCGGGAATTGCGCTCATATGCATGTGCCGTTAAATGACGCCAACGTATGCGTGACGTTAGAGTACGTCACTTCCTATGTTTTGTAGTATAGCGTTAGTAGTTTTGAATAGACGTATAAACCAGACACAACGTGTTGTACATTATTATCGTAGTATAATACCCTATCCGACATTGGTGCCGTGACTAAAACATGAAGATAGATAAATTGCGATCAGTCAGAGAGGGACAGCGAAGATGTATCGAAATAAAGCTTGAACGGATTGAACGAGCGAAAGATAACTCATCAATGATAGAATTTAACGCAATTCTTGAAGCCATAATCAGTGGAGCAGAGACAATTAATTCCTTAAACGAAAAGATTATAGAACTGACGGAAGTAACGGATATCGAGGAGGAAATAATAAGCAGTGAAGAATATGGATTGACGCTGGAAATAAAGGTGAGAGAACTTCAAGCCTATAGCAAAGCAACTAACCCGCAAATCCAGATGGAGGACAGAAGTGGTTCTTCAATCGAAAATAATAACGTGAATAATGGTAACAGTTCTTTGCAAAATGTGAGTACATTTCATTCAAATACGTCGCTTTATCAGAGACTGCCGAATTTATCGCTACCTGTATTTAGTGGTGACATTCTCGAATGGCAAAGTTTTTGGGATGCTTTTGATTCCTCTGTTCATCAAAACCCGAATCTTACAGAAGTACAAAAATTTAATTATTTGAAGACGCAACTAGAAGGCAGTGCGGCTCAAGTTATTCAAGGATTTGCACTTACGCATGCAAATTACATTCAAGCAGTCGATTTACTGAAGGAGAGGTTCGGACAGAGTCATAAAATCATTCATGCGTATATACAGGCGTTACTAAACCTGCCAGCCCCAAGCAATACTCTACACAGTATGAGAAACTATTACGACAAATTAGAAGCTTATATTCGCGGATTGGAATCGCTAGGTCAGTGTCAAAATACGTACGGAACTCTTTTAGTACCAGTCATTATAGACAAACTTCCGGCAGAAATTCGCAAGAGTTTAGCACGAGAAAATGGCAGCGATAAGTGGTCATTAGAAAGTTTACGAAAAGCGTTATATCGTGAACTGAATATCATGGAGGCCGGACAGACTACAGATGATTTAGCTGGTTATAGAACTACAGCGTCGTTTTTCACGGGCGCTAGACGGAAACCGGAAGCCGGAAGTCACGTGATACACAGACGGATGCACAAAACGCTTATTGATCAGAGAAAGTGTATTTACTGCAATCACCATGCTAACGATTGCACAAAGTTAATTGATGTGAGGGTTAAAAAGGACATAATAAGAAAGAAGCATTTATGTTTTAATTGTTTGAAAAATCACCAAGTAATTAACTGCCGATCACACTTCAGATGCTTGAAATGTAAAAGAAAACACCATACTAGTATATGTGAAAATTGTCCAGATTCAAGGCCGAAAATAAATACTTGCCCGACAAACCTACCTTCAACCGGAAGTGATACCTCCACTCAAATACAGGCAACAGTTTTACACTCAAGATCCGAAACCCGACCAGACGTTTTATTAAAAACAGCTGTCGCTCAAGTATGTTCTGAGACACAGTTCGCGCAGGCAAACATTCTTTTTGATGAAGGGGCACAGCGATCCTTTATTTCTGAAAAACTAGCCAAAAGATTAAAGGTTCAGCCACGTGGAAGCAGTGCCATTAGTTTGGCAGCATTTGGAGATTCATCGCAGAAACTACGACATTTAGACACTACGACCATATATCTACTGACCGATGCAGGTGACAATTTACCCCTGGAAGTTATGATCGTCCCCACAATCGCCGTCCCACTACGTCACATTCCCCAGTCCGTGACGTCGTTACCCCACCTAAGAAAATTAAAATTAGCACATCCAGTCATAAATGAAGACAGTTTTGAAATATCGTTATTGATCGGAGCTGACCAGTACTGGAATATCGTAGGAAACGAGACGATTCGAGGAGATGGTCCTACAGCAGTTAGTTCTAGTATTGGATACTTACTGTCTGGTCCGGTTCAAGCGCATGGACCAAGGAATCAGAGTTATTTAGTTATGAATGTAATGAGTACAGATATTGACAGATTTTGGAAACTTGAGTCCCTAGGAATAAACCCCGCAGAAGACGATTATACTGACACATTAGAGATATACAAACAAAACTGTGTAAAGTTTACAGACGGTAAATATGAAGCCAAACTCCCATGGAAAGAGGATCACGACACTCTCCCGACAAATTACGACGTGACAAAAAGAAGAACAGAATCTTTGATTAAACGCCTCCGCCGAGACCCAAGTATCTTACAGAAATACGCAGAGATAATACAAGAACAAGAACAACGAGGTTTCATAGAAAAGGTTGACGAGAACGAGGAAATATCGACCCAAGTGCATTATATACCCCATCATGCAGTCAAGAAAGATTCAACTACGACTCCAATTCGATTGTGTATGACTGCAGTTGCCGTGAATCAGCTAATAAACCTAGTTTGAACGACTGCCTTGATTCTACCCCACCCATAATGAATGACTTATCACACATAATGGTTCGGTTTAGACTTGAGAAATATGCAATCTCAACTGACATAGAAAAGGCTTTTCTCAATGTACGATTACATAAAGATGACAGAGACGTAACCAGATTCCTTTGGTTGAGCAACCCGGATAATGCTGACAGCCCGCTAACAACATATAGATTTAAATCAGTCCTATTTGGTGCCACATGCTCACCGTTTATACTCAGCGCTACATTACTCAAACATCTAGACATGAACGCTACCAGCTGGGTCAGTAAAATCTTGAAGCGAGACCTATACGTAGACAACATATTATCAAGTTTTCGCACAGAAGAGGAAGTTTTAAGGTATTTCCGAGATACAAGAGACCTAATGTTACAAGGAGGCTTTAACTTGAGGTCATGGGCATCTAATAATCGCCGGCTGCAAGCAACCGCTACAGAAGAAGGTGTTCTTGACAACAATAAGGTAACGAAAGTGTTAGGCATGTTATGGTATACAGAAACAGACGAGATATCATACCCAGATAGAGACATTCCTATTTTTGATAATGTGACTAAACGAGCTATTTTACAGTACACATCGAGAGTATATGACCCACTTGGCTTACTTAGTCCGATATTGATACGTGCAAAAATTTTGCTACAAGAATTGTGGAAAGAGAAGTTGCCATGGGATACAATTTTACCTGATAATATCCAGCAAAAATGGCGCCAACTTGCACGTGATATCAACACTGTACAAAATACAAGATTCTCCAGACATATATTTTGTTCATCGGTAGCAGACGACAAATGCTTAACAACAGAAGACACAGTACTACATGTTTTTGTTGATTCCAGTATCCAAGCTTATGGTGCAGTAGCATACTTGTGCAGAAAACATGAATCAAAACTCATTTTTGCAAAATCACGCGTTGCACCGTTGAAGAAACTCAGTTTACCCAAGTTGGAGCTTATGGCTGCAGTAATAGGCGCTCGTATAGCAAATCATCTACAACAAGCTATGGAAGTACAGGAAATTATATTTTGGTCAGACAGCCAAATCGTACTACATTGGTTGAACACAACAAAAACCATGAAGAGATTCATACAGAATAGAGTAAATGAAATCCGAGAACTAACATTGAACCGGAAGTGGAAATACTGTCCTACCCAACAAAATCCAGCTGATCTTATTACGCGAGGCATAACAGCAATCCAGTACAAAGACAACAAATTATGGATGAATGGTCCAAACTGGTTAAACTCTCCGAACCAGTGGCCACTTTGGGAAAAGTTAGAGGCTATTACCATGACGACCGTATCTAATGAGACCATAGAAACCGAAGAACCACCTTTGGATAATAACGATATATCCAACACACCTGAAGATGGCTTACACAATGTCATAAATATTTATAGATACAGCAGTTATAAAAAGGTAGTTAGAATTACAGCATTTGTAATGAGATTTATACACAATTGTATGATACAACGTGAATCAAGAACAACGGGCCCAATCACCGTACAAGAACTATTTAAAGCTAAAATGAAGCTGATTCAACATTGCCAGTATAATACTTACAAAGAAGTGATAAACAATTTGAAATCTGGTAAATCACGACTTCCATTGGTACGACAGTTACGACTTTACCTAGACCAAGATGGTTATATCAGATGTGGTGGTAGAATACACAATGCACCTATAGATGAAAATACAAAATTCCCTATTTTACTGCCAGCCAAACATCCTCTGACACGACTAATCATACTTGATGCACATGAAAAACAACTTCATTCCGGAATTAGTGCTACTATATGCCACATACGACAGACATTTTGGATTCCTGTGATACGACAATGTGTAAAATCACAACTCAGAAAATGTACGACTTGTCGTAAAGTAAATTCTAAACCCTACATTGTACCAGATCCACCACCGTTACCAGCATTCAGAGTTGAAAGCTCACCACCATTCACAGTTACAGGTTTAGATTTCAGTGGAGCACTTTATGTCCGAGAAGAAACCGGTAGGGAGTCAAAGGCTTATGTATGCTTGTTTACATGCGCATCCACCCGAGCTGTACACATAGAACTCGTGCATGACCTTTCAGAAGACACATTTATGCAAGCATTTCGGCGATTTGTTAGCAGACGGTCACTGCCTAGACTCATAATATCTGACAACGCAACGACATTCCAAGCAGCATCGAACACTTTAAAGTCCTTGTTAGAATCACAAACATTGAAGGAACAGCTTGGCTTTAAAGGAACTGAGTGGCGATTTATACCAAAACGGGCCCCGTGGTTTGGTGGATGGTGGGAGAGAATGATTGGACTTGTTAAGACAGCTTTAAAGAAAGTACTTGGTCGATCATTCGTTACGTTCGTAGTTCTGCAGACGATACTTACCGAGATTGAAGCCATTCTCAACGACCGACCACTTACTTACGTAACGTCAGATACGTTAGATCCAGAACCGCTTACTCCTTCACACTTACTCCATGGTCGGAGGTTAACAGAATTACCTGACAACATCGACACACAGAAGGTAATATGTACCAGTAGTTCCATAACAAAACGATTTCGAGTTCAGCGTGTGTTAGTTAACAAATTTTGGAAAAAATGGAAATTTGATTATCTGACTTCATTACGTGAACGACATACAAAGAGTGGTCATAACGAGCAGACGATACGCGTTGGTGACGTAGTACAGGTGCACGAGGAATGTCCTAGAATACGTTGGAAACTTGCCGTGGTAGACGAATTGATGCCCGGTCGCGATGGATTGATCAGAGCAGCAAAGATTCGTACCGGAAGTGATCATACAACAAGACCCATTGCTAAACTTTATCCGTTAGAGATAAATGAGAAAGAGTAAATCGATAAACATTATAGGCAGTCAAATTGATAAAATTTCATTAATATCGCGAACATAGACTATAAACTTTTATGAGATATATTGATTATGAGTGAGAGAGACATTTGCGTTATTTTAAAACAATGACTTTTATTTAAATGTATTTTAGAAAAGAGTTATTTATAAGATTTGATGAAATTAACTGATATTAATTTTAAAAATTTATCATTTTGCGGCCCCCAGAATGTCGGGAATTGCGCTCATATGCATGTGCCGTTAAATGACGCCAACGTATGCGTGACGTTAGAGTACGTCACTTCCTATGTTTTGTAGTATAGCGTTAGTAGTTTTGAATAGACGTATAAACCAGACACAACGTGTTGTACATTATTATCGTAGTATAATACCCTATCCGACAATACCACTCATACTAGCCATTTGCTATCAACACTCAACATCTTGGCAGTAAAACATATCTATAAAATAAAGAGTCAAATATAAAATGTTGATACGTGGATGAAATATCTGCCCAATTAATCACTTGTCTTTGGTGAAGTGAACATCATTCATTATTCTTGCATAAAAACCGCGCAGTAACATTACATTAACGGGGAAGAAAACATATACTTTAAACGAATAAAATCACGACAGCCTGTGTCGTTGTTACACGTGTTTTAATATATGTGACACAGGGCGCCTTGTTAATTAGCTGGAATAAGGAGTTACCGAAACAGGCGTATACTTTTTATACAAGAACAACGCTAATCACATTTTTTTCATGCATTAACATCTGCAGAAGCCCTTGGACTCATAAAATCTCCCACTCTGCGGCCTCGAACTTTGCGTGCGTCCTCGTGTTTTTGCAGATGTTAATGCACGAAAAACGTGCATTAACCCTCAATTATTATTATCAAAGTATAAAAAGGCGGAAAGTTGCGGTAGGGGACATAATCAGGTTTATTTTACATGATGTGGCTGAATAATATTGTGATATTATGTCTCAGTGTAAGTCAAAATATGATTTTTAATTTAGTTAAATATGATTATTTAAACAAAGAAATTTGTTACCAACAATAACTGTATTGAGAATAGCAGATGATGTATGTCTTCATGTAATAGAGTTACGCACTTGAATCACCCTTTAAATTAGTCTCAATATTTCGACTGCAAGACAGACCGATTTTATAATCTGATATTTCATAGATGTCTGTCGAAGGGCGACCATCTTCTATATAATAAAAAGCCCTAAAGTGCACAATTCGTTGAGCTACCTTTAAATCTGTCCTGGTTAGCTGGGTTCGGATTAAGTTTATTAAATGAGACAAACATGCGTTAATACACTGATTATGTATCTTAAGACTTGAGCAGCAATGCTATGTCAATAGCTGCAAGTCTTGTAGATTTACTATTGTTACGTGAAATTTGATCATTTAAACGTATTGTCTATAATGGCCAATCAGAATTAGTCAAACGGGAAACACGTTTTATTTTTTCTTACGCAGATATAACTTTGCATTGTGCATTTATCAGTAACGTTTAATTAAAGTATGGTGGTTTCTCGTAGTTCTCTTGATTCAAATTAGTCTAAAAAGTCCGGATTTAACATCCGTTATAACGTAAGTAGTGATAACAAAGTTAATATAAATACGTAAAATTTTGTCATTACTTAAAATGTAATTTATCGGGCATATTCATATAGAGCTAAGTGAATATATGTCAAAACGAAAGTAAAAAAATGTCAGGTATAGATAAACATGAAGCATAATTGACATACAGTTAGTAGTTTTGTCATTGATATATCAGATAAATAAACTATATTTTGAGGTAATTTTATTTGTTGAGTACAGCTGTCAAAAGTGAACTGGACGAGGCGCAAGCTGAGTCTAATATGGGTCTATGTCATGTTTTATATAGTGGTAGTTTTATGTCATGTCTTATATAGTGGCTGTTTTATGTCATATCTTATAAAATGTAAGTTCTATAATGTCATGTTATAAAATGACCGTTCTAAGTCATGTTTTACATAGTGACAGTTCTATGTTATGTTTTATGTAGTGACAGTTCTTTGTCATGTCTTATATAGTGGCTGTTTTATGTCATGTCTTATAAAGTCGCAGTTTTATGTCATGTCTTATAAAGTGATAGTTTTATGTAATGTCTTATACAGTGACAGTTCTATGTCATTTCTAATACAGTGACATTTCTTTGTCATGTTTTATATAGTGACTGATAGTTCTATGTCAAGTCTTATACAGTCGCTGTTTTATGTCTTGTCTTATATAGTGACTGTTTTATGTTATGTCTTATATAGTCGCAGTTTTATGTCATGTCTTATATAGTGACTGTTTTATGTCACGTGTTATATAATGGCAGTTTTGTGTCAAGTCTTATATAGTCGCAGTTTATGTCATGTTTTATGTTGTGGCAGTTTTATGTTCTGTCTTATATAGTGATTAACAGTTCTATGCCATGTCTTATATAGTGACAGTTCTATGTCATGTCTAATATAGTGGCAGTTTTATGTTATGTCTTATATAGTGACTGTGTTATATCATATATTATATAATGGCTGTTTTATGTTATGTCTAATATAGGTGCAGGTTTATGTCATATCTTATATAATGGCTGATTTATGCCATGTCTTATATAGTTGTAGTTTTATGTCATGCTTTATATAGTGGCTGTTTTATGTCATGTCTTATATATGATGGTATAGTGTTTGTATTATGACATGTCGTTTGAAAGTATTTTCGCGGATATTTTATATTTATAGTTTAAGAAAGAACTTGTAAGAATGCAAGCCAGTATTGGAGGCGAGATCGTGACATTACATACAAACAGTTCAAGCACTGCTGACCTTGTAAACGAGCAAGTTCACATTTCCAGGAAGGAGGTGATGTTGTTATATAATTATATAATATTTATTTTAAAGAATGCATACATCTTTAGAAGGAACATTGATCTATATTTCTGCATTTGATACCCAACTGGCTTGTAATAAAGTAAGCGAGCTAAGATAATGTTGTACTAGGACACTACGTTAGAGGCACCATACTGATATCTTAAGTATTTTTTCCCTTTAAGGATATTGTATTTCAATCTTTCTTGGAGAAAAAAAACACTTATACTGTCAGTTCGGTATTCAGTATACTTAGTAGGTATCTTTAAAATATGCAGTCTACTTTATTAGAAATAATAACTGGAAGTTAGTTTTTAAATTGTCTATAAATTGTCTCTAAATATCAGAAAAGTGTTATCTGCTCTTAAGAATAATATATTGTTGTGTTACAGGAGAGCGAGAGACATTTTTGTTTATGTAATCTTGGAGATATAATTCACAAGTATCAACAAATGACGACACTAATACCGAGAGTTAAACCTTTTTATGGTATGATTATAATGCATTTTACCCTCATTATCACATTTGTTTAGAAGAATTTGTTGGTAAGTCTAAGGCCACGCATTCATTCCGCATAACCACCCACATTTCATAATTATTATAGTGAAACAGTTTGGTCAACAATATTCAAAATCACTTATCATGAATAAGTTAGACTTTGTCCACAAAGCTTTCTCGTTTGAACTGTCGGCTGGTATTTTTAAATATAAATACATATACAATAGTTTCTTGTTCTAGTAACATATAAAGTGATGAATGTTTTTGTTGTTGTTTTGTTTTAGCTGTAAAGTGCAATGAAGAATTACCAGTACTAAAGGTCCTCGCTGATCTGGGGGCATCATTTGACTGTGCTAGTAAGGTAACTCACGATCCATGCTGGATTATCCTTGTGTATTTTAGGTTATCTTGGAATGCAAAATAATCAGACTTTTGTTTTTCAACAGAATCTAAATATTCACTTAAAAAACAAAGCTAATTGATGAAAACTGCTCTACTTACAGCACAGGAGAACGACCCAATATACCTTATAGTTTCCAAAATGTCACACTTAATAGAACACAAGCTTAATTAATTGCTATATGTACATTTTATAAGTAGGCTATATTTAACCCAACAATTTATTTCTCTTTTTCATTTCTAAAACATTTTTAATTCAGCACGAGATAGAAAAGGTTCTCAATATTGGCGTAACACCAGCACGTGTCATATACGCACAGCCATGCAAGCAACCTTCAATGCTGAAGTTCGCGGAAACAGAAAGGTGTGGACAAGATGACGTTTGACAACGTGGAGGAACTGTATAAAGTTAAGAAGATATTTCCAACAGCTAGGTGGGGTTTAATACTTTTCATCATATGTCATTCATATATTTTGCCTAAATTTGATGTCAGTCTATAATATATTTTATTTAGGACAGTCGCACTAATGATGATATATTTTCATGTTTACAGATTAGTTTTGAGAATAATGATAGACAGTGAGTATAAGGGGAACCAAGATTTCAGCAGTAAGTACGGGTGTCATCCATTGGACGTTCCCACAGTTCTCGAGACCGCAAAAGAACTAAACCTTAACGTCGTCGGTGTAAGGTAAAATGCGTCATATGTAGACTTGAAAGTATTGTTATATTATGTTATATTATGTTATATTTTCGATCCTTGAAGATCGTTCAGCACGACATTATTGTTGTGCTTGTGGTATTTTTAGTTTCAACTTTTCGGCATTTTCTAGTTGGGTGGTTCCAATATTCCTACTTGAATAATGTTGAATCACCCTTAGGATATGTTGCCTGCTTTTTAAATTTGTCTTTTGACGTCTTATCTGTGATACGCAGGCTTCATAACCTCTGATCCCCTTTCAAAATTCCATTTTATTTAGTTCCGCCCATTGTTTTCTCGTTTAGGGCACACGCTTTTTATTACTTGGGGACCATACGCCGCTTTTCATGGAATGGCACGTAAGTGTCACATTGAAGGTTCCATGATAACCGCCGTATGAACACATCTGCGGATGTTTCTAAATTCAAAATTTTACTATTTCACGTTTAAATGTTGAATTCTACGTAAGCCGGTGCTAGGGGGCGTGGACGGTTACTTGCACTTTCCAGTACCGTCCATGAACAGGCTCAATCAAACCGAGCCTGCAACCTTTTCAATTTTGCAGTGTTGGGCTTTCTTTAGGGATTCTGTATTTTTCTATTTTATCAATATGCTTAAATAAACATGAACAAGATAGAGTTGAAAGTATGTGTGTGAAATTTTAACAAACGTCATAAAATTTGAAGGATTATTCAAGTGTAGGCCTACTGTCAACACTTGCCGATGGTAGTTAAACAATAAATCAAATACAGCAGAATTTAAACAAGTGAAGAAAAGCTACTAAGACTCGTGTATTTCCACATTTACTGAAGAATGAACATTATCTTTCAGTTTTCACGTTGGTAGCAACTGTTATGACTCTAGGGCATTTTCAGCAGCCATACAGCAATCAAGGCAGGTATTTGATACCGGGGCTGGTCTTGGCTTCAATATGACACTGCTTGACATAGGAGGTGGTTTCCCAGGTCAACTTGATACTGGTAGCACATTTCAGCAGGTACGAATTTAACGTGCATCTTGAGATGTCAAATATCAACATCATTATTTTTATGCAACATTTTATATGATTTAAATCAAGGGGTGCGGTGGCCTAGTGGTTAAAGTGTATGCCTCTCAACCCCTATTCAGGTCACGACCATGTTACTTTATATGACACCACAACTGGTTGGTTTCTGGAAGTGAACAGATTAATAGAAGTTGCAAGAACTTGTTTCGCAATCGATCTCAAATAAACATGTTTAAACCAAACCATATAAATCTTCACTTTATATAAGAAATACGGGGACATAAAGCGTTTAATGTATTATTTGTTTTGTTTTTAAATCAGATAGCTGATGTTGTAAACTCCAGCTTAGATACACACTTTCCATATAAGGAAGGTTTGGAGGTTATAGCCGAGCCGGGACGCTACATGGTCGCATCCGCTTTTACTATTGGCGTCAACATCATAGCAAAACGTATTGTGCCGCATAGACCAAACAAACAAGATAAAGGTATGTTGTAAATTGTAACACTGTCATATATCTGCAGACAAATCGTGAACGTAGCTTCTGAAAATTTAATCTTTGTCATACATTCAGCAGTGTTAAACAAATATAAATAAAAGGGCTTATCAAATACTTAAAAATGCTAGCTGGTAAGTTGATTTTGAAAAAAAGCAGGTGAATAGCATGACATTGTTGTAAGATCCAAAATTAAACTTCACAAAGTTTGATGTGCAATATTGTATGATTGATATCAATTCTAGTTTATATAATGCAGGGACTGGCATAAACAGAAATGATCCGACTGTAAAGTCTATAATGTACTATGTGAATGACGGAGTTTACGGGTCATTCCTGGGTAAACTTGCAGATTACAGAAAATATGAGGCAAAATCTTTAAAGGTAGGAATAACATTATAACTGTCTGTACTGTCATGTTGAGCAAGATTAACAGAATTTCAGTTCTACCCAAGCCGACATTAACTTAATACTCGAGCCGTACTGACCAGTTTTCCACAGTAAACTGCAAATTCATATTAAGCAAATAACCAATAAAAATAAGTAGTGTCGGGCATTCGAACTCCCTACTCTGAAGTTCTTAAACCTTATATACGCTCGGACTACTAAGGTAAGATGACGGACTAAGCAACCCTTCTCTTTCCAAACAACACTGATACAGTGACTGTAGACTTACAAGTTAACAAGACATTGTCTATCACTGGCCAAGGACAAGAACTTAGAAAATGCTGTATGCTACTAATGGTTTTATTTCGTTTTCAGCTTAAATAAACATATTCATAACTTTATATTAAGAATAAACAGAACATGATAAAGAGGTATGTCTGTTATACTAAGTTTTAGACAGTGTTATACTATGTTGTAGACTGAGGTAGCTGCTGTCATGTATGAAAGTAGTATCTGGGGACCTTCATGTGACAGTGTTGACTGTATTGTAGACTCTACATTATTACCAGCACATGATGTTGGAGAATGGCTGTATTTCCCCGACATGGGCGCATACACCTTGTCATCACACACAAACTTCAATGGAATGGAAGAGCCTAAACTAATCTATTACTGTCAAACAGACATTTGGTATTTACTCTACAAAAATATATATCCCCCTGTTTAGTTATATTATATAAGTGCTCATTTAAAAAAAAATTGTTCGAAATGAAGTAAAAATCATTTCCAGTTTTACATTTAAACTTGTTTCACATTCCGAAAGTAAGACAACAATTAAGGACACATATCTTATCTCTGGTGTAAATTCTAGCACATACAGTCAGACGTGAATTAAGTGACCGCATGTACATATATGTCTGTCAATATAGAATCAGTTATTATGCCATTAGCTTTAATACTATCAATGAACTAAAACCGCATGAGTGTAAACATTTTTTAATTTTTTTTTAAAAGTGAGTAATGCTTTGAATGTATATATTTCAGGAATCAGTTATACAGTGAGAAGTCTTGCCAGTATAATGGACCAAATAATACAACATAAGAGTTATATAGTCTCACAAGCATACTTTATGCTGTTGATACATGAGTTAGTCTTGTCTGAAACAATTGCAAGTAACATGTATTTTATTCCAGTCAGATTGACTTATTTGAAAGCAAGTGTTCCATTTAGTCTGACAAATTGGAATTTCATTATTTTTATGTATATATTGTACATGTCTGATGTACCTTTAACACAAAGTAGTATAGGCTTTATTTAACAACATATTGAAACGTACCCGGGGTCTGATAGCCCGGACACACTTCAATATCGACACGTGGGTTCTTCTCAAACACACGTAAATGGAAAAGGGAAAGTTAGGGACACAAGGACTAAAAGATACGGACACCTGAAATAAGATTAACACTACAATTTATTAAATATACATTTCACAAACAATAAAATTGGTATATAGTATTTTCTGTGGATGGCTCTGGCTTGGGCTCCTCGTCTTAGGTCAGGAATATTCTTCTGTTACGTCTAGAATTATGTATGATATAAGATGTAATGTAAGGCTTGACAAATACGGTGTCACGTCTTGCCTGTGGTCAGGTACAAATTTTATGGTAGGAATTGCCATGAAATGCTATAGGGTTGATGGGGTATCTAAAATGGTAACTACAAAATACAGTGGTGTTCTACCCTGGTATGTGGGTATCACTATAAAATATGAGAATATGGCTATGGAAACTTGGTCTTCAGTCAGGATCTATCACAAATGGAAAATAATGCCAAACTGCCAAACTAGATGATTTAATATAAAACTTCTATATAAACTATTACTGGCACAAAGTATTGTATACCTTTCTGGTGGCTGGAGATACATCCATATTCAATAATGTATAGGTGTGGTCTGGTGGTTATCTACCAAGGTACTGACAATTTTGGCAGATTCGGGCTGCTATTTATAGTCTCGGACGCTGGGTGGCTAGCTTGCTTGGCAGTATCGTCATCGTCTCCGATGACGTCACTGCCTAGCTCGCGCGGGCAGAAATTTAGCCAGTGCCAGCTGCCATGTTTAAATTGGCAGCGTGTGGCTAATTGATCATTAAAACGGCTACAACGTAGAAAATAAGTTATTTTAAGTAATATAACCATCGTAAATATTAAAAGGATGAAGTTATCTATGCATGCAGTGTATGTATTGATGATTAAAAGTCGATGTCATGAAGTAGAGTTAATTACTTCAGTACTTGAGTAGTTTCCGGATACGGGTTTATTTTCGGACGTAAAATGATGGGCTTGATCGTTACAATATAATGGGAGAATAGGAAGCAATTTTTATAATTATCACATAACTTTAAACTTAATATACTTCTGTATTTCTTGACAGCACTGATAATTAACTCGTAGTAAATAAAGTTTTATTTTAATACTTGATCTTGCTTGCAATTCATTCCATTCGAGGAAAGTACCATTCACATTCATAATAACTTTGATAAACCCTTATACTTTTATCATACCATGTTTTTATGAAAATAGGTTTTCTATCCATCAAAATATATTGGTTATAGAACAGGGGCATTTCTTACATTTCCATAGAAATAATCGGTATTTTTTCTAAAAATTCTTCATAAGCACCTAAAACATCTTTCCAAAATGAATTTTTCAAAATATTATATATATATTCTTTATATAACTTTCGACAATTAAACAGCTTCTTAATATCTAAAAAGTTATCTAAAATAGTGTAACATTTATCACATTCAGATGATACAATTCTTTAAATCTTCCTTATTTTAAATATGTGTGTCACAGGGTGAGAAATTTTTTTAAACCGTAACATGTGCTATATAGAATGTTATTTATTCGTGTAGATTCAATACTAAATTTATTGAACTCATTGAATACGTGCCTCTGGCGAGCATAATATGATTTTATTCCACTTGATCTATAAATGTAGTATTAAATCTACACTCATTTGACATCTTCTATGTAGATCTAATTGCACAACGAATAATATATACAACGCATGTATGCCATGAAGATTAACGTGTGCAGGTATATATTGACATACTATCACTACACAAATATTTATCTTTGTTTGGCCTGTACATTTATACCCGCCTGTACACACAAACTTGAAATATTGATTTGACGATTACCAATTTTTACTACTACACTTTAAGAAGCATATACATGCATACATTGTAAGTAATAACGTATCTGCGACATTTAAAACATGTGGAATATATCAATATGTGTTGTAGGATTTTACATGATAGTATTTTGCTATACTAGTGACATACCATCTGTAAACACGAAGTTTGGTACTATCAATGGATTAAGAAAGACGAGAGAATTTTTAGGGACCGAGTATAGTGTTGATAGTTATTTAGGCATTCCGTATGCCAAACCACCTGTCAATGAAAGACGCTTCAAAAAGCCAGAACCACGTGGACCGTTCCAGAAACCATTCGAGGCAAAGGACTTTGGTGCTGCTTGTTTGCAGTTTAGTTGGTTTGAAGAAATAACAGATTCGTCAGAAGATTGTTTATTTTTAAATATATACACACCAGGTTTGAAATCTGACCAAGAGAGTGGACATGCAGTAATGATTTTTATACATGGTGGTGGATTCACACTTGGCACAGGCAACACTTACATCGGGGAGACGTTAGCTGCCGTAGGGAACGTTATTGTTGTTACCATCAACTATAGGCTCGGATTATTCGGCTTTCTCGACACTGACGATGAAAATGGCAAAGGAAATTATGGACTTTGGGGATCAACATCTTGCCATTAAATGGGTTCATGAAAATATAGCTTCTTTTGGGGAGACAATACACGTGTCACACACTCTTTGGCGAGTCTGCTGGTTCCACGTCTGTTGTTTTACAATCGTTATATCCAGGAAACAAAGGATTGGTTCCGAGCTGCTATCGCAGAGAGTGGCGGCATAACGATGCCATTTACAGTACCGTATAACCATATCACCCCAGCAACATACTTTGCTAGGAACATGACCTGTAACACGGAGAACAAGTTAGAAATGTTACAATGTCTACAGCAAGCGCCTGCAGAACGAGTACTTAAAGTTATTGTTGATACAATCACAGAGGACTTCAGCGGTGGGTCGGTCAAGGTCACGTTGAATCCAAGTGTTGATGGCGAGTTTATTAAGAGACGTCCGATTGATCTATATCAAGAAGCAAGAACTGAAGTGCTGGAAGAAGTAGAATTTTTCAGGTCAATTATTTTCATGAATGGAATAAACGCTGCTGAAGGTGCAGTGTTTACTATCATGCACGCAAAACCCGCTAGATGTAGACAGCTTTAAAGTTACACGGGAAGAGATGAACAATGTTGTGATGCCGGCAGCTGCTGCGTTAGCCTTTTAGTTTTAATCGAACAGTAACAGGTGCCACTCAAACAATTACTTTTATTTGAATACACAGACTGGACAAACCCTGATGACCCTAATACAATACGAGACCAATTAATTCGCTTCTACAGTGACGTATTTTTCAAATGTTCCAGCAATGGAATTAAGTCAACTTCACGTGAATGGAACGAACGCGGGAAGTTACATGTATAACTTCCGTGCACGCGTTAAAGGACACATTTATCCTACTCCAAGCTGGGTCAAGCAATCAAATCATGGGGATGAGCTTGGTCCTGTGTTCGGTTACAACTTCCGGTACAACAAGATACTTGGTATATCAACATACAAACCGACAATGGAAGAACAGCAGCTGTCGTTGAAGATCATGACGTATTGGTCAAACTTTGCTAAAACCGGGTATTTATGATTTATTTTTGCACTTTAACACTTTGATATCAGATAAAGAAGGTAAGATTAATTATAAACATGATATCCCAGCTGGAGTTGATTTTGCAAATGTTATGGAAGGACTGTAGCATAGTTCAACACAGCTGATATAAAAACATGATATTGTTTAGATATCAATATTACTAAAAAAATTGACGTTTAACAAATATATTGACTGTAAGTAATGAATGAAATATTCAGTACTTAAAGTGCGTCAGAAAAGACATAAAAAGACATATTTCTTGTGCTATAAACACTTTTAAACCGCTAAGAACATCTTTAGTAAATAAAATGTTCAACTTCTGTAATTTCATCCTCGCTGGTAATAAAGTGAACGATGTATAAAATTAACACACTTTATTATTCATGAAGGTGTAATCATGTATTTAGAAGTAATGAGGTATATGATTTTATATTACAGAAACCCAAATGAACCCATGATTGTTCCTGCTGGCAATGTATGGCCTATCTATACACCAGAATCTCAAGAATATCTGACAGTAGACTTTGAGGAAGATTCCGTCCAGAACTTCATGTATGTACGTGAGCTGGAGTTTTGGCGGAGAACATTGCCCACATTTTTCGATGCTGTTGACCAGAAATCTAGGTTCTCGTCTACTGTATCATCTGAGACAGGATACTGCGAGAAAGACGGACCTTGTAATTGATAGAACCGAAATTTCTTTATTTCATTATTCGGAATGTATTATTTTAATTATGTGTACTGTCTTAGCAATATGACAGTCACATACATGTTTTGGAAAGTTAATTAGTCTTTTCTTCAGGGTAATTTCAGATCTGAATGCAAGTTTATTCTAAATAAAATGTATATTTAAAACACAATGTAGTTTAAAAATGTCTTTTAGAAGCTTTAATTATTGACTCATATTTTTCAAAAGTTAAAAAGCCAGACATATTATTTTAGGTACAGAATAAAAATGTGCAATTTAAAATATACGACAAGAACTTGAAACTTGTCAACATTTTATTAAAGTACTTAAAGCTCTCTTGATATACTCATTCATAAATCAAGCGTCTGGTGTGTCAAGATCAACTGATTCATGTGGTCTATTACAGCGGTAAACAGCAGCAAGTAAGAACAACATAGAAATGACGCCAAAATACCCTCCATATACTGTAAACTGAAATATAAAGTATATGTGACTATGCTTGTGCTCTGAATAAGAAAATTTGTTGAACAACTTACAAAACATTTATAGTATCACGGGGGAGGAACTGTTTCACGAAGGATGAAGTTCTTATGATAACTCCTTGCTCCTTCGTGTAACAGTTTCTCCTCCGTGAATATGTTACTCGAAAATGTTTTCAACACTATTTCAGTCATAAAAATGAAAAAAGAATATTAACATCGATAGAGAATCACAATACACCTTCCATCTTTATCACTTTGGAGTTAGTTGAAATAAGAAACATGAAGTAAGGTTCACTCACCTGATCAACAACACCTGCTCCAAGCCCTGCTTTGTCTACCACTATAACAGTTAGTATGGACTCAAGAACCAGAGAAGCGAACATATTACATCCGAATGTTAACCCATACCTCTGTTTAACCAAACTCTGAGCAATTTGTGCCCTGAAAGACGCAGGTGAAGGTCAACATGTATTAACAAATATAAACAAGTGAATGTAGACCTAATTATTATGTGAGATGTGTATAATGTATTGTGGAAAAATTAACAAGTCATCTTATTTGAACGAATCATAGAAAAATATAGTCGAGTTAAGAAGGCATGTACTTACGTTGCTATGGTAACGACTGTAACATAGGATGTGCGGAAGAGCACGTACATTGCATAAGCTACCCAGATACTACTTGTGTGTGCCATTACAACAAGGAAGGCTGCATTTCCGGCACATACCAAACCCATAAACAACTCGGCCCGTCTTGACCAGTTGACTGGTACAAACCCAACAGTCAGGACAGTAATACTGCCTGAAAATAAGCAATATGCTTAGACGGTCGTAACAATTGACTGTTCTCATACTCAATTGCATTTTGGAGTTGGATTTATATTTACTCTTTCTTATCTATTAAAATATGAACATAATTATCAAAAAGGAAATGGATGTTCACAATAGTATTATGGCTTACTAATAATACGTGTACAAGTACTAAAGTTTGGTTAGGAACTATAAGAACTTTGTCTTAATTCTATGTGATGACGGTAGATCATATATGTAAAAGTTACCAAGTAGTGTCGATGCGGCTTCAACGGCCCCATTGTAAACATCTTGCTCTTCTCCCGGACTATCTTTGACTGATATAACTGCCCACAGATTCTGGACATAATTCAGAACTTGGAAGTTTCCACAGGATGCTATAGCCCACCACACAGACCACACTAATACAACCCTGTTCCTGTATACATCTCTTAGTTCGGACCACATAAAGACAAAGCCATTTCTACACCTGTTACCTCCATCGTATACATTCATGGTACTTTTGTCTTTAACATGATCGTCAACACCTTCACTTTTCGTCCCACATTCTTGAATATTGGGACTTTTTGAAGTTTCAAAATTCGAATTATTTACATTACCATTGTTCTCATTTGGATCTTTAGCATATTTGTATTGTTTTCTATGAAATATTTCTGAATGTTTTGGCCAAGGCAATAATAACGGTATCACAAACGCGATGCAAACGCTGACAAATGAAAACACGTGAAGATCATAAAAGTCCATAACATGAAAAGAATATAAAAACTGAGCCAGAAGAAAAGACAAGAATTTACCAACCAATGTAGCTGCTCGTGTAAAACTGGATATTTTCTTAAAGTGCTCTTTCGGCACTTCTACATACAAATATGAGTAATATGCTACTTCCCCGGCGGTAAATAGTCCATATAAAACTTCCACAAACTTCATAGCGACAACTCCCTGTGCCCAGAGTAAAAGAGCCCATGTTCCAATCGCAGCAGCACCGTCAATGATCAAAACTGGTTTGTACCGGAGAAAATCAGTGAGTAAGAAGACGGGTACTAGCCATATCAGATATGAATATGTCCACCATGGGTATATCTCATTTGACACCTGCTCTATTGTAAGATTTTTCCATTCACCTGTCAGGTATAATGTGAGAAACGCCTCTGACGGTCGCATCTCTTTTACAAATCCAAAACTACATAATAACGCCGTTAACAGCTCCCAGTTCATTGTTTTGTTCTAATGCATTAGAATCTAAAATAATTGTAATATACACAACTCGCCTATCTAAACATTAACCTTTTCCACAGTGCACATTGCTTGCAGTTTAAGCTTTTAACAATACCAAACGAGCGACTTTCACCAATAAAACTTTTATTTTATTTATTTTATTTAGATAAGAAACAGTAGCAATCGTTTATCTGATGAACCTGTGCGTAGCCTTTTAAATCAAAGCACTGAAAGTACTATGGATCAGCAAATAATTATAGATACGAAATAATTAAATGGTTGGAATGGTTTGCAGAAAATAATTATTTTAAACAAAGGAAGGCGAATATGTATGGGAGAAAAGGAAATGCAAAGAATAAGTTTTGTGCATATATGCATTGTCATTATAGATTTGGAACTCTCATTTTCACATGTCTTTTAGCTGTATGTGCGTCTTCTTGCTATATACCACTCATAATAGCCATTTGCTATCAACACTCGACATATTGGCAGTAAAACATATTTGTAAAACAAAGAGTCAAATAGAAAAATGTTGATACGTGGATGAAATATCTTCCCAATAAAATCAATTGTCTTTGGTTATGTGTACATCATACATTATTCTTGCATAAAAAACTGCGCGTTAACATTACATCAACGGAGAAGAAAACATAAATAAACGAATATTTTAATCACGAGAACCTGTGTCGTTGTGACACGTGTTTTAATATATGTGACACAGGGCGCCTTGTGAATTAGCTGGAATAAGTTACCGAAACAGGCGTAATCACATTTTTTTCATGCATTAACATCTGCAGAAGCCTTTGGACTCATGAAATTCCCCACCCTGCGACCTCGAACTTTGCGTGCGTCCTCGTGTTTTTGTAGATGTTAATGCACGAAAAACGTGCATTAACCCTCAATTATTATTATTTAAGTATAAAAAGGCCGAAAGTTGCGGTAGGGGACATAATCAGGTTTATTTTATATGATGTGGCTGAATAATATGGTGATATTATGTCTACTATTATTTTTAATTTAGTTAAATTTGATTATTTAAACAAAGACATTTATTACCAAAAATAACTTTATTGAGAAAAGCAAATAATGTATGCCTAAATTTTTAAATGTTATAGAGCTACGCACTTGAATCACCCATATATCCTGGTTAGCTGGGTTCTGATTAAGTTTATTAAATGGGACAAACATGCGTTAATACAAACATTATGCATCTTAAGACTTTAAAAGTGATAGAAACGCAGGAATGCTATGTCAATAGCTGCAAGTCTTGTAGATCTACTATTGTAACGTGAAATTTGATCATTTATAATGGCCAATCAGAATTAGTCAAACGAGAAACACGTTTTATTTTTTCTTACGCAGATAAAACTTTGCATTGTGCATTTATCAGTAACGTTTAAAGTATGTTGGTTTCTTGTAGTTCTCTTGATTCAAATTAGTCTTAAAATTCCGGATTTAACATCCGTGTTAACGTAAGTAGTGTTGACAAAGTTAATATAAATACGTAAAATTTTGTCATGACTTAAAATGCAATTTGTCGGGCATATTTATATAGATCTAAGTGAATACATGTCAAAACGAAAGTAGCAAATGTCAGATATAGAGTGTACAGTACGTTCCAAGTTTATGATAAACATGAAGCATAATTGATATGCAGTAAGATTTTGTCGTTGATATATCAGATAAATATACTAAATTTTGAGGTCATTTTACTTTGTTGAGTACAGATGGACGAGACGCAAGCTGAGTCTAATATAGGTCTATGTCATGTTTTGTATAGTGGCTGTGTTATATTATGTCTTATATAGTGGTAGTTATGTCATGTCTTGTTTAGTGAGTGTTTTATGTCATGTCTAATATAGTGTCAGTTCTATAATGTCATGTTTATAAAATGACAGTTCTATGTCATGTTTTACATAGTGACAGTTCTATGTCATGTTTTATGTAGTGACAGTTCTTTGTCATGTCTTATATAGTGGCTGTTTCATGTCATTTTTTAAAGTGGAAGTTTTATGTCATGTCTTATATAATGGCTGTTTATGTCATGGCTCACACAGTGACAGTTCTAGGTCATGTCTCATATTATGGCTGTTTTATGTCATGTCTTATAAAGTGACAGTTCTTTGTCATGTTTTATAAAGTGACAGTTCTATGTCATGCTTATATAGTGAGAGTTATATGTCATGTTTAAAATATAGTGGTTGTGTTATGTTATGTTAGTTATTTAGTGCATGTTTTATGTCATGTCTTATACGGTGACAGTTTTATGTCATGTTTTATTATAATGACAGCTCTATGTCATGTTTTACATAGTGACAGTCGATTAGAGTGGCTGTGTTATTTCATACCTTATATAGTGGCTGTTTTATGTTGTGTCTTATATAGGTGCAGTTTTATGTCATGTCTTATATAATGGCTGATGTGTGTCATGTTTAATATAGTTACAGTTTTATGACATGCTTTATATAGTGGCTGTTTGATGTCATGTCTTATATGTGATGGTATAGGCAAGCCGTTTAAAGTATTTTTGGGGATATTTTATATTTATAGTATAAGAATGCAAGCCAGTATTGAAGGTGAGATTGTGACATTACATACACACAGTTCAAGCACTGCTGACCTTGTAAACGAGCAAGTTAACATTGCCAGGAAGGAGGTGATGTTGTTATATAATTATATAATATTAATTTTTAAGATTTATTTTATTTATTTGCTTACATCTATAGACGGAACATTGATCTATATTTCTGCCTTTGATACCAGTCTGGCTTATAATGAAGTAAGCGAGCTTAGGTAATGTTGTACTAGCTAGGACACTACGTTAGAGGCACCATACTGATACCGTAACTATTTTTTCCCTTTAAGGGTATTGTATTTCAACCTTTCTCTGAGAAAAAAAATCACTTATACTGTCAGTTCGATATTCAGTATACTAAGTAGTTATCTTTCAAATATGCTGTCTACTTTATTAGGTTTAATAACTTAAGTAAATTGTCTATAAATTGTCTCGAAATATCAGAAAATTGTTACGTGCACTTAAGAATAATATATTGTTGTATTACAGGAGAGCGAGAAACATTTCTGTTTATGTAATCTTGGAGATATAATTCACAAGTACCAACGATGGACGACACTTTTACCGAGAGTTAAACCTTTTTATGGTATGATTATAATGAATTTTACCCTCATTAACACATTTGTTTAGAAGAATTCGTTGGTAAGTCTAAGGCCACGCATTCACTTCCGCATAGCCACCCACATTCCATGTCATACAGTGAAACATTTTGGTCAACAATATACAAAATATCTTATCATGAATAAGTTAGACTTTGTTTCAACGAAGGAACACAAGTTTGAAAAGTCGGCTAATGTGTTAAAATATAAATACATATACAATAGTTTCTTGTTCTAGTATCATGTAAAGTGATGAATGTTTGTGTTGTTGTTTTGTTTTAGCTGTAAAGTGCAATGAAGAATTACCAGTACTGAAGGTCCTCGCTGATCTGGGGGCATCATTTGACTGTGCTTGTAAGGTAACTCACGATCCATCCTGGATTATCCTTGTGTATTTTAGGTTATCATGGATTGAAAGCAAAATACATCAGATTTTTGTTTTTCAACATAATCTAAATATCCACTTAAGAAAACGAAGCAAATTGATGAATACTACTTTACATTCAGCTTAGGAGAACAGCTCAATAAGCCTTGCAGTTTTCAAAATGCCATATCTTTAAAGAATACAAGCTTAATGTATTACTATATGTACATTGTATTAGCAGAACAACTTTTCTCTTTTTCATTTCTTAAACTATTTTAATTCAGCACGAGATAGAAAAGGTTCTCAATATTGGCGTAACACCAGCACGTGTCATATACGCACAGCCATGCAAGCAACCTTCAATGCTGAAGTTCGCGGAACAGAAAGGTGTGGACAAAATGACGTTTGACAACGTGGAGGAACTGTATAAAGTTAAGAAGATATTTCCAACAGCCAGGTGGGGTTTAATACTTTTCATCATATGTCATTCATATATTAGGCTAAATTTGAGGTCAGTCTATTATATGTTTTATTTAGGACAGTCGGATTAATGATGATATCTTTTTATATTTACAGATTAGTTTTAAGGATAATGATAGACAGTGAGTATAAGGGGAATCAAGATTTCAGCAGTAAGTACGGGTGTCATCCATTGGACGTTCCCACTGTTCTCGAGACTGCGAAAGAACTAAACCTTAACGTCGTTGGTGTTAGGTAAAATGCATCATATATAGACTTGAAAGTATTGTTTTATCAATATGCTTAAATAAACATGAACGAAATAGAGTTGAAAAGTATGTGTGTGAAATTTTAACAAAAGTTGTAAAATTTGAAGGATTTTTGATAACATATTCAAGTGTAGGCCGGCCTACTGTCAACACTTAACGGGAGTAGTTAAAAATGTTAAGCAATAAATCAAATACAGCAGAATTTAAACAAGTGAAGACAAGCTATCAAGTGTCATGCGTTTCAACTTTTACTGAAAAATGAGCATTATCTTTCAGTTTTCACGTTGGTAGCAACTGTTATGACTCTAGGGCATTTTCAGCAGCCATACAGCAATCAAGGCAGGTATTTGATACCGGGGCTGGTCTTGGCTTCAATATGACACTGCTTGACATAGGAGGTGGTTTCCCAGGTCAACTTGATACTGGTACAAAATTTCAACAGGTACGTATTTAACGCGCACCTCGAGATGTCAAATATCAACCTGATTATAACATTTTATGTATAAGCCAAGAGTAGCGGTGGCCTAGTTATTAAAGTGTATGCCTCTCAACCCAGCGTTCATGGGTTCGACCCTTTATCAGGTCAAGACCATGTTACTTTATATGACACCACTACTGGTTGGTTTCTGGAAGTGGGCTCAAAAGTGATTAGTAGAAGTTGCAAGAACTTGTTTCGCAATCGATCTTAAATAAATATGTTTAAACCAAACCATATAAATCTTGACTTTATATAAGAAATACTGGAACATAAATTGTTTCCTGCTTTAAATATTTGATATATATTGAGAAAACTACATGCAAATGTATTATTTGTTTTGTTTTTAAATTAGATAGCTGATGTTGTAAACTCCAGCTTAGATACACACTTTCCTTGCAATGAAGGTTTGGAGATTATAGCCGAGCCGGGACGCTACATGGTCGCATCCGCTTTTACTATTGGCGTCAACATCATAGCAAAACGTATTGTGTCACACAGACCAAACAAACAAGATAAAGGTATGTTGTAAATTGTAACACTATCATAATAATAAATATTATACATGTATCCGCAGACACATCGTAAAAATTGCTTCTGATAATTCAATCTTTGTCACACATTCAGCAATGTTAAACAAATATAAATAAGAGGGCTTGTCAAATACTTAAACGCTAACTGATAAGTTTATTTTGAAAACAAGCAAGTATTATATAAGAGGTGAATAGCATGTCAGTGTTGTAAGATCCAAAATTAAACTTCACAAAGTTTGTTGTGCAATATTGTATAACTGATATCAATTCTACTTTATATAATGCAGGGACTGGCATAAACAGAAATGACCCGACTGTAAAGTCTATAATGTACTATGTGAATGATGGAGTTTATGGGTCATTCCTAAGTAAACTTTCAGTGGACAGAAAATATGAGGCGAAATCTTTAAAGGTAGAAACATTATAACTTTCTAAGCGCAAATTAACATCACTTCAGTTTTAGGCCAGCCGACATTAACTAATTCTCTACCCATATTGACCAGTTTCCTACTTCAAAAATCTGGAACAGTAGTGGATGGACACAAACTAACATTGGGCAAATATCCAATGAATCAAGTAATGCCCGGGATTCGAACTCCCTACTTTAAAGTTCTTGAACCTCATATACACTCTGACTACTAAGGTAAAATGGCGAACTAAGCAACCCTTCTCTATCCAAACAACACTAATACAGTGACTGTTGACTTACAATGTAACAGGACATTGTCTATCACTGACCAAGGACAAGAACTTAGAAAATAATGCATGCTACAAATTGTTTTATTTCGTTTTCAGCTTATATAAAAATATTCATAACTTTATATTAAGAATAAACAGAAAATGATAAAGAGGTATGTCTGTTATACTAAGTTTTAGACAGTGTTTTACTATGTTGTAGACAGACCAAGATGCTGCCTTGTATGAGAGTAGTGTATGGGGACCTTCATGTGACAGTGTTGACTGTATTGTAGACTCTACATTATTACCAGCACATGATGTTGGAGAGTGGCTGTATTTCCCCGACATGGGGGCTTACACATTGTCATCACACACAAAATTCAATGGAATGGAAGAGCCTAAGCTAATCTATTACTGTCAAACCGACACTTGGTATTTATTCTACAAAATTCTATATCTCCCTGTTTAGTTCTAGTATATAACTGCTAATTTCTTAAATATTCCTTTCAAAATAAAGTTACTAGTTAAACAATTTCCAGTTTAACATTTCAACTTGTTTCACATTCCGAGACAACAATTAAGAATACATATCTCTGGTGTAAATTCTAGCACATACAGTCAGACGTGTATTAAGTGACCGCATGTACATATATGTCTGTCAATATAAAATAAGTTATTATGTCATTAGCTTTAATACTTTCAATGAACTAATACCACTTGAGTAAAAACATTTTCAAAATTGTTTTAAAGTGGGTAATGCTTTTAATGTATATATTTCAGGAATCGGTTATACAGTGAGAAGTCTTACCAGTATAATGGACCAAATAATACAACATAAGAGTTATATAGTCTCACAAGCATACTTTATGCTGTTGAAACATGTGTTAGTCTTGTCTGAAACAATTGCAAGTAACATGTATTTTATTCCAGTCAGATTGTATTATTTGAAAGCAAATGTTCTATTTAGTCTGACAAGTTGGAATATCATCATTTTTATGTATATATTGTACATGTCTGATGTACTTTTAACACAAAGTAGTATAGGCTTTATATAATAACATATAATGGGAGAATAGGAAGCAATTTTTATACTTATCACATATTGACTTTAAACTTAATATACTTCTGTATTTCTTGACAGCACTGATAATTAATTGGTAGAAAGTAAAGTTTATTTTAATACCTGATCTTGCTTTCAATTCATTCCTTTCAAGGAAAGTACCATTCACATTCATAATAACTTTGATAAACCCTTATACTTTTATCATACCATGTTTTTATGAAAATAGGTTTTCTATCCATCAAAATATATTGGTTATAGAACAGGGGCATTTCTTACATTTCCATAGAAATAATCGGTATTTTTTCTAAAAATTCTTCATAAGCACCTAAAACATCTTTCCAAAATGAATTTTTCAAAATATTATATATATATATTCTTTACATAACTTTCGACAATTAAACAGCTTCTTAATATCTAAAAAGTTATCTAAAATAGTGTAACATTTATCACATTCAGATGATACAATTCTTCTTAACCATGAAAATGTTTAACTTTTCATGTAAGCACATACATCAATCATTTTAGACCACCATTTACATATTCCTTCACCAATACAGAAGATTTAATCTTTGGCGGACCTTGCCACACAAAATCATAAACATATTATTTCTGAGAATTAGGATTTGGAAGTGACATAAACAATTTAGTTAATAAAGGAAGTACCATTAGTTTTTTTTTCTAAAAAAGTAATGATTTTTGAAGTCTAGTTATATTTTTCAAGATTACAAAAAGTATTTAGTTGGTGTTTCACCATTATCAATCCATTCTGCTCTAGAGTGTATGAAATTACCTTTAATTTTGTCTTGTCTTATAGTTTCCAATTCTTTTTGCAAGTTTAATAATCTAATATTTCCAGCACCATTTGTATTTATTTCTAAATCTGTAATCTGTGATATTAAATCATCCTCTCTAGATTTGCTTTTCTTCTTAAAACTTGCATAAGAAATAGTTTTTCCTCTTATTTCTATTCACAGAGTTTCTAAAAATAACTGGTCATCAATAACAAATGATAGTTCATTATAGCTAAAATTTTCAATAGTTTCTATATTACATACAGGTAAACAGTATTGTTTTTTTATTTTTTCAATGTTTTCATTAATAATATTCAAATATTCTTTATCATATAAAAGAGAGTTATTGAATTACCAGAGACCTTTACCATGAGTAACATTACTAAGATCTAAACTAAGTGTTACAATAGAATGATCTGATCTATAGCTAAGACCTACATCACAACTCCTTACCTGAGGTAAAATATCCTCAATAATCAAAAAAAGAAATCTAACCTAGCCTGCTGTGTCGGACTTGTACAACGCCATGTATACTGTCTAATATCTTTATTACATTCTCTAAACGGGTCAAATAAATGTCAACTATTAATATTTTAAAGAAGTAAATTTCTAGCTTTCTTATTATTATCCATTGATTTATAATTGTAATAATCAAGGTTAGTATTTAATACAAGATTGAAGTCACCACAACACATGTAGGAATCATTTTCTATAACATCAATAATTGGGGTATCTTGTGTGCAATCACAATCCTCTGTAAATCTTTGTTAGAATATTAATTTATAATCAACTTTTATTAAGGATATGTACTGCAAAATTATATGAAAGTCGGTGAGGGCATAAGTCGCCCTGGTAGTGTGTGTAAATAAGGGAGGTAAATCCGAGTTGCACCATAGACGTCTGTAATATGGACATGTATAGTCAAAATGTTTTGACATTCCCCGATATTTTTGTTCTGGCTCAGGGAAGATATATAAAAATTGCGCGCACCTACACAAAATAACATAATATATTAATGTGCAGTGCAATTAGTCGGACTGACATATGTGAACATATCAGAAATTTTCCTCACCATGATAGTGGGAAGTTACATAATTATGTATTAAATAATTTCGACGGTTACTGGGTTAAGGAACAGAATTGATGCATTTATTCCATCTTGCTTTATGATATTTAAACTTTGCATTATACTGGATTCCATTTTGCATTATTTCATTCAAACTTGCGTAGCGACTTATTCTTTCATTGAGTGATAAGTATTGAAGTTGCACAAGCCATTTATCGTACTGTTTTTTTAATTAACCTTATATACCTTTATGCATATGTTAGCTTTCTTCGTGCACTATACAAACTATTTACGGTTTAGTTCGTTTTTGTATAGTTTTATGTAGAAGTCATTCAAAATCGAATATATTTTATTCCCTACTTCTTTTTGTACACCTAAAAATTACAAGATGGATTTTGTTAAAGTGTGCCTTATGTGACTTATTGCTCACATGGTGTAGCTTTCGCTTATTTCCTTTATCCAATGTTTCATGCTAAATAAGTTTGGTGTCCCATGCTTTGTGGATCATGTTTGGTCATCTGACATTGTATATAAACAATTTAAACAATGTCTAGCAATTGTGAACTGTTAATGAAAAAAAAAATCTACAAAACGACAATTTTTCTTCAAAATTATATGTAAGGCCATGTTTTAACATGGAAAAACGTGATTTTGGGTAATTTCATCATTTTCTGTTAACCCATTAACAGATATATGTATATACACCTTTTTCTTTTTTTTTTTTTTTTTTTAATGTGTTTATTTAAGGTCGCCGCCGGAAAGCCCATATGGGCGACCGTACACTCAAGTCAGGCCATCCTAGAGCGTCCCGCCGAGATTTTTTCGTCGATTTTTCCAGCTTTATTGGTGGAGGAAGACCCCAAGTGCCCCTTCGAGCATTATTTCATGCACGAGCGGGCACCTGGGTAGAACCACCGACCTTCCGTAAGCCAGCTGGATGGCTTCCTCACATGAAAGATTTCGACCCGAGTGAGGATCGAACCTACAGCGGTGAGGGACCTGTGATCTCAAGTCAACGACCTTAACCACTCGGCCACGGAGGCCCCACTCACACCTTTTTCACTCCCCCCCCCTTTTTGTTGTCTAAAATCGTGAAAAATGCCTTAATTAGGCCCCCAACATTTGTTTTTGTTTGAGAAGTGTTGCTTTGTTGCAGCCCCCCCCCCCCCTCATCACCAAGAATATTTCTTGTGAGAGCCTAAAAATGACCAAAGGTCGATCATAAGGTAACGTGCAACCAGCACTGAAAAGCCTTTGACTATCTCAATCCATTGAGAAGTTGCAGCACTTTGAAATCAATTTTGATGGAAAAAATCAATGCAAAATAGTGATTTTTGGCAATTTTGAGATGTCCCCTCGTTGCCATGGTAATAGGAAATTTAAGTTACAAAGGCAATGGTCCAGTGAACATTTGTGCCCAGTTTGATTAGTATTGAAGCAGTTGTTATAGTTTTATAGCAACTTGAACTTGAAATGGGAGACTTTTCACTGAAAACAGCCATTTTTCACAAATTGCTCATGCGGTAATGGGTTCAGGGGTGAGAACTCTCTTATTGAGATGAACAGAATTTTTCCTTATTTCTCCTATAATTGGAATGTTCCGTACATAAACTGCGGTGAGCATACAACGGTATTCTTTTGCGTACATATAAATACATACCAAGTACTAAATATATATAGCTAAGAATGTCCTTTTAAACACCGAACATAATACGCTGTCCTTAAAAAGATGTTATTATATATATAGCATATTAAAATATGTGAGTTTGGAACACATGAAGTTGCAATTACATGATAGTGCATTCAGAAATCATAATGCATGATAATTCAGCAAAACGTAGGTACCCATTGTCATAAAGAAGTATGGAAGCAAGCATAATGTTAGTACCAATATCATCAAGCAAGATGGAATAAATGCACTAATTCTGTGCCATATACGCCTTTATCAATGACACAAAATTATTATAAATAACATCGCACCAGCCTCAATTAAGTCACTTCTTTTATTTCCACTTTTTTAACATCACTAGAATGAGGATCAAACATGTTTCCTAGTCTTTCAGCTTCCTCGTATGTCCTTATAATTTCTCTAGGTGACCATTCCTTAATACAGTCTGGAGTGAATGGATCCTGGGAGATGAGATCTAAGTCTTCTATAGGCATACTTGTAGATAGTCTATATGAATGTAGCATCATTCTATCTGGTGATGTATCCTGTCTTAAACTGTAGGTATAGTCACCAACTATAGTGTTACCTATATAATCACAGTGTACTCTTAATTGATGCTGCTTACCTGAAATACATTATATACATGTACATTATAGATATAGAAGATTTAAATGTAAATTACAAAACTGGAGCATCAATAATATCAACACAAAGGGCAGATAATGGCATTTAATGTTATTATGCTCTCTTTCAGATTTATTTCCCTTCTATAGTGTATAATTGTTACATGTGCACTGCATGCGCATAATCAGAGATGGGAATGGGGGTGGGGTAGGGGCCATGTACCTCATTGGGATTTAGCTGTTCTGTTTCAGAATAATCATAAAATATAAAATTACATCAAGGATCAGATATTCTTTTATGTTTTTATAGTGAAAATCACACAAAAGAATTACTCATTATCCTCTCCGGAAAAACAGTAAACTGCTAAACCCTATTTTGTATATGGCTTATGCTTTACCCAATGTCTTAATTTTATGACCCCTCCACCCTCTCTAGAACAAGAGGGCCATGATGCCCCTGAAATTGCTCACCTGAATATAGAATTTCTCCATGACAGGGAACAAGTAATATTGTAAACTGTAAACAAAAGCAGATATAAAATCTAAATCTTAAACTGATATCACAAAGTTCATATTTGTATCTGAAATCGTGCATGTGTAAAAACATTACTGGTTGCTATTGCTGAGGGAAAACAACAGTTCCAAAAGATGTGCACATATAAGGAAAATCCATCACCCCATGGGCAGGGCAAATTTTGACCCCAGGGCTTTTATCTAAACAAACTTTGAAGACACCCATTAGAAAATTTTTCATGCTTTATATCTAAGCTCTTGCACTTTGGGATTTTTTTAAGATTTTTAAAGTTTTTACTTCATACATATAACGAAAATCAATACATGTAACTGCCAGGAACAGGGCCAATTTTGACCCCACAAACTTGGTAGACACTCACTAGAAGATGTTTTGCTCGAGCTCTTTGGATTTTTATTTTTTAAGTTTTTTCTTTCGGTTGCCATGGCAACCAGAATTAAATTCTTTGAAGGTGACCACCAAAGGAACATTCTTGTGAAGTTAGGATGAAATTTAATGAAGTTTATGAGAAGATGTTGTTTAAATAAAAAAATAACAGACGGATGACGGACGGATGGATGCCAAATAAATTGTGATCACAAAAGCTCACCTTGTCACTTTGTGACAGGTGAGCTAAAAACAACTGCATTGTAAAGATTAAACATCAGAAGTAAAAATCATATATGCCATCACTTGTATAAAAAGTGTTATTCAGTACCAAGTTCTATATACTAAAGAAGATTGACCTATTATAATCAGCAGAACATACAGCCAGAATTAGTTACAGTGACATTATGCTCATATTGTCATTGTCAAGTTGAGCTAAATTGACTTTATATTTCAAAAGATTAACTGCTAATTACATGATGTTTGATGAACAGATTATACTGGAAAATGTTTAGGATAAAATCTAAAATCTGCATTAAATATAAAGACTGCCCCACTCTTTTTTATAAATTGAACGTTACAGGTAAATCTCAATGATATTTACTGAAATTTGTTTGAATCCGGTGGTTATTTATTGTTTATGTGAAGTAAATTATTGAATCAGAAGGAATTATGGCAAAATGAAAATTTATTTTGACGCTCACCTGTTCACTGGCTATATACCTTTAGATGGGCATAATGTCACTTTAATATCAACACTTTACCATCAATGTAGAACTTGGAACAATATCATTTAAAAGAAAACATCAAATGTGAAGCATAACATTATAATGCTTTTTTATAATTCACATTAATATATTTTTATACAAAATATCTCCAAGCTTACTTGAGCTACTATCATAGCATGAGACAAGAGCTTACACCACAAATTTGTCCTGCTTCATTCATGAGTATTACACATTTAATTAACACATACTTTGTTCCTAATGCCTTACAGGTAATTACGCTTGTCGATAATATAAAAGTTTTTAGGAAATGTTTAGGCTAAAATACATTTATAAATCAATGTTTAACACAAAGTTTCATTTTAAAAGTTTAACTTTACATGTAAAATTTGTTATGTCTTTTTTAATATGATCTATACAATAATTGTTGAGGGTAATTTACTCTACCTGCTGGAACCAAAAGTGATTAGACTTTGACACATGTATAGCGCCAGGCTAGCCTGCACATGCAAGAAGTCGGACTGGGCCTGGCACTAACCTGTTGGTAGCCTAATCATTTTATTTTGATTCTGAAATCCCTAATACTTCAAATAGACAATTCCAAATTAAAAGCAGGGCAAATCCATTACACAAATTCAAGGGTTTATACAGAATTGTTTAAGTTTGATTGCATAGGAAGCTTAAAGCTTAAAGACACACTTCTGAACCCGTTCATGGAACCAACCAGTAACGAACAATAAGTGTAAAGTTTCCTGATGAAGGAAACAACGACTTGGCAGCATGGCCACGTGGTTAATGTGTCAGACTAGTAATCTAATGATCACAAGTCATATGGGTTCAAACCCTGTCAGGGTTAAATACTTAGTGATGAGGCTAGTCTAATATACATGTATAAAGCATTTGTAAACTATTTGTGACATACCTGTAATTGGTTTAAGAACAACTTTTGTTGCTGGTGAACCATCAAACAGACCTTTCTCTAGTGCAATCACTAGTGTGTGTGTAATCTTTGGATCTTTACAAGCTGGGTGACTAGATACACACCTCCTTCCTGGCCATTCTTTGTCCTCTAAATCACCAGTTGGTACATCAATAAATACAATATCATCTTCTACATGACCCCTCACCTGTACAATATCATTCACTTATATAAAATTGTGTTAACATCAGTAACAAAGTTACATTTCAGTCTGTTCTATGATAGCAATATTCATTTTCTACAATATTATAAATTAGAATAGAAAGATGCTAACAATGCATAATGTTGTCTGGTAGAAACAGTTATATTCTACAGTTTTACAAGTTAATATAAATATCTGCCTGTAAATAGAACAGTTTTCTATGTATAAAGGCACTTAAATTAAAATCATATTTTGTTTTCATGTACCTTACACCATATAATCATACAGGCCACTGCATATTCAACATTCTAACATGCTTCACTCTATTCTCTATTAAACAGAGAGGAAAATCAAGTGCATTATTACAAGATATAATCATATGATGTCAGATATGATGTCAAAAATCCAAATAATGTCAGGAAAATTATATTGTACTTCTACGCTAAATGTAGTTCAACATATTTTATCAATTCTCTATTTATTATAATTAGCATGTTAGTATGGAAATAGATATTAATATTATAGTATAATAATACAAGGTTTATCATTCAAATGCTTTGTTATTTATCCACCTTCCTGATTATATTCCTACGCATTTGAACTCTCACCATGCATTATTCTACAACAAATGCAGTCAAATTTGATATTAATTACCTAATTAAATAGATAGCAGTGTTAAACGATATTTAATTTGTAATTATTTAATGACAATGTTAAAACTTTTGAAAAAGGAGGCAATAAAATGAACTGTTGAATATTAAACTTAACTGATTTTGTATCAAATGGATAAGAATGTTTACTTTGCATTACATGTATTTCTTTATCAACTTACAAGAGCAAGGTAATATTTCAGCACTTGTTTATTCTTGAACTGGTGAGACAAATGTTTTGCTGCATTTCTGTTCAAAGCCAGACACAATATTCCACTTGTAGCAAAATCTAGACGATGAACATACCTTTATAACAATAATATATCAACAATTATGCGTTCTACAGAGTAGACATATTTCAATAAAACAACACAATTACAGCATTTACATACATGTAATATAAACATGTATATAATTATATTTACAACTTAATCACATATTAATTTCTATAACAAATTCAATTTAAACAAACTATTACTATTTGGTTTTAAGACACCAATAATGTACAATGTGATAACTTCCTAGCTCTTATTATGGCAGACCTCAATAATCTCGTCATACATAACATCAGACACAAACAGGCACACAAGAACCACCAACATTCCTTATGCTTGCTGGATAGATGAAAAAATTCTATATCTCTGGTGGGACCATGTAGGTAAGTTAATCAGAATTTAAACAAAAGATAAAAGATTATTTAGATTACTCAAAAGTCTGTTTTTTTGACTAACCTGTACTGACCCGATGAAGGTAATGAAATGTTGTTTTTCGACTTCTGTCTCAAATCTGAGGATTTTTATTGGCCAGTGTACATTCTGTGATGTTATCTGACCAACCATAATCCAGAGATCAGAGTTTAAGTTGAGATAAGTTTTTGATAACCCCAGACCTAGGTGACATATTACAAAATTCTAACACTATCGGAAATTTTTCTATATAAACAAAGAAGGCCCAAAGCGTGCATTATTCTACAACAATGCACTCACCATTTTTAGTTATCTCCTTGTATATTTTCACATTGAGGGTGACATTTTGTTTGAAAAACCTGATAAATAAAAAACAATTTTTTGTCGAATTTTGTTGTGAAAACTTTCTAGAATGAAAGAAAATGGTCTATCTAAGAAAATGAATCCGAACACCAATATCTTTAATTCAGTCATTAACGCTGTACAGACGTTTAAAGTGTTGTTTACATGACATCACAATGTAGCGCCAAACAGCATGTGCAAAACAATCAAATCAAGTATGCCATTTTAATGTTGCAAACAAGTTAAGTTTTACATTTATTTCACTTTTAATAATTTGTATTTCGCTTGTAAAATTATGGAGTGAAATAAAATAAACAAACAAAGTTTTATCAATGTTTTCAAAACTCGTTATTCTCTTAATGTTTCTACACACGGTAGATTTAACAACAGTTTTTTTCAACCGACTGTAACAGCCTTTATTGAATGTTTCTATTGGAAACTCTGAGGCGAAAACAAATTTAACCACCAAACATAAAGTCCAACTTTATAATAATAATTATATTTTTTCTTGACGTGTTAGAATGGAAATAGATATTAATTCTTTGTGCATTATTTTATAATAATGCACGTTTTTCGTTCAAATGCTTTGTAATTAATCACTCAGGTCTATCGGCCTTCGTGATTATATTACTACGCATTTGAACTCAAACCGTGCTTTATTCTACAACAATGAACTCAGAATTGATATCTATTTCCTAAGTAAACTTTCCTCAAAACTGACCTTAAATGATTTATATATATTGAGTATATTGTATATTCCTAATAAATATTTCCTTAAAGTAATTACAAACTGTTATGGAATTTACCTGAAGCTATGAGCTACTGAGGGATCAACAAGCTCTGGAAACATTTTTCTCAGTTGATGTTCTACTGTTAACTCAGTAGGGTCATCATAGTTAATTTTTATATCATAACCTTTGCTTATACATAAGAAGTTGGTTGATTTGTGCAGAACTTCAGGAAGATTTCCATCCTTGTAAAGTTTGGCTGACAGCATTCTGGTCAAACACTGAGTTGCCATCCTCAAACCCTGGCTCTTGTTGAAAATATAACTTTCTACCTGTAATAAAATAATTAGTCATAGTTGTAACTGCTACCTTACAGTCTTATACATGTATAAATTTACACATGATGAGGTTAATTTTCCAACCTTACTAGGGGAGGAGGAGCAATTACTAAACATTGTCTTATTCAGAAATAAACAAATGACAAAGTTTTCTCAATTTTTTGTTTTGCAGCATCTAAATACATGTACAACACTTCAATTTTAAGATATGTATGACCTTTGACATTTATTAATAAATAATTGACATTGACTAGGACCATTTCTCAAACTAACTAATTATATGGTCTTGTTAACAGTTAATAATAGATTATTGAGTATAAGTTAAATTTTATCTCTTTTTTCATTCCAATAATATATTCATGTAAAAAGACAGTTATAAAGTAGCCTGTATTTTCTGCATCCACTTGGATCAAGTTGGATGCATGATGTAAAGAACTGGGCATCCCAGTAGGCATTTCTGGGGTATACTGATGCAGGATCCTGCATCTAGTAAATCACTGATTCACCAGATTGCTGACAATAGATGAATAGTCAATAATGTACTGGGATCCTACATATTACCGGACAAAATATGATGTTTTTTTATTTGTAACTTTTATTTAAAATAATAAAAAAGAATGGAATTTTACCCAAATAATTTTGGGTTCTAAGTACAAGCAAACATTACTTTATCAAACATGAAATTAAACATTTGACCGTAGAAATGTGGCTTTAAAGTAGGGAATTATTAAGGGACAAAAAATTGTGTAGACAACTCAATTTACCGGACATTGAGTTTCAAATTTTTTTGAAGTCGTGAATTGAAATTAATCTTTAAATAATCAGCAAGGAAACTATGACTTTTGAATGGCAAGTTTAAAATATTGGAAAACCCCAGTATATAACTAGAAATAGACACGGCAGCCATGCCTGTTACGAAGGAATCCGGGTCAGCTCAGCCCTAAAATATACTCGGCCCCCGAGTCAGCTCGGCCCTATTCCAACTCGGCACGGGTCAACTCTGCCCACTTTTAAAAATGGGTAAAGGACATCAAAGGACTACTATTGTCACGGGCTATAATTATCAATCAATGTGTATGTTAAAGAAAACCGATTAATTAGGTGATAATTATGATTGACTCATTCATTCAAATTTGATTAGTGACCACCTGCAATTAATTAGAAGCTTATGCTATTAAGTAAACACGTTTTTATTTAATATTTTTTTGAAAATTACTTTACAAACAAAATGCATCTAAGGAAACACATTTTTATTATATCTTTATTCACATGCACAAGTATCGGACCTGGGAAGAAAAAATATGAAGTTATTTTTATCAATCTGTTCATATTTTTTCTTCCCAGGTTCGATAATTGTGCCTGTGTCTGTATTAATTTTATCGAATCTGCAAGACAAATAAATAACTTTTTTTTCTTAATATACTTTATTTCAGCAGAGGTACAATTTATTATTATAAAATAATAATAATAAGATATTTCTTATTATTCATTTACCTTCACAACATGCAAAGCAAAGTAAATACGTTATAGGCCTATATATTTTTGTAAAGTGGGCTGAGTTGACCCGTGCCGAGTTGACCTGTGCCGAGTTGGTATAGGGGCGAGTTGACTCTTTTCCGTTACGAAGAGGCCAATATAAGGTGTAATTGAAATTAACACTATTAACTCAATTAACGTATTGATTCTTCATGATCCTTAAACGTTGATATTCAAATGGAATACTGTTCTTTGCCATACAGTTTCCTTTCGGTCATCATATAGAATGTTACAAAAGTCATAAAATCTACTTTATTTACATTTCATAGCACGAAGACTGCTGCACTTTCTCAGTGTTTTATCACAGGTGGCAGTATCAGTGTTTGGACACCCCACCCCTATCTGCCCCTGGACCCCTACTACAACCCTGAAAAAAAATAATTCAACACTCTAAGGCTTACTTTAAGATACCAAATACAAAACCACCGATGAAATTATATAAAAAAAATTTTTCCACTATCAAAATTATAGTTATAGAAAGGTGAAAAGCCTACTATATGTTCATTTGCCAAACAATGTGGAACACGGGAAATCGTCGTTTCGGTGACTGAGGCGCATTCCGGCAGGATTTCGCTGCATCATTCATTAACATTAATAAAAAGAACTAGAATTCCACAGCTTATCTAATTCAAGTCTAACGAATATCATAATCATTCCGATTTTTTCTGTTTCATGGTATTTTTTGAATTGTCGTAGCCATTTTGCAGTCTGATACCTGGGTTGAAATGGCAGCGACAAGTCAAAAATTACTGTGAAATAGAAAAAATCGATAGAATATTGATATTCGTTAAACTTGAATTAAGTAAGCTGTATAATTGAGTTCTTTTTATTGATATAAATGAATGATGTAGCAAAATGCCTTCGGAATGCGCCTCAGTCGCCGAAACGCAATCCGGTCAACTCGTCCCCTGGTCAACTCGTCCTCTGGTCAACTCGTCACCTTTTTGGTCAACTCGTCCCCTACTTTTGGTCAACTCGTCCTCAAAGAGTCAACTCGTCCCTAATATGGTCAACTCGTCCCCTACTTTCGATCTATTCGTCACTATTATGTTGTAAATCAATGTCTTTTAAATAGTTCTTTTATGTAAAATATGTAAAATTAATAATGAATTTGATTGATATCGAAATATTTTAAGCTTTAATGTAACTTACATTATTGTTATTATCTTTACATCTTTATTTGCTTTAGAGTTGGACATATACTTCTATTATTTTATAGGATGGCATAGAAGACTGAATGGGAGGGCTGGGGGAACACCTCCATTCTACCTTTTGATAAAACTTCTGTACGATGAGGCCCAGGTAGCGGTGAGGAACTCTGAGTTGATTAGTGAAGAAAGACTTCGCCGCTACCAGCGGAAAAATACACCTTTCTCCAGGGACAGACTCACCAGCTGTGGGACAGGTACAGGAATTGGGAGTTGTCATCAACGGGACTTCTAAGAGAATTCGGGAACCTTTATAAGCCCCAAGAGTCGTAAGATGTCAGGAAAAAAAAGACAATGAAATATGTGCATGAAAAAAACAATGAAAGTGTGAAAGTGAATATATATGACATAATATTGACAAAAAAGACATACTATATGATATTTTATCATTGCATATAAAACATGTTTTTATACATTAAATGTTATTGCTATTGATCGTCTTCGTGTTGTTTTTTTTCGTATGTAATTTAATCAGAATTATGCATATATATCCTTATTATTAGATAAAACTCCAAATATTCGCATACAAAAAGCGTCAAAATATGTCCAATTCAGTAATTTTATAATCGTATTACTTTTAACATATGGAAAAACTAGAAATGTGTCCATAGGACACGGATGCCCCCACACGCCACTGTTCTGTCAATCTTATGACTCTAGGTCAAATATTTAAGCAAAATCTGCCATCCGGTTTAAGAGGAGTTGCGTTCACAAAATTTCTACATAGTATATAGTGAAAAAATCAACAAAGGGCCATAATTCTGTTAAATTTGGTCGCAGCAAAAATTCCTTCCTTTACTGCCATCTACACATTAAGGTTGTTCATCCCTGGAAGTTTAAGCAAAATCTGCCATCCGGTTTAAGAAAAGTTGCTTCCACAAGATTTCGGGACGTACGGACACTCGGACGGACAAGTGCAACGCTATATGCTCCCACTCTGTGGGAGCATAAAAATAGTAATAAAATGTAGGGGACGAGTTGGGGACGAGTTGACCAGGGGACGAGTTGACCAAAAAGGTGACGAGTTGACCAGGGGACGAGTTGACTCTGAATCCGCCGAAACCACGATTTCCCGTGTTCCACATTGTTTGGCAAATGAACATATAGTAGGCTTTTCACCTTTCTATAACTATAATTTGATAGTGGAAAAAATTTTTTTTTTATATAATTTTATCGGTGGTTTTGTATTTGGTTCCTTATAGTAAGCCTTAGAGTGTTGAATTATTTTTTTTTCAGGGTTGTAGTAGGGGTCCAGGGGCAGATAGGGGTGGGGTGTCCAAACACTTTATATACATATATAGACCGATTATGTAAAATATTTGATTATGTGACTAGCGCCTGTGCACTGATACTGCCACCTGTGTGTTTTATATGTGCCAAAACTGTGTTAGAGTGAAGACAGTATAAATTAAATCAAAACACATTCGTCACGATTTAAACTGTCAAAACAAACCTGTTAAAAATCCCGCCAACATGGCATAATTCAAGCATTAAAAATATTCATAAGATCTAAATTTACAGTCATAAAATGGCGGTGTCTGAAAAAGGGGAGGTAACTGTGTAATAAGTTTCCGAATACACTGACCACCATTCCAACTAAGGATATTATTGTGCTATTTTGTGTTTTGGCAATAGAAGCTGGGACAGAATAACAACATATTTACATATTCTGTCCAAGATAGAAGCGAGATTCCGACCTAGAACAAGAATAAATAAATAAATGAAATAATTAAATGAAAATGTTTGTTGAATCACCAAGAAAACATGACCGCTATCATATACCAAGTGACAGTAAATAATTTATATATAATATATCTCCTTTTTGTTGTAAAATGTACATGTATCTGGAAAGACAATAGATAAATAAATCAGCAGTTTATACTATACTACAAAGAACTTCGACATTGACAAACTCAGCTTTTATTTTCCGGAAACAATCTCTCCTCTGCACGTCACACCAAGCCATTCTACCGAAACTATCTGCCAAGATGAAATTGCCATGTTTAATAGTGAAAATGAAAAGATTATATAAAGTACAAAATATAGCCATCTCTTCTTTATATGGAATCTTCAAAACCACAGACTTATAACAACCAGGACGATTTTTGACTCAACAAATTCAATTTAAAAACATTAAAAATGTTGTTTGCACAATGCCAGTATTTTCTTTTTATAGTTACATAAAAGACATCCTTATTTTCTTCACTTTTGCTCAAAAATTTTGTAAAATATTTATCCTGGTAAAGGTTTGTTAAGAACCGAAAACGGTAGATTATAACATAAATTACTTAACCTCCACTGGTGTTGACGTTTTTTGTTTTTTTTTTTTAATTTTTTTTTATTTCTTTTTAATTTGATATAATATTTTTATATAAATTAATAAAAAAATTCTTCTTCCCTGAAACTGCAAAGGCTATAGCTTCTATATTTGACAAGAAGCATCGTCTAATAAACCTCATAGACCAAGGATGTTCAAATTCAAAATTTGCACATCCCCGGGTAGTCATGGATTTAGCGAAAAAACTTTCCCAAAATTACCCAGCCTAGATTTTTTGTACGTTGAGCTACAGCTGGAACATACGATACGGGGACGGGAAACACAGAGATTATCGCTCCTTATGTTTACGTCCAATCAGGAATCAGCGCCGCCATTTTACAATTTTAGTTCAAAGCGGAGGAAATGTTCGGTCAGAAAATCGATCGGTATGTTTACTTAATGGGGTTGAAGTCCCTAGAAAGTAAATGAAATAATTTTGTAAGTATCATGACATTGATCCGATGTATTTTTAACATGGTGTATAAAGTATGTAATGTGAAAAACTGTGTCTGTTGAAAGAATAAAAAATTCAATCGAACTGATGTTTTGTGTTGATCGCCGTGAAAGGGTAATTTTTGTCTGCAAAACTTCGTATAAATAAGTAAATTACAAGAAAACTGACAGAATATTTTGATAGATCCTTTAAATATCTTTGGTTTAACGTTAAGATTATGGAATTTTAGTGAGATAAAATGAAATTTTACGGGTTCCAATTTTATGAACTGTGACAAAAATCCGAAAAATAAAATGGCGGAATGCAAACGTGATGTACATTTTTTGTCCCGTAAATGAACGTTATATGTTAATTAAATTTGTCCCATGTTAGTATTTTTTAGTAAAACATAAACATATCTATAGCAAGAAAATAAAATTGGATCAATTATCTTGTAGGATTTTTCATTACGCTGTGTCAAATTTCAACAATTTTTTGGTGAAATCTGAGACCAAACCATAAATTGACGAATTTGCAGTTAAGTCGTTTGATATTTAAAAAGTAGAAAAAATAATGTTTTAGAAATAGGTATAGGGTTTCTTTTAATTTTTGAAAACCATAATTTGTTATCTGAATGAGAAAAAAAACAACATCTTTATTAAAAATTATAGATTCCTTAGCTGTGTCATTGGATATCATGAATGATATCCTGTCATGGTGTCAATTGTTATTTGCACTTTTAAAGTCTTTTATTTCCTTATTTTTTGTATAATATTATTTCAATCTCAATTGCAGGTTTATCGAAGATTGAAAACTTTCCATCAGATGCTTTCTTCACAAATTTCTTTTTGCTTGAGAATACCAGTAATGATGAACAAGATACTGAGTGTAAGGTCACAGAGAAAATGAAGTTGGACCTACTTGTGCATTCATATATCTGATGAAACATTTTTTCAAAGCCGCATGCCTCCAGATTACCCAAAATATTTCTGTTCAAAGAAATTACACTTGGAAAAAAACATACTAAAACTTTAAGAAAAAGTAAACAGATCAAAGATTCAAGTGATAATTTATATCTTATACGACATGTGCAATTAATGACTGTATATTGCAGTATTTATCACCATATTTATACTGCGTTACTAACGCAGTAGGGGCCATTCATGCACATTTTGACTTCTTTTTTGTAATTTATGTAGATTATAAATGCCGATTTCAATGTGTCAAGTATTTCTTTGTTCATTTCACAATATTTTTTGTATTTGTATTCCAATTATGTTTACATTTGTACAGCTAATATTCAGCTATCGCCTCGGTCAATATTAATTTTTTCAGTACATATCACATCATATTCAACAGCTAAAAAGTCCATATTTGTATAACATGTTTTTTTTTTGTAGATAGGGGAATATATAACACAACATTGTAGTGCAATGAGGAAAAAACTATATTGTTTTTGCTAAATATCAATGATACATGTTGTATCGTGCATATTTGTCTTGAAAGTAATTAACTTATATACAATTTAAGAAGCTTAGATAGGTTATTTTAAATGCTGCAGAGGTAAACTCATTATAGCACGTTGCTAGGAAGTAAGCATGTACATACGAAAGTTCTATGTGGCATGCGACTGTGATTTATTTCATGCTTTTCAGTGTTTTATTGTAATATATCAGATGATTATATTCTGATAAACCACTAGTGAAATTTATAAAATATAATTTTCACTGTAGCCGGACTATATCTGAATGCGGATGAATAGAAAATCATAACCAAATGGAACAACAGGCAGAAATAAATGCTGTCATGCGTAAATTTTGCTTCTTTATGAAAAGAAAGTCGATGTCACCATACATCATGTTAAAAATGTAACAAAATTAGACAAAATTTAACAGAACTATATTTCAAAATTATTGATGTGACGTCATGATGTGATGACGTCACAAAGGAGAATGCGCGACGTTACGCGGCAAAATCAGTAAAAAATACTTAAAATCAATTAGAAAGCATGAAATAAAAAGAAAATTTATTTGTTTTACATATAAGATTGAAATATATTTCATTCGTGAACACCAGCTATTATATTTTCACTCGTGGCTACGCCACTCGTGAAAATATTGCATCTGGTGTTCTCTCAGTGAAATTATATTTCGATCTTACATGCAAAACAAACAAATATCCTCTATGTATTTCGAAAATTATCCTCAAATCGATGATACATTTTGGTCCATGTCCTTATTGTGACATTGAGGTTGCCCATGATAGTGCATACCCAATATTTTTACAGATTAATTTAATGTTATTTCTAAATTTGTTTACAGCTGTTAAAAGTAACAATGATCCGACAGTTCTTAAAGTTTTGTTTGACTGTGGATCGTCTTTTGACTGTGCAAGTCAGGTGAGCTCTTCTTCTGCTATCAAATATTATCCGAAACACAATAAATGACAGTCACAAATGCTCATACACATAAACTGAAAGATCTGACGAAAACAAATCAGTTTAACATTAAAGGTTTATGATGTTTTTAAAAACTTATTTCATCAAATTATTATTGGATTATAGTGTAGTGGCATTAAAATATTCGTAAAATACGTTGATCTGAGCCTCTTTGTATCGTGCAAATCTGACCCGGTAAAATCTAATAAGGCGGAATACAAAGTAACAATCAAGATACTCTTATTGTAACTCTATCATATATTAGTTCAGATGAGTTAGGTCATATAACTGGGTGTAATACTATATAGTAAAACTAGCGAGGCTAGGTGATGGACAATGACGCCAAATTTTGTGCAAAACTGAGTTCGCACTTATCACAGTTATAAAAGAAATATCGGCAAATAGGTCTTTAGAATTCAACAATGTTGCTTATTATTATTTCTTAAACTGTTCGTAATGATATTAAAGATTGTTACCTCTGACCAGGGATCACCTTCAGACATTGTGACCACCCACAAGTTGAATGTTGTCATGGAAATCTTTCAAAGTATTTCAAATATTTGTACACAATGTTGCAATGCACTTTTATAATTGTTTTTTCACTTTTCCATGTAACTTTACTTACCGGATACGTTTGCTTATAATCGTAAACTCAACATAATTATATATCTCTTAGAAAACGTGAATAATATCTTGTTACAATGTTAATCTCATTTTATAGGTAATAACAGTAATTATATGCACGAACGCTTCATGCTTTTGTACCGACTCCTCTTTTATAGGACGAGATGCTGAGATTACTCAACCTTGGAGTAAACCCGTCAAGAATCATTTATGCTAACACAATTAAACAGCCATCAATGCTGCAATATGCTGCAAAACATAACATATCTTTAATGACATTTGACAGCGAATCTGAACTACATAAGATAAAAACTATCTACCCGGATGCCAAGTTAGTATTACAATTAACTAAATGAAAATGTTATTTTTTTTCTATTACAATAACGAAACTATATCAGTAAAACAGTAATCTAAAAAAAATCAGTGATAATATATAACATTTAAAATATAATTGTATTGAGACGTAACATGGTAAATAACCCAGTACATCAGATACTCATTTGTTATAAGAATAATCAGTAATATATATTTATTTATATTTACAAATAAGTTGACCAGTTTCAATTATTTCTAGTTTAATTTTGCGGACTCTACCTGCCGGCGACTACAAATGTAAAATAGACTTACGACAAAAGTTCGGATGTCCTCTGTCCAAAATACGACATCTACTCCAAACTGCAATAGAACTAGGCCTTAATGTGATAGGAACAAGGTAATGTCTTACTGGTTCTTGGTAATGTCTTACTGTTTCTTGGTAAATATATAAAGGGTTTTCAAGTATCTTTCTATAAATACGGCATTTATTTTCATCCGGTGGTATAAAAATAAATATTTCACGTGTGGCGTTATTTATGGAAAAACTTGAATTTTTTGTTTATCATTACCTTACGATTCGAAGGACTTCCCCTATAATATTGTGTATTGTGTGAATTAATAACAAAGTAGTCCGGCAAGATACCAGTGAAAATACGGAAAATGAAAATATGCATTTTATTTCAATAATATTTCTCAATATTTCACGTATATAACAAATAGAATTTTAGGCAACCAAGACTTTGTTTCTTTTTTTTTTAATTGTAACCTATCAAAATATTAAAATAATCTTAGAAGCAGAATCAAAACAGTTCATTATTACACCATTCATATCAAGATTAATTGCTAAGAAACAAGTGTGTAGTAAGTCTGAGACATTGGATACAGTTTCTAAATATCTGTATTTTCAATAAGCTATTTAACTAGTGCATCAAGCTTAAAAAACATCCTTTTTTAAGAACTATTTTGTACAAAATTATTAGCAAATGACATATAAAATAACATTGTGATGTTTTATGAAGAGTTTATATTGTAGTTTTCATGTAGGTAGTGGCTGTCACGATGGTAACGCATACATAGCTTCTATACGACAGGCACGTAGTGTATTTAACATGGCAGCAGAATTAGGAATCAATATGAAATTGTTAAATATAGGAGGCGGATATCCGGGCGAGTCCAGCAGCACCGAAACTTTTATAAAAGTATGTCTTCAAGTAAAATCATATATAAAAGAGTAAAGCAAATGTCCGTATGTAAGCATAATTATATTTGTGTAATATTTCAGTACAAAATTCCCTTCAGGATAAAACAGTCGTTTCAGTTATATGTAAGGTATATCAATTATTGATGTTTGATCAACAACAAGTACGAAAATTGATGATATTATCAACAATGTAATCTGTATGATTTGATCTTTTAACAAGAGCTGTCCGTAAGACAGCGCGCTCGACTTTTTTATTGCTTGCCAATAAAAAAAGTTTTTGCAGTAAAAGGCAATACAAGAATCTCTGTATTTTTAAAGTGAACAATGGCCATGAGCATTAAGATATTTAGTGAAGAATTATTTTACTGAATTGTGTGATACCCTTGAACACTGCAGCAAAGTTTGAAATGTTTAAGTCAAAAGAGGGCTGGTAAGAAAGAAAAAAAAACTGAGTTGAGCCTTAAATAAATTTAATAGTATTAAACCCACTTTGAGAGAATAAGGTATTATAGTTCTGTCCGTAGCTGGTCACTTGTCCACCAATCAAATAGGCGAGATAAAATGTGAAATATGCATATACTACTGATTTTAATTTCAAGTACAAAAAGAGAAAAATAACTAGTTGTTTGATACCCTTGAATATTACAGCAATGTTTATATGACATAATTTATGGTAAAGTGAACAAGTGGATAGGAATGAATTTTTTTAGATTTTTTAAGTTTTTTAGTGCTTGCCTATAATACAAAACATTGACAGTTAAGGGCCATAATTCAAATAAAATCTTTGACAGAATTACCTTCTCCTGGACATGTTTGGGAATCATGATTGTAAACAAGTATTCCAATTTTCAAATTAATATCTCAAACAGTTCAGTCAAAAAGTGGACTGGTACTAAAAACTTAACCAAGATTCTAAGTCGATAAAGGGCCTTAATTTTTAAAACAAATCCTTGACAAGAGTTACCTTCTCTTGCGTACAGATGGGGGTAATGATGTGAAATAGCATTAAAAGTTTCAAAGCAATATCTCTCAAAGGGGTTAAAGGCAATAAGTGGATTTTACCCATATTCAATGTATTTTCTAAGTCAAAAAGGGGCAATAATTTCTGTCAAAAACCTTGACAGAGTTATGTCCCTCTTGTCTGTTGATGGGAAGGTCGTGATGGTAAACAAGTATGGTCAGTTTCAAAGCAAATACCTCCAATGGTTTGAAAATAAAGTGAGGTGGTACAAAAAACTTAACCAAGCGAGCCTCAATACACTTTCTAAGTCAAAAAAGGGCCATAATTCTGTCAAAAACCTTGACAGAGTTATGTACTCTTGTCTGTAGATGGGAGGTTATGATGGTGAACAAGTATGGTAAGTTTCAAAGCCATACTTGTAATACTTCTGAAATAAAGTGGGTGGTACGAAAAAACTTAACCAAGGTGTGACGCCGACGCCGACGCCGGGGCGAGTAGGATAGCTCCCCTTTTCATAGAAAAGTCGAGCTAAAAATGTAGAACAAAAAAAAAAAAAAAAAACACAAAACAATCGTAATGAGCCTGACTAGAAACATGGAGGATAATTATATAACCAGGTATATCTCATAATAATAATAATAAAGTTGGTGTTTATACATGTATAACAGATAGCAGAAGCGGTGAACGAACAACTTGACAAAGATTTTGCTGTAGAAGATGAAGTTGAGATTATTGCTGAACCTGGAAGTTATATGGTGTCTTCGTCATCAGTTTTAGCCGTCAATATCATAGGAAAGCGTATTCTCTCAAAGACAGATCTTTATAATGGTATAGTGCTTAATGATCTCTACATATCTCATCTTTGGTGTTATCTATAGGGATCTGAATTTGATTTAAAGTTATAAGCATTTTAAGTGAGAGCAATATTAACAGTATTTATTTTTAATGCTAAATATGTCCTTTTAAACAAGTCTTCAAGAATTCCAGTAGTATAAACGCATCCTTGATAGCATTAATGTTTAATCCTTAATACACATTTTAATGTAATTATTGGTCCATTTACTATCAAGTGCGGATTTAAAAGCTTGTATTTTGAATTTTAAAGTGACATTATGTCCATCCAATTGTCAATGATGAGTTCACTAGTAAAAGTCAAAATATCTTTTTATTTTGCCAGAATTGTATTCAGTTTTATATTTTTACTATGCAAAAAATCTATAATCCACGTGACACATGGACATTTCTTTTTCGTTAGGAATGTATGGGTAACGTTCAATTCTTAAAAAGAGTGGGACAGTCTCTTTATGATTACGGCCGGTATTGAAACTATTTTCATTATGAATTATTGGTCAATCGCCCTTGTAATAGCCAATCTCTTATATTACAAATTTCACAAATTTTCAACTTGAAGTGAAACAAATGAGCTTAATGCTACTTTAATATTTCCAAGAATGAAATGATATATTGTTAAATATACCGGATAACCTTTCAGAGGAAGATATAATGCCTACAGTTGACAGTGAGTCGGAGACGAAACATGTGATGTATTACGTCAATGACGGTGTGTACGGTTCATTCACTGACGTCATTATCGTGCCAGAAAATCTTGATCTTGATGTCCACACGTTAAAGGTACTGTATTATTTTTAAAACGATATAAGTTTACAGCATCTGTTATTACTTTTAGCATCATCTTTGAAAAAAAGATTAATAAAAACACCGATGACGAAAATGGATGCACTCTGTTCGCTTTGAAACGTTTATAAACAATTAGGAACATGAGAACACATAGCCTGACAATACCTTAACCATAGAAATTATAAAAAATAAAGATCAAGGTAGCTTCATAACAAACAGTTAAGATATTATTCTAGAAAGTCGTACATACCTAATGACCTATAATTAAATGAAAGCTCTGTGAATTTGACGTGGTGTCAGGAAAGCGTAAAATAACATTTTATTACGTTTCTCTTAATTAGTGCAATAAGGATGAAGACCGCTACGAAAGTACAGTTTGGGGTCCAACATGTTGCGGATTTGATTGTATAATTAAATCTACAAAGTTACCAATGTCTGAGGTCGGTGACTGGTTCTACTTTCGAGACATGGGAGCTTATACTACGGTGTTCATCTGTAGTTTTAATGGAATGCCTTCTCCTCGGAAGGCATTCGTTTGTTCTGAAGATAGATGGTTTGTTATAATTTTATTTATTATGTTTTCAAAAGTAAAATGTTAAATTAATAATAGACTTTGCCACAGAGATGCTCAAATGACTGTATTTTTAAACATATATTTTCATTTATGCATTTCCATGATATATATATACAATGTAGTGTTTGAAAAATTAACTAATCAAACCAAGTCATATGAAATATATTTCTTTATATTTCAGGCGTGCAATTTATCCAGAAGAAACAAATGAGAAAAGTCTATGATGTTATTAAACGTTTTCTTAGTTAAATCTTGTTCTTATTGCACTGTGACTCACGAGAAACGCTATTTGTATAAAATAATACTGCCATGTTTATACTGCATTGTTCTCGTGTACTGATATACATGTAGATTATACTCATGTAGCTACAGTATATTTTAATAACAATTTGTATATATAAAGCATTAATTCTAATATGCTTTACAATATTCCCATATCAGTCACGTAAACTGTAGCCAAATGATCTGTTTTTGTGGTGATATAAACACGATTAAACAGAATAATATTTATCAGCTTTCACGAACTGCAAACCAAAAAATTAATATGTAGATCTATATACATGTCTCATACCGTATAAGTATGTAAAAGTGTAGCACATGACAGTAACGTCATAAAATAACAATAATAAATAAACTATCACAATGTATTCTTTTATTCAGCTGTTAATTCAACTCCTTTTCCTATTTTTTAATTCATATTCAGTTGGTCAAAAACAACAACTTGTGCACGTGTAACATTTAAGTTTGACCCCGTTGAAAATTGACCCTACTGAGTATGGGTCAGTTTTCAACGTTGGGAACAATCAAATAAAAAAGTCGTTGAGGACTGATCAATTTGTAAATTTTGATCAAAATAGTCCATTTGTTCCTTTTTGTATTTTCTGATCGCAGATCAGGAAATACAATGCTGACATTCAATCACTACGACAAACCTAACAACAAGAAGTTCTCAAAACAGCTTAAAACTAGCGATGCAAAAGAAAGAACTATTTTTTTATTTTGTTACAAGTATCCAACAAATTACAAAGCATTCAAAGTTTAAAAATTGCGTTGGCTAATAGAATTGTCTTAATCAATGAAAATGCTATTTTTAGCGATGTCGATTACCAAATACTTCCGATAAATCTGACTGTCAAGTAGTGGAATATATACATGTCGGACTGTTTTGGCGAGAAGTTTTTCGTTAAATTATTTACATCAATGTTAACAGGTTTATTGTGAACAAAATACCTCGAAATTAACCCTGCATGGATATTCTAAATTTAGAACTTTTAATTTTAGTCAGGTTGTCTTCGTTAAACTTCCCGTGGTGCAGGGGTAACTCGCTCGTTTTGGGTGCGAGAGGTCTGGGGTTCAAATCCCAGTCGAGGCAACTTTTCTTTTTTTTAGGAAGTATCCACGATATGCAAGGATAAAGTGTCACTGTCATAAAAAAATAAACATAAATGATCTTTGATGCAACTCTAGTCATGCAAAATTCCGTAAAAAAATCTAATCGCAATCGCTGCATCTCGGTGCCCTGCAAGATGAATTATAGTATATAAAAAATAAAGTTATACAGGAAAATACATACATATATACAGTACGATTCAGAAAATACCACAGAACTTGCAGCCCTTTGATTGGTTATATGTCTAATTTTAGTAGCTCAAAGCGTCTGCTACACCAACCTCCCTACTGACAAGGGGACGTAACTGTTACTGGGAGATTGTGGATTTCGCAGCAGTTACTTCCCTTAATGAATAAAAAACTAAGTACTACAAAGATTAAGAGATTGAAATATAACGCGACTGTGGTAGATCCTTAGGTTAATATGCATTCTAAAACGGGTGGTAGATAGATTTTAGCAAGTGTGTACAGTAGGAAACAGTAACTTTAGTACAAGGAGACCCCTGTAATAGCGAAAAAAAAAACATAAGCATACATTATTCTGTATTGAATGTTACTCGTATATGATAGATCAGTACATAACTGTTGTCCATTATCAAAGTTATTGCCGATACATTGACAGATTTTATTAGCTCCTGATCGACTGGAATAAAATAAAAAAAACGTTCATCACTTAAAAATCTGAAAGGAATTTAGAAATGTTATTGTTCCATATATGTATGACCATCGGCAAATTCTGATCACTTATCAATGTTCCTATATCTGCCTAATTCTAATTATCAGATTAGTGGATACAATAAGAATTTCACAACGACATATTTGTTAACACATGTCAATGTTTGTGGTTAAATCTATTGTTATTTAAATAAAAGGTTAAACTATGGATCTATCAAGAGCTGATCAGTTTTCAATGGGAGGGGTCAATATTTCAGGTACTGGTGAGTCATTATTGCTCTTTGGCAATTGCTGTAATATTATTGTTAGTAAGTAAGTATTTAGTATGGAAGTCATTATCGTAATTTGTTTACATTTTGTTACCTTGACCACACATTACTGCATTTTTGTTAATCTAACATGTTTAAATCAATTATTAAAACATTATTAAACACATACTTGACCTTTCTTAACAATCAAAATAATGTTCGAAGTGATTTCGGAGGCATAGTGTGCCTTCAAAGCTCAATTTAAGTATTCAAGCTATCTTAACATTACTGACATCTGGGAGTGTTTTTTAATGTAATGAGAAATATCACTGAGACACTCATTTAAATATTTTTCTGAAAACTTGTTTGTAAACGCGTATAAATAGGTTAATTTTGACAAATGAAAATGTCGACCACAGTGAAATACGTCACGTCATAAAGGCAAATAAAATGATGACTATTGTCTACGTATAGTATTCATACTACCACAAAAAAGAATTTGTGTTAGGGTATAATATGCTGTGGGTACAAATTACAAATTGCAGGGGTTTATCCCACTTTTATTTAACATTAGCTCAACTGATTATTGCCTCAGCAGTTTCTTGGAACCACATGTAGATCATTTTTCAGTGCCATGAGTTTCCACCATTGGCCTCCGTGCATGCTTGACAACGAAGATTTTAGACAGAAAAATACGTGGAGAATACGATTATTTGAGGTGCACGTGACAGGTGAAGTAACACCACTAGCTGATTTTGAAGTCGACACTCACTGCAACTCATCTCTAACGTGTTTTTAAGACAACATATCCGATTACCTAAAAAACTGACATTCACGGTGAACATGATCAACAAGTCAGGTGAACGTTTGCATGTTACAGTGTCTTGTTACGATAATTTCTGCACGGTGTAAGATGCCAAAACCACAGAGCTGTTCTGCCACGGGATGAGATGCAACCCCACACCATGACCCTACCTTCATAGAAAGGACGTCGTTTAAACCTTAAAGTTTAGAGATGATAGCGACAGAATCAGGAATGGGAATCCGTACGAAGGTAATCTGATAAGACTTAAACCAAAGACGCCATCAAAGATGAACAAGTATTAACAACTTATAGAAATATATAGTCCTTTTACTATCGATGCTTTTGTAATCAGGTGCACATGAAATTTTGCTTGGAATTGCATTTGAATAGCAATACATAATTTTTCTATTCTTTTTTTAAACACAACTTTTCTTTTCTTTTGCATATCTTGACTGATTTCTTGAGAACAACGTTTCATGTTAGTTACCTTGACCGGGATTTGAACCCCCAGACTTCTCATTTTCAAAGCGAAAGTGTAACTACTGCATCACAGGCATCCAGTATAATCAAATTATTCTAAATTTAGAACTAACAAAATACATTGTATTAGAAAATAATAATAGTAATTATAAAAATAATAAAAATAATAATAATAATTAAATAATTCTTAACCGGTTTGAAGGTGTTTATTTTATATGGTAACAATCCAATGTGATTCGAAATATAATACAATCTTAGAGAAATGACATTTATTGACTGTGATGACATTTTGAACGAATCATTACGTTTTTGGGGAAAGAAATTATTTAAAATTTGTATATTAATATTTCCGGAAAACCTAATGTAATACAATAGCATTATTAATAATCTTTTTTTGTTTTTGCATTTGATAACAGCTTAGCATATATCAGCGACGTTTTAGGTTCAACAAAGACGAGTTATCTCCATTGTGAATTGCATAATGACGGACTTACACAAGCATTTTACACATGCACAGTTTTTCCCACCAGTATATTTTGGTAAACCAAAACCTACGATGCGTAGGACAATAAACTTTATATTTTTGTTTTGATAATATAGTCAACATCCCGGAGTAATATTCATGAGGTAAATGGGCAAAAAAGGACAGGTATTTTTTCATTCCCTTAAGTATAAAGCTTATTGACTATATTCTATTTTATACATGTATATTTATATAATCTGACAAAAGAAAGACTAACTTTATCGGTTAATGTAAACACCTAACATACAATAACCTGGCCTAAAAATATGTGTTTTTCCTACTCTGGTATAAATAGAATGAAGAGAAAACCCCGTGTTTTATTTTTAGTAAAACTGGAAAAACCGCATCCATTTGATATTAATATCTGACTAAATTGAATTTCGTATAGTTTATGAAATGTGAAGTGATAAGTTGTACGGATATAATTATGGCGTCGAGATTTGTTTCACAGAGGGAGAGAGCTCAATATGTCGGATTTGGTGATGAAGGACTTGATGAATTAACAATATCTGATGATAGCATATCGCCTGATGATGTTCCGTTGTTATTTAACGAGCTACGACACAGATATAACACCGACTCACCTGGGGACTTGCAGCGTCTCTCAGAAGTGACGGCTACGGAGCGAGATACGCTAAATGCCTTTGAAGATGCGATGAATAATTTACATGACGCCAATGCTGACGAAAACAAAAGTTGTGCGAGCTGTTCAAAGGAAGTTCGTGTAGAAAGTGTATCCAGCTTCAGGAAAGGTCAGCACATATCTATGCCTGGACAAAAATTTAGAAAGTATGATAAATACACTCATAAATTGATACATAGATATAAACACCATGCAATATTAAAAGAAATAAAACGAAAATCGGGGAAAAGAATAGAAATGGAATTAATTCATTTTACTAAAGAAGACGACAAAATTAAAATCTGTCAGTCTGTCAAAACTTTTGACTTAGCACACGATGAACTTTATATAATCGAATACATCCACCCGAGGTATACGGCCGAGGAGATTGTGCATAGAGCAGAATCTATGCTACCGGAAAACGCTGATGAAGAAAATTCATTCGGGACGTACAATCCTGGTACAAACAATTGCGAACATTTTGCTACTTGGTGTGTTGTTGGAGAAGGGGAAAGTTTTCAAGCTCAAGGTATGCGGTCGAAAATTGCAAATCTCGTTCAGCGAGTGTTCGGCGCTGGCACCAAAATAGCAAAGATGTTGATGAGAATTCTTTACATATCATCTGATGAAATTGCGGCCAGTTTCACAAAGGCTTTCAATGTTCCTGAAATTGTACTTGGGGGCGCTGCAGCGTTGTACCTGATATATTGTATTTTTATGACTGTTTCACATTTGAATGATTTCCGAAAAGGACAGCTCTGTAAATCTTGCTTGAAAGGAAAATTACAGGATTTATGGATAACATTCATTGTGTTCGGTGCCACATCTATCCTTACTTTTGTCATTATGAATTTCGCACTACCAGCATTGGCCACTCCAGTTGGCATACCACTGATAATAACTTTAGTTTTGCTCTCTATTGCACTTCAATGGAGCGTACCAAAGATCAGAAGAGCTTTGCAGTCACCGTTTTCTGTTGATACGAAGGAAATTAAACAATTATCAGAGGTTGAAATAGGTGATGTCGTTTTGCTTAAATATTACAAGTTTGATCATGCAATTGTTGTTACAGAGGTCCATCACAATGACGATTCCTTAAAAGGTCGCATCCGGGGCATACATTATGGACTGCCCAGATTATTCAAGCCCCGAGAAATATTGGAAGAGTATTTTACAATAGATCTTTCACAATCTACAGTGAAAGTTTTTGATTGTTCACATTTGCTGATCAACTCAGCAGAAACAACCGTAATGATGGCAAGAAAACGGATTGGTGAGAAGAAATGGGCCCCAACTTCGAATCGTTCAGACCATTTTTGCTTCTGGGCTAAAGTTCAACAAAGACCTCGAGAGCTTTGTGAAGACTTTGACAATGGAGACCTTGACGCCTCCTCTACGAAAGATTTAAGTTCTCTATCCTTAGGAGAGACGGAAGTGCATCTAATGAATGACCTGCATTTGGGAGATGTTATCAAATACAAGGAACTTGGGATTCTGGTACGAAAGGTAAATCTAGATAGCGGCAAAGGTAGACAGTTTAAAATTGAAATGATTGTGTATGAGTGGGGACGTTGTCGCAAGAAGACATACATTATTGACCTAAACAAAGACAGTATTGTCATTGAACGTTATAATCCAGCGCTTTGTCATCCAATGGCAGTACGAGTGGATCGTGCAAACAAGTTACAAGATAAAAAGGGTAGCTGTTGGACAGACAAAGGCTTTATAGAACACTGTATTATGAATAATTTATAGTCTGGTGCTGATTCCGGATTTTCTGAAATAAAATTTAAAAAAACAAACAGAAAAAAACACTGTTTAAACGAAAATTTGAAATGCAATAGCTATATGATATATTGTGATTTGCCTAAATATCAAATATAAATTTACTATATTTTTCGTTCAGGTTGTTGGTGATCACTGGACTAAAATGTTGTAAAGTTTCTTGATTGCATTTTTATTAAATAAACTGTTTTACATGTAATAATTTTTAAACAAATATACTGATCACAAACTGTATCATCAACTATTTCATGTATTAAATATATTAATAGTCTCATATAACATAAAATGCCTATTATATACATGTATATTCTTGTATTAAAATATATAACTAGTCAAAATTGATGCATAGTGTTGTCTTTATTCTATGTCTTATTAGAATTAAAGGGTATAAAGCTATATCTTATGAAATATTATTATAAAATTTATCAACAGTAAAATTATATTGGTTTCATTATTATATGGTTGATTCCCGAAAAAGTTGTACCATAGAATGTCTCTGTTATTTAACACACATGAATAATGTACATAAACATAATAAAATGTTCCGGAACAAAATATAATTTTGCTATTTTAAATAGGGTTTTATCCGTTTAGCAATGATTTTGTGCATGTGCCTCTTGCTTTAAGGCAATTTATTCATACAATCATTTTGGCAGTATTCGTTTTTAAAATCCAAACAATATTTTTGTATCAGATATATAGCTTTATACACTTAAAATAGAAAATCAAGAATGAACTTAATATTCTTTCTGACGATTGACAAACCTGAACCTGCGACAGCAAAAATATTTAAATCAAATAAGAGCATCTGAATGGGTAACTATCGGCGGAATATTGAAGGTTCGAATGGCATCTTTGGAATTGTACAGATCACCCTTGCAATACAATAAATGGTAATTCGTTTATTAATAAAAAAGTACTTCCGAAATTCAACAAACTTTTAATATAAACATTTCGGTTGGTGCCCCGTTATTTTAAGAAAAAACGACATTGTAACATATAAGTACAACTTTCCTGAAGTAATTTAACACTTAAATAATAAAATAAGGCCAGTAAATGTGAAAATTTTCAAAACTGTGCGCTTCAATGCACGTACGTAAAAAGAATGCTGATTATGCGGTTTCATAGCATACATGCTAGTTCACATGACACTTCTATTTACACAACGATATTTTGATAGTGATAACCTGATTTCTTTATTTTCGGAAAACTCTTAACATAAATTATTCGTCCCTATCTCTTATAACCTGATTTATCTTCATTTGAAACGTAATACAGGACAGTAAGGCAATTACTAAACGCTGTTGTTTTCTAAAATAATTCAAGGACAGGTGAACATTAGGGCATATATAAGGATAACAGCCGTACAAAATAAGATACATTAATTTGTACCTTGGTTCGAACTATGACCTAAAGCGTGTAATTGTGTAAGATATCAAAATTCCAACACTTTTTACAGGTTAATCCAATCAAACATTCGTCTCTCTAGTATGCATAGTACCTAATGCTATCACAATAATTGTAAAAAATGATTTTTTTCTATTTATTTAAAATATGGAAATGTCTTCTTTTTCCTTTGTGCTATGTATAAGTAAATATCCTCGATAAATAAATGCTTCTACTCATATTTTATCAAAGTTTAAGGAGTGGCAAATCTGCCTAAATTTACATCTATTTCTAATCGTATTTTAGTAAATAGACATGAAACCGATTTGTATAAAAGATATTGTTGAAAACATGTTTTCCAATAATAATAATGCTATTTTTAAACAATTCACAAAATCCCAATATTAGACTGTTCTTATGCAATCTGATTAAAATTAGCTCTAAATAACGCTCCGCTTTCAGACAGAAATAGTCAGATTGGTTCAAGATTACGTTACTGTGAATTTTTTAGTGGCTTAAATTACATTTTATGTGCATATTTCTGTATTATACATGTATTTGTATTTTCTTTTTTCTGTGTTTGTTTAGATGAATGATTTCATGCATGTTAAACTTTCCAAATATTACCGTCATTCAACATGTGAATTTCACCTGGATTTTCCCATTATCATTATATAATATTTATGGCATATGACGTAAAGTTGTTAAGGTTTGCTATTTATAGGTATGATAAAATGTTGGCTGTACTTCTTTCTGAGCATGCGCATGTATACATTTATCTTACATTACATTACATAAAAGAATTGATTAAATGGAAATCACAGAAGAATTGATTAAATGGTAATTAAAGTGTTAACATAGATCTTAACACATACTGATCTTTCATACAATTCATTTTATCAATAACTATCATTAAACATAATTACTTTCTTCAGAGCATCATTTCAATCTGCAATTACCAAAGTCAAAACTAAGACAGACACACATTGTTGGAACACATTTTATAGTAAGAAAATGATGATAACAACAACAACAACAACAACAACAGTAATAATAATAATTATAATAATAATAATAATAATAATAGATCTTATAATAATGGTTTGGGCCAATATGCCAAAAGGCAAGACCCAAATATAACTTTGCACGAAAAAAACTATAATAGCTACAAAACAGACCTAAAATAAAGAGAAATTAAGTAAATATATTACCAAATTCTTACCCATATATACATGTACATGTATTTGCAAATTGGCTCTTACAACTCGATATCAGATAAAAATAGAGAAAGTGTCACATCACATTGTTTTTCCCCAGCAGTCGAAATAGACTTTATGTTATTTTCATTTGGATTTGACTTTCCCTAAAAATCGGTCCATAGTTTAGAACATGTTCTTCAAAATTCTATGTCATCAATTTCAATGGCGCCATTATTTGAAATATAGCTAAATGAAATGGATGGAATTCACCAAAAAAGCAAACCTTTACTAAGATTTCCTTCTTTGGAAACATTGAAAAACCAACTAGTCAACCAGTATGACTCTTCCATCAGACATCAAGTATTTAGGATACCATACCAAGCCGGAAACAGGTAAACCTAGTCGTGCTGTGTGTATGCATAGGCACTTGGTTTCGGGATAAAAAGCCTTTTAGAGGTTTGTAGAACTCAAATTAGGAAAGAGACATCTACGTTAAAAAAATCGTTACATTCAATCAAATTTGAGTTCTACAAACCTCTAAAAGGCCTTTTATCCCGAAACCAAGTGCCTATGTGTGTATGTACACACAATTATGTCAATATCGCCCTGATAGCACTGATAATAATTACGTATACACAGCTATTTTTCAAACACAGATCTATCATCAAGTTGTTTTTTTTTAATTGCAGAATAAGGCAAGTCTGAATTAAAATGGAAATAAAGTTAGAATGTTTTACCACGATGATCTGCAATTTCAATAACGGAAGCATAAATCACAACAAAATTACATGATAATTGCAGGCACGGATTGATTGAGTCTGTATATATATATGAGGAATAATGAAGAAGTGCAACATCCCTCACGCCCCCTAGCACTGGATTGGGTGGTACTCGACTCTCAACAATTAATAGTGCTGGCATCAAAGATCCAAAGGACCAGAAAAATGTAACATATCTGAAGTGAAGTACGGGCAACTTATAGTCCAACTAATTAGACTTGTCAAAGAGACACCGAGATAATTTTGGACAGACGTACGCTGTCTTTTTTCCAAGTCCAACCACGAACTGCATTTTTATGCACGGACGCTTCCCAATTAGAAGTTATTGGGAGCGAAAACTAGAAAAGTTTTAAAGAAACAGCCTTCATTACCTGAAAGAGGACCGTTTTTTATATAAGGTTCCAAATCATCATACTTCAAATGCAAACAGAAGTCTAAATATTCCACTTCATTTTTTTAAATCGTTGAAAATTATTGAAAGCGGCCATATTGGAAGCGGTGTCATGGTAAAATTGTGACATTTCATGGTGTAACACAGGTATCGGTGGCAATCGATTGTATACGCAAGCCTTATAATACAATTTGTTTATGTTATTGGTGTGAATTATTGCAGGAATAACTCTTATATTCACACACGAATATTTCAGCATTAAAAATAAAATGTAAAAAGGAAATTCTGATAACCTTACTTAGAAATTAAATAGTTTATGATGTCCGACATAAGATCATACTGCATTTAAGTCTGTTTAAATAAAACTGTCAAATTAGAAATTATACAGTTGGGTTTTTCAACATCTGTGATCATTAGGTGAAATTTCTGAACTGCCTTTGATTCCCCACATACGAAAATACAATGTAATTGTAGGTACATCTTAATGAATTATATTATAAATACTATACATGATGAAGCAAAGAAGAATTTCAATTTGTATTACACTCCATATCAATTTCTAGTTTATTATCTTAAAAACAATATTGAGGACAGTTGCGTAGGAGAAGAAGTTCAAAGCAACCAAAAATAACTTAAAATTCTGAAAAAAACCTTAAAATTTCACACTATAAAATGAAATTTCAGACTGGCCTTTTCTCAAGTTAAGAAATTACAGCTCTCAGTAAAATGCAATTGTCGCACAGATATGACGGGGTTTATGATAAATACGCAGCAAGTGGGAATTTAGTGACCGTAATTTAGACGTAGAATAACATAACAATGTAAGACAGATAGTCTGCTTAAATTACTGTAGTCGTCTGTTAGAACGACTGTCGCAAAATTCCATGTTATCTAGTGCCCGCTTTTCATTTCAAACGGCACCTCGAATGTGTCACATTGAAAGTTCCATGATTATCTCCGTATTTTGTACACATCTGTGGGTGTTGACTAAAAATTTCAACATTATTATGTTTAAGTTATGTTTAAACCGGCGCAATGGAGCACTTGCACCTACCAGAGCCGTCTTGGGCACTTATGTGTATTTATGTTTCGGTTTTGCACTTTTAGGCGTTTTTTGTGGGGGTTTTAAGACGGGGAGATGGGTGGATAAGTTTTTTCTATTTTCTTTACATTTCTTTGCTTGCTTGCCGAACCTTGTATTAATAATCATTATGTGTTTGTTACTATATAATAGTTAACTGCTTTTCACAGGGAAGAAATACTTCATCAAATAGAAGAGGTCATTCTGCATGTTGTGAAGGATACAAGTTTAGGAACATCACCTTTGCTGACATACCCTTGTACTTCAGATTGGAGCGATATTAGGTAAATAGCATAGGTCAGGGGACAGTACATCACCCAAGAAGCAAGAACATTACCAGCAAAATTTGAAAGATTAAGAAACAAGTAAAAAATCATCTTTTGTCGTTTTTCCCTTTCTGGTGGTCATTTGTCTCTAAATTGTGCATATTGTGCTAATTACCAACATATTCAAACATGCCAAGGCCCAACAAAATAATATACAGTTCAACTTCATGTATAATATGAGCTTATATATGATATTACATGCAATTAATACATTAGATTAAACATTATACTTCCAGCTTTGACTGCAATTCTGGTCTAGCATTGAGAAGGAATCAACGAATGACATCTGTGCGTTTTGAATCCTTACAGTCAGTGAAAAAGTTTGGTAATATCCACTATTTAAATATATAAAATACTTTTAGCTTTTGGACCAAGAAAAAGTTGTAAAATATTAAGTTTTATATGCCCAGTTTTATATGCATCATTTATAATTTATTATAAAATTATGTGTATATATTTTCAGGGCTGATGTTGAAAGTCTTGTCTATCATGTACAGACTGGTTAAGACTAATCATTTCTGCACTAAAAGGTTATTAATAACATAAGTTCATTTTGCACTAAGTCTTGTGCTGTTCATGTTACTGCTTCATCATTTCTTTTGACTATTTACACTAAAATTACTAGTCAAGATTTAACAATGTTATAAAGTTTAGACATATTCACAATGACAAATGTATTAACCTTCTGTACTTTTTTGAATATCATAGACTCTGAAGTGTCCATTATAAAAGTTAAACTACGCTTCACCTTGAGAGCTAACTAAGATTAGAGTATTTATGAAGATTCAATCTAAAATGTTTATTTTCATAAATTAGATATAATACTTTCTTCTTCCCAAAATGTATATATTTCAAATATTCCTATTTACTGTTAAAGGGACATTTACTATCAAGACCCGAGTCTGTTTGGCAGCCAGCACATGCTTGATGGTATTGTGGACAACATCTCATGCATGCTTGAAATTCCTAGGTGGCAACTCCATGTGGTACATATCTGATAGCTTTATCTTTTTATACAACATTACATGTATTGTACTTGCATGTATTTTATAAAATTATTTTTAAGAATGTAAAAATTATTATCTGATTTATTTTGCTTCATTTTAATTTCTTTTCAGTCAAGAGATAGATTAATAGGTAAGTTTTGTATATAATACATAAAGTTGTAGATCTTTTATTTGTTTATCCTATATTTTATAGATTTCATTTTAATTTATCAAGAGGGCGTGCAGCAGGTGATCATGTATATAATACACAAAGTTGTATTTTTTTTTTCATTGGTATATTTTGTACTATTTCATTTTACAGCTGGCCACATCAAAAGGTTGTATAGCAGGTGATCTCATGTTTCAAGATGTAGACAATAATTTCATTGATTGCAGCCAAACGCAGATGGTGAGCTATTGTTACCTTTGTAGCTAAACAAATGACAGTGGGACACTGCAAGCCAAGGTAGTAAATAAATCTTTAACCAGAAGTGAGTGAATTTAAAAGTGCAACACCTTTCACACCCCCCCCCCATTCCCAGCATTACATGCTAACTAAGTGGTATTCAATCTTCAACACATACCTGCTACAATTAATGATCCCCTAGGATAAGAAATAGTCAAGCTATTAAAATTATTCAACACTTGCTAAGAATGTTTGTGTTGGAGCTTGAACTGTGCTAGAACTTTAACTATTGAAAAACATATTGGCATAGTATTATTATACGAGTATGAAAGCAAAATGTCAGTGACAGCAAATGAAGATAACATTTATTTTATATGGCAGTTTTTGAGTAATGTGATGTTCTGATCTGATGGTTTTTATATCATGTTTATAGCATGTCCTATATACTCTATTTCAGGGAATACAGGTCCCTAATCATGTGAAAGGTTTGCATAGTATCCTTTCAACAATTATTACAAAATAATTTTATGTACAACATACAAGTAGTCCAGTGGTCACTGTCAATACTGCAAATCAATATGTTCTAGTTCAACTTATCAATAATATATTCACTTCCTTTTGCCCATATGTAATATATTTATAATCAAAATAGATCTATCTTGTAAAATATTTCTTTATAATTTTATTTCTTTAATTTCAATATATATTTTTTTCCTTCAAAATTGATGAAAGATATTGTCACAAATGCAAGTTTTATACTGGTGGTTGAGAAGGATGCAACCTTTCAGAAATTGCTGCAGAACAAAGTGTGTGAAAAACTTAACCCATGTATTATCATCACAGTAAGTTTTTACTTCTATAACTAATATCCATTATTCATACCCAACCGTTATCTTCATACCCAACCGTTATCTTCATACCCAACTGCATAATTTGTTGAAAAATAATTAGTCTTCCTACAAGTAATGAACCCATTCATAAATCACAAACTCTGGTTACTGTTTGGAAGAAGCCAGGTTTCCCAAAGGAATATACATACTCCTTAATTACCACAATTTTCTTCTTTAAAGGGAAAAGGTTTCCCAGACATGAACACACGAATGCTGCTGAAGATACTGTGGGACAACTTTTCTATACCAATACTTGTTTTAGTTGATGCTGATCCTCATGGTAACAGTTACACCTCATATATTCCATAAATCAGAACTTTTATTAAAATGTTTTTGACCAAGTTTGCAGCCAGATTAATGCTAAATTTCATGAAATAAAAAAGTAAAATATTGGAAAGTGAACAAAGAAAGTAATTTACACATTGCAAACAGCCCTCACATTCAATGTTAATTACCCAAAAGGTAATATATACTCTGCGTTGAAATATTTTGGCCAATCTGGAATCATGCAGCTTAAAAATATACATGTACATGTAGTTACTGTATATTCTTTTTTCTTTCAGGAATAGAAATCATGACTGTTTACAAGTTTGGTTCAAAGGTATTAAGATATAATCATTTGCATCAATCTTGAAACATATAACCACATTTATTGCAACTTATATTAATCACTTTAGAATCCTCTCCCTGGAAGCAACCAGTACTGGTGTCATATGATGAAACATGGTCGTGACTCATGTAGGACTCGAACCCATGATCCCTGGGTTACAAACCACATGGCCACCACTCACCTTTCATTCTAATTTAACTGGTCATATAGCACAAAATAAGCATCTTTACAATCCTAAAATTGTTGGAATTGCCTTTTTTGCATTGTTAGCTCGATTGATATTTCTTTTTCACACTTATTTCAGGCTTTATCATTTGAGAGCGAACATTTAGCTGTACCATGTATTAAATGGCTCGGTATACTTCCATCAGATATATCAAGGTAAGGCTTATATTTGCAATTCACAGGCTTTCTACTGGTCCCTACTTTTACTACTTTTCCTACTTTTTCCTACTTTTTTCTTTTGATCCCTTCTTTGCCCTACTTTTTTTCTGAAATAGCCCTATTATCCCTACTTTTTCATTTTGAAGTGAAATAAAAAAAAGGAGATATTTAAAATGGTATTTCAGTATTTTCAGTTGCAATTGATGAGTAGTTCAGGTGTGTGTGTCTCCTTGTGATGTCCATCCTTGAAAGACTCATGGTGCCTTGGCAAAACATTCAGCAACATTCTGGCTATGAGGTAAATACATGAAACAATACTGATTGTTTAAATAACTACTATTTTATAATTTTCCATGTTCCTCTTGTAAATGAATGCATGCTTCAGTCTAGTTTGACACTGCCAAGTGCTTATTAATGTCTAAATTAGGTTTATAAATATTCCCAATAATGCATTAGCTGAGGGATTCCACAGTTGTCATGCTGTACTGATTCAAAAGAACATATTTTTTTATTGGTTTCATTTGTGTTTGTGTTATTTTCCCAATGCTTATTAGACCATATATGTACATATTACTTGAATTTTTAAAACAAAGTCATCAATCAAAAATTTTACAAGGTTTAAATAAAACATTGAAATGTGATTAAAGCATTGGCCGCTGTAGGTATCAAACACTGCATTGACCAATTGCTCTTGTGTCTGAGTAGAGTGGCAGCAGTGTAACTTATCAATTCAGATTCCAAGCTTTTAATTGTCACTTAACAAAAATCTAACATGTGCAAATACCTTGGTATTGCTTCATCACTATCCATCAGATGGTTGTGCATTTTGTCAACATGATATGTTAAGCTTAATTATGAAAATGACAGGTCTTAAAAATTCAAATCATTTCATTGTCTTGTTGACAATAATGCACAACAATCTGGTAGCAAGCTTGGGTTAGGCTTGTTTCTCAGCTAGATTGTATTTACAGGGGTAACTATGCATGTTTGGCAAATCAATCACAAATTGTATGTATATGTACATTTAACATTATCATTTGACAGTGTACTGAATCATGCATACATTTAACCTTCTTGTACCTCTTGTTGGTGTTAAATTGTTCCTTAAAATACTACACTGTGGCATGTTTGTCATAACCTTTGCCCTTGCAATACATGTATATTATAATTTTATGCAACATATTAACATGAATATACATCAGTTTAACATACAGTAACATGCAGTCCTGTTCATATAGCTTTTAGTGTACATCCTGGTGTTGGTATTCACAGCTTGTTTGCATTTACCTTGACTATGTAATAGACTAGGATCTAGTAGCTCTTGGCTTACTAATGTGAATGGTCTTAAAACTATGTGCTAGATATACTCATTGTATGTTTGTTTTGCTGATTATATTTGTCCTTGTCATTGTAAACAACATTTTGTATTGGTGCACTTGTATTTAAAGAGAAATAAAAAACAATTTCAGGTGCCTGTCTTTCAAGCATGGACTGAACTGAAGATACACACAGCCTGATGGTCTTGGTGATGGTAAGTCTTAACTAAAACGGTAAGAAATTCCTACTTTATCCCTACTTTTTAACATCAGAAATCCCTACTTTGCCCTACTTTTTGGTAAAAAAAAATGCCCTACTTTTTTTGGTAGAGGCAGTAGAAAGCCTGAATTCAGAATTCAAATATTTGAGCCGCGTCATGACAAAACCAATGTGGTGCGTTTGCGACCAGCATGGATCCAGACCAGCCTGTGCATCCCCGCAGTCTGATCAGGATCCATGCTGTTTGCTTGCCAACCCTATTACAAGTAGAGAAACTGATAGCAAACAGCATGGATCCTGATCAGACTGCGCGGATGTGCAGGCTGGTCTGGATCCATGATGGTCGCAAACGCACTATGTTGGTTTTGTCATGGCGCGCCTGAATTATTTATTATTGTATCAGTTACAGATGTACAGTTTGGGAATTTTGTATTACAGACTTGGTGTACCAGAAAAATCACTGATAGCACTCAGTAAGGCTGACAAGGTAAAAGGTGAAGAAATACTGTCCAGACCATATATATCCCAATATCCTCAGTGGAAAACAGAGGTAATATTCTCTTATAGAACCTTTTAATTTTACATTCATTTTTTCTAGAATTATGAACCTATGTATGTGAACACTTTTATGGAGTATAAAATAGCACCATTACTGTTGGATATTAATGTTTCATTGTGTAGGTTCCATTTTGTTACTATATTCAAACTGAAGGGGAACTCTTAGTAAAACCACAATCATACATAGCAAGCTACCTCACAGTCGCTAACACAGAATTTAGATATGTGTCTGTTGGCAACTAATGTTGAAACATTATGAAAAAGCCATTTGAATGATATAAAAGCTGATAGTTTACTATTTAGATTGAACAGATGTTAGAGAGTGGAAAGAAAGCCGAGATACAAGCCTTGGACAGTATATCAGACAACTTTCTCACCGATGTATATCTACCCAGTAAGATCAGATGTTCAGGCTGGCTATAAACTTATCAGATCTGCATTGACATTTGTGTAAATGTTAATATCCATTAAATATGCAAAATGTATTTGTACTAATTTTCATATTATTAAAGGAACTCCACTGAGGTCCAAAGGCTCGAAACATAAAATTTGAAAATCTTACAAAATTATCAAGTGATACATTTTTTTCAAAATAAACTCTGCAAAGGATAACTGGAAATACACTTGGAATTAAATTGAAAATCAACCTTGGTGCAATTTTTAGTCGGAATTTGTGTGAAAAACTTTGCAATGTATTATATTTTTGGGTCATTCTTCACAATTAAAATGGTTATTCTGGAACAATGAGCTGGAAATTTGCACACAAGTCATTGGTCAACACCATCAATTGATATACAAATCTTTGAAAAATATTCCCAGTGATGTCCTGTCAATAATCCTCATCCCTTGAAATATTTTCATCCCTTGTACAAATGAATTAATTGTTGAACTATGACAATTGTTTACAAATGGAAACATTTTATTTTTCTCCTAGTTTTGTCTATTACGCATTACTTAATATAGGGATTTTGTAATTGATTTTTATTTCATTGCACATCATACTGTTCTCAAGCAGACTGTTGTAATAAACCAATTGTCAAGTAAGCCTTGTGTTACTTTCTGGACCTTTATTGTACATATATTGTGTATTACGCTAACGTGTTGGCAATATGCACAACTAGGGATGGCACTGATCACTCCTGTAAAGTTACATTGAAATCTCGCCAGCAGTTTGACCAAGACTTTTCAATTTATAGCTCTGTCGGCCATTTTGTGCAGCGAAGCAGAACATGCCTGCGATATTCACAACTAGGGATGATTGTGATCACTCCTGTGAAGTTTCATTAAAATCCAGTCAGCAGTTTGACCTGTAAAAGCCACACAACTTGGCACAAGCTTAATGCGGACAGACAGATGGCGAAGGCAAGAACAGTATGTCTCCCAAAAATTTTGCGAGACATAATTATAACACTTGTTTTAACTTAATACAGATTAACGCAGGCTTTTTAAGCTCAGTCAGCTATATTTTGATAAGAATCTGAGAAAATGGACTGCAACTTATTACCCATCAAACGGTTACGGTGACCACGACAATCAAAACAGACACAACAGGTTCTGAAAGTGCATTCACATACAAGTGTCAATGGTATACGTTTGTTATAGACCATAATAATTACGAGAGCACAATGCATTTCTCAAATGAGATCAGATGATTAAGTTATGCTGCAGCTTATATATGGGACGGATTATATCTTCACTACCTCTTTGGCCAAGGATAATAACTAATACACACAGTTCGGTACCAATTAGTAATATACATTCAACAAATATAAAACTTTCAACATTTTATTATCTTCCCCACATGAAACACACTGTTCACTTGAATTTCTACTGTTCTTAAATAATTTTTCCTTAGGTTTATAACAACTCTGACTGGAATATTGATATCCTATCCTCTCAACATGTTCTATCAGTAACAATCTGTTGTTGGGCTAGTATAGTCCCATCTTCACAAGCATGACTTGTTTCCAGGTTGGCAACAATCCAACCGTTCCTCTCCAGCCTACAAAACAGTGTAAAAATGTTTAAATCAAATCATAATAATATTCAATGAAAAATTCATTACTTGTATCTCAATAATTGTTCATTTGTACTTTGTATTTTAATGGATTAAATTCTGCGAAAAGTGTTTATTAAATAATCATGATTTAGCTTTCAAAACTTTAAAAGCCAATTTATATTTTTTTGGTTTTCTATTTTAGAAACAATGTTTAGAACAGATAGGGACTGAAACGTTGAAATTATATCATTATAGGCAATGTTTCAGAAAACAACTTTTATTTTTCAGCATAAATGTATTTTTGATACAAGTTTACTTAGCTCACTTTTGTTTTTTCCATAGATATTTATCAATTTTAAATTTTTGAAATCAAATGTAAGTACTAAGTAGATACAAACAAAAATTCCTTTTTTTTGCGATGTCACAAGCATTTATTTTATTTTTTTTCTTCAAAATTATGTTATTGTCATTTAAGCAGACAAAGTTAAGAATTTTACAGAAACGCTTTAATAGGACAAGAAATGACTCCTGTCTTTTACCTTTGAAACATTGTCAGAAAAGTTACACCATTAAATTCATTGATACATTATGATTACATAAGTACATGAGGTTTTTTTTTTCATTTTCATCCTGTAACAATTGTCAAAAAAAAGTCGCATCAGCATTAAATTCACGAAGACAATTCAACATTTAGGTTTTACTTGGGAAATTTTTCTACTTTACCTTCATTGGCTCCAGATAAAAATTAATGTTGCTGATTTCTTGTTATTTACTCTGCTCATTTTAATCCTTTAATATGCTGATGACTTGTGTCTCCTTTTCCTGCTTTATCTATTTACATTTATTGAATAACAAATTGACATGATTTTACTGGGCTGTGACACTGTTTAAACTTATTGGTTAGCAAAGTTTGATAAAATACCTTTTATATATTGTTACTAATCCAAGAAGAAACCCTTGAACTTTTGTTGCTATCTTGAAGTGATTATTAAAAGTGAAAATTGTTTAAAGTTGTTTTTTTTCTTTTGTGAGAATAACTTGTCCATGAATTTGACAAAAGCCTGTTAATTTGAAATAAATGTGTTGAAAAGTCTTAATTCTGATGATCATATAAACAATTGTGCAAATATTCTGAGGTGTAATGATATCTTGATAGATGAAATTGGGGAGCGTAAAATTTTTTGACAAGCTATTTTAAGCATGTCCACTATGTTCATGTCACAGCCCTTTTGTAAAATAAAAACAAGTTTATTTACAGCTTGCAATACAAGTTTCAATAATAGAAGGTATCTAAATTGAGGCATATTATGTAACTGCTCTTGTTTCCATGTATTTTCACAAATGATTTCACTTTACTCCAGTAACCAGTACAAATATAATGTTGGTTAGATCTTCCTTAAATTCACATTAATGTAACTTTAAGTTACAGCAGTGCAAGGTTTGTAACTTTGCTATAAATGACCCATTTGACGGGCTGGTTCTTGTCTTGGATTGCCATTTTATATGCTGGGTCTATATAATGGTTAATATGATCCAGACCACAGAAAACCAATAAATATTTTTCTTTTCATGCTCATAAACTTAAAATATTGTTTATCGGACAATTGTCCAATGAAAAACAGAAACAAAATGTACAAGAATTAGATGTACAAGATCAATAATAAACAGTAATATTAGAAAACAATGACTTGGAAACTAAAATGTTCAAGTGGTCTCGATTGAAATTAAAACAAAAGCAACCTTGTGTATTTTGAGTTTAAATTGTAAGTGCTCAGGCAAGTACATTTGTGTACATGAAAGGGAGTATTTTTGACCTGCTGAACTGGAAACCTCTAGAATAACAAGGAAAGGCAACCACTCAAGAAACATTGTAGTCAAGAGAGCTTCTGAAATTTTGTTAATTTTTCTCTAAATACCCAGACATGAAATGGTTCAGTATCCTCTCTTAGTTTCTTGCATAAAGATGAACTTGAACAATTGATACTATTCTAGAGAAAAGTTTGATAACATATTTAGTTTAATATAAATATATCATCAGTTAACAATGTCAACAATCGTTATTTTGTTGCACAACATCATTTATCATTCATGTATCTACCGACCCATTCAATTAATTTTGCCACTTCCATCATTGTTTTAAACAGAAATCAGTTAAATATATGAATCACATGTTAAAATTTAACAGCATCATATTTGTACAAACATTATTTCCATGTATTTATAACAACTACCAGTGTTTATTTGGTGTTATTGAATTCTCCACTTCAATGTATAGATTTTATAAAGTTTAATTATCAATATATTTGACTCCAGAGGCAAAGAAATAAATCAAAGAAAAATTTACTCTTGCTTAGGGTCATGTTTCATTACATAATTACAGGCCTTCTAGTTTAAACAAATTGAAAAATGTAAATTCAATTTCTTTTAAGCAACTCTTTCATCCATAATTACAAATCTTTGATGACATGTAGCATGCACTCATTATTTCTAATGCAAAAAAAAATTATATTCTTTTACATGCACAACTTGATATTTATGCAATATTTAAAGATTTGTTTCAACATTTTATATATTAGTAGATTTTCCTTATTCATGCAGTTACTAGTAGGCCTGCTTTTTTTTATTTTCAACATATCATTGAGAGATGTGCAAGACATAAAAATACATAAAATTGTTATTTTTAAATAAATACATCTTATAAGATGTTTTACTTATTATTTCTTTGAACATTTATTTGCTTGAAATCTGAAATAAAACTAAAATAAACACAGTTGATTAATTACAAGTAATAAGTTTCAGGAGTTTTATGCTTTATTGAAATGAGAATACAAAAAATGACGACAATATTACAACTGAACATGTATTACAATATATATGAAATGAATTTGGCATATTAATTAGTGAGTGTATTTATTGTTTTAGTTATTTAACTTCCTTTATATGCTTCTCTTTGTTTAACCAACTAAAACAGTTGAATATTTTATAAGTTTAGTTACAGAAGTAGTTTCTATTATTACTTTTTTTTTAAAGTTTTGTTTGGCATTAATTATGCAATACTTTAGTCTGTTATCACAAAAAGCAGTTATTTACAAATTTATAAAACACTGTTTTAAAAAAATTAACCTTGACACACCTATATTACAACCTAAAAGCTTTTCTGATTTAAAAACCACTAAGAACATTTATATAGGACATGATTTTAAGTTTGTTTTTGTTTGTTGTACTTTTGCAGGTGTAAAAGTCAAATTATATTACACGTTTTAAGATTTCCTTCCCTGATTTAGAGTAATGAACTAAAATTGTAAAACTGAAATCTTAAGTTGGCAGCAAATCTACGCAAAAAAGCGTAAACATGTACCTCCATGTTCGCAGACTCGCTTGTATAGGTTCAACATACAACAACATTAAGAATAGATGTCTATTGGTGATTTAAGATGTCTTCAGTAACTGCTGTAGCGACTTGGTGCAACACCTGGTCGTGCTGTTGTATCATATGGATGTGTTCTGGCACCGCGTGCACCTCTTGAGGCTATTGGTGGTGGGGCTTTCATAGCACGACTGTCATAACCAGATGTATGTGGTGGTGGTCTTGATTGTATCCGTGAGGTATCTGAAAACAGCGGATATCCTTAAACTGACAATGAACAATTCCAACATGAAATAGAGCAAGGTTTATCCATTCAAACAATTTACTACAAGATCGATGTAAAACAAATGTCGCAAATAATCAATACTTGCAAATCAAGCTGTTGTTTTTTATTTTAAAAAGGGAAACATACGAGATACACATTCCCCTTACGTTTATTTTTCTTTTCAAATTATTTCTCATAAGGTTTTGACTTACATTAAGTTGACAACATAGTCAATTACCACTAAAAAATCTAAACTAAGATTTATACATTCATGATTTATTTTTTGGGGGAAAAAAAAGTCTGTCAAGAAACTTGAATGTTTTTATATATTTTAAGCCGGTACCTATACAATTTTTATCTGCTTCAAAATCAATCATCTGACCTTGATAATTAAGGTCAATTTTAAAAATGACAACAATTTAAAATTATACCATTTTTGTTCAAAATCAAGTATTTACAAAGGCATTTTTTTTCTTTCAAAAAAAAGTTATAATTATATTCTATCAAGATCAAAGACTTTTAATGACATCATCATCAATCACTTAAGATGTGAGCATACAAAATTTGGTGGAAATAGAAATTAATCATTGGACAAAGATAGAAATATATGATTTTTTTTTTAATTGTAGGTAATAGTTGATCAGGGGAATTAAGGCCCCTGAATACTTACTAAGAGCTGTCACTTGACTATTCTCAGTGCTTTGAAATAAGAAAAGGGGATTAACTTCATGAACAAGGGTGCCATAGTCACAAAATACGCCCGTTTACGAAAGCTTTAGATGGAGATGGGGGCATTATGGATAAGTGTTATCTAGCAAGCAAGTTTTTATTCTTGGCACTGTGTTGTTAAATAAACCTTAAAACAAATCAGTAGGGAAGATATGCACAGGATGTGTGACCTTGACCTTGGTCGCAGGGACCTGAATTTAATGCACGGCACTCAGCCTCACAATGATGAACATTTGTGCCAAATTATATTGAAATCCCTCTATGCATGGAGAAGTTTTGCTCCAGACAAGCATTTTTCTATGAGCTCTAACTGTGACCTTCACCTTTGACCTAGAGACTTGGTTCATGTGCAGGGCACTACATCTCATGGTGGTGAACAATTCTATAAAGTAACATTAAAATTCCTCCATGCATGTAGAAAATATGCTCCGGACAACATCTGGATATTTAATCATCTCCAGTGACCTTGACCTTGCAAATATTAACCTAAATTAAATGTGTCACATCTGTAGTCATGATAGTTACCATTTGTGCTACAATCCATCAATAAATGATGACTAAATGGTCCCTATACACATCTTCAAATTTTTATCTGAACTTTGACCTCTATGTGTAACCTTGACTTTGGTCGCAGGGATCTGAATTTTGCGTGCGACACTCAGCCTCACAATGGTGAACATTTGTGCCAAGTTATATTGAAATCCCCCTATGAATGTAGAAGTTTTGCTCTGGACAAGTGTTTTTCAATGAGCTTTAAGTGTGACTTTGACCTGGAGACCTGGATCATGCATGGAGCAATACATATCATGGTGGTGAACATTTCCATAAAGTATTATAAAAATTCTTCCATACATGTAGGAGATATGCTCCAGACAAAATCTGGATATTTTACCATCTTTAGTGACCTTGCATATATTGACCTAAAGTACATGTGTCACAGCCGTAGTCATGATAATGACCATTTGTGTTACAATCCCTCAATAAATGATGATTAAATCGTCCCTATACACATCTTCATACTTTTATCTAAACTTTGACCTCTATGTGTGACCTTGACCTTGGCTGCAGGGACCTGAATTTTGTGCGCGACACTCCGCCTCACAATGGTGAACATTTGTGCCAAGTTATATTGAAATCCCTCTATGCATGTGGAAGTTTTGCTCCGGACAAGCGTTTTTCAATGAGCTCTAAGTGTCACCTTGACCTTTGACCTAGAGACCTAGTTCATGTGCGTGATATGGCTTCTCATAATGGTGAACATTTCTATGAAATTTCATTAAAATCCCTCCATGCGTGTAGGAGATATGCTCCGGACAAAATCTGGATATTTCATCATCTTTAGTGACCTTGACCTTGTATATATGGACCTAAATTATATGTATCACAGCCATAGTTTTGATAATGACCATTTGTGTTACAATCCCTCAATAAATGATGACTAAATGGTCCATATACACATCTTCATATTTTTATCTGAACTTTGACCTCTATGTGTGACCTTGGCCGCAAGGACCTGAATCTTGCGCGCGACACTCCGCCTCACAATGGTGAACATTTGTGCCAAGTAATATTGAAATCCCTCTATACATGTGGAAGTTTTGCTCCGGACAAGCATTTTTCAATGAGCTCTAAGTGCAGGGTTTTACGGGACGCAGAATTTTGCGTCCCTATACGCATAAATTTTGACATGTACGCATATAAGTTATCCACTTGCGTCCAAGTGTACGCACAAAAATAATCCTAGACAATAGATATTATTGTTTCTGGCCCGACATGATTTTATCTCTTTCTTCTCGAAGCTCACAAAATTCCATTTAAATCTAATACAGCGAGCAGAAAATGCTTGCATTGTTTATTTCGGAAGTTAACATAATTGAAATCTACTGCGCATGCTATTTGCAAGTGCCCGCTGCAGAAACTGATGACGTTTATCGTGCAAGCTACAGTAACTGATGACGTTTACCGTAAAATCTATTTTAGGTAGCTGTTTTTGGTTTTTCTGTTGCTATATTTAGACGGACTATTTATAACAAGCAATTACTATTGGTTAGCGTATCCAATGTCGATGCGAATGTATTTTGTACATGAACGGCGATAATAAAAAAGGCAGTGCTTTTTGCAAACTTATTTTCATAGTGTTATAGAAAGTAAGTCACTGGGTATGTTATTATCGTTGGTGTTATAAATATAATGGTTTCGGCGAACTTAACTTTGACAGGGACATCAAGTATGTCCCAGCTTATGAGGAGGTGCAAAAGCGGTTTCGTCAGCCTTTTGTTATATGATATTTTTAAAAACGCAACATATTTAGCTGACTGGTCTGTAAAGTTATATATTGTGTGTTTACTAGTTCAGCTAAAATATTTACAAATAGATCAGTACAAATTTTCAGTCTGTTGGTGTAATCACCTTATCAATAACACAAGTCCATAGCTTTCATACTTGAGGAGAAATGACCAGGACAAAAATAAAGTAAGAAAATCAACAAAGGGCAATTACTCAAAAATAAGAAATGCAGAGTATCAGTTCTTATGCACTGCACTTCTTTTTAATGAGATCTATCATCCTATGAAGTTTCAAGTCCATAACTTTTATACTTTCGGAGAAATGGCCTGGACAAAAATTAAGTATGAAAATTAACAAAGGGCCATAACTCAAAAATTAAGAAATGCAAAGTACCGATTCTTGTGCACTGCACTTCTTAATAATGAGATCTATCATCCTATGAAGTTTCAAGTCCATAGCATTTATACTTAAGGAGAAATGGCCCGGACAAAATTAAACAAGAGCTGTCCGTAAGACAGCGCGCTCGACTTTTTTATTGCTTGCCAATAAAAAAAGTTTTTGCAGTAAAAGGCAATACAAGAATCTCTGTATTTTTAAAGTGAACTAGTTGTTTGATACCCTTGAATATTACAGCAATGTTTATATGACATAATTTATGGTAAAGTGAACAAGTGGATAGGAATGAATTTTTTTAGATTTTTTAAGTTTTTTAGTGCTTGCCTATAATACAAAACATTGACAGTTAAGGGCCATAATTCAAATAAAATCTTTGACAGAATTACCTTCTCCTGGACATGTTTGGGAATCATGATTGTAAACAAGTATTCCAACTTTCAAATTAATATCTCAAACAGTTCAGTCAAAAAGTGGACTGGTACTAAAAACTTAACCAAGATTCTAAGTCGATAAAAGGCCTTAATTTTTAAAACAAATCCTTGACAGAGTTACCTTCTCTTGCGTACAGATGGGGGTAATGATGTGAAATAGCATTAAAAGTTTCAAAGCAATATCTCAAAGGGTTAAGGCAATAAGTGGATTTTACCCATATTCAATGTATTTTCTAAGTCAAAAAGGGGCATAATTCTGTCAAAAACCTTGACAGAGTTATGTCCTCTTGTCTGTTGATGAAGGTCGTGATGGTAAACAAGTATGGTCAGTTTCAAAGCAATACCTCCAATGGTTTTGAAATAAAGTGAGGTGGTACAAAAAACTTAACCAAGCTCAATACACTTTCTAAGTCAAAAAAGGGCCATAATTCTGTCAAAAACCTTGACAGAGTTATGTACTCTTGTCTGTAGATGGAGGTTATGATGGTGAACAAGTATGGTAAGTTTCAAAGCCATACTTGTAATACTTCTGAAATAAAGTGGGGTGGTACGAAAAACTTAACCAAGGTGTGACGCCAACGCCGACGCCGGGGCGAGTAGGATAGCTCCCCTTTTCATAGAAAAGTCGAGCTAAAAATGAAAATAAACAAAGGGCAATAACTCAAAAAATAAGAAATGCAGAGTACCAGTTCTTGTGCACTGCACTTCTTCTTAATGAGACCTATCATCCTATGAAGTTTCAAGTCAATGGCTTTTATACATTAGGAGAAATGGCCCGGACAAAAATAAAGTATGAAAATTAACAAAGGGCAATAACTCAAAAATTAGGAAGTGCAGAGTACTGGTTCTTGTGCACTGCATTTCTTCTTAATGAGATCTATCATCCTATGAAGTTTCAAGTCTATAGCTTTTTTAGTTGAAGAGAAATGGCCCGGACAAAATTAAAGTATGAAAATTAACAAAGGGCAATAACTAAAAAAATAAGAACTGCAGAGTACCGGTCCTTGTGCACTGCACTTCGGGTTATTGAAAGAAGCATGCATACCAAGTTTGAAGTCAATCAGACTTATAGTGACTGAGTTCTGCTCCGGACAAGCTTTAGCGGACGCCGACGCCGACAACGACAACGACGCCGACACAGACGCCGCCGACAAAAGTAACCCCTATATGTCACCTTTTCAAGGCGACACAAAAATATGCTACTAAAACTTGACATTCCAGCCACTCAAAGACTTATAAGCCTTGGAAATAGCACAAAGGGCTACTAAAGGGCTATAAAAAAACCTAGTGATAAAAGATATTGAAATCATATACTTTCAGTCTGTTGGTGTAATCACCTTATCAATAACAAAATATGCTACTAAAACTTGACATTCCAGCCACTCAAAGACTTATAAGCCTTGGAAATAGCATAAAGGGCTACTAAAGGGCTATAAAAAAACCTAGTGATAAAAGTTATTGAAATCATATACTTTCAGTCTGTTGGTGTAATCACCTTATCAATAACAAAATATGCTACTAAAACTTGACATTCCAGCCACTCAAAGACTTATAAGCCTTGGAAATAGCACAAAGGGCTACTAAAGGGCTATAAAAAAACCTAGTGATAAAAGATATTGAAATCATATACTTTCAGTCTGTTGGTGTAATCACCTTATCAATAACAAAATATGCTACTAAAACTTGACATTCCAGCCACTCAAAGACTTATAAGCCTTGGAAATAGCACAAAGGGCTACTAAAGGGCTATAAAAAAACCTAGTGATAAAAGATATTGAAATCATATACTTCTTATGAAAACAGTACAATATACATGCATATCTCTTACAGGGTAAATAAATGATTTTAAGCAAAATAGAGTGGTCTTCATAGTCTTTTATAGTGAAAATAATTTTGAACCCCTAAAATTCAGGCCTGGACCCCTACTTTTCTAGGCTGTGCATCCACTGGACCCCTAAAATTTCAAAGAGATGTAAAACCCTGTAAGTGTGACCTTGACCTTTGACCTAGAGACCTGGTTCATATGCGCGACACTGCTCCTCATAGTGGTGAACATTTCTATGAAGTTTCATTAAAATCCCTCCATACATGTAGGAGATATGCTCCGGACAAAATTGGACGCCGCCCGCCCGGGGCGTTCCCATAATACGTCCCGTTTTTCAAACGGGCGTATAAAAAGGTAACTCAAGAGTAAGGGCCCTACGGTTTCACGTTTAAACGGATTTGTTTCCATTTTCATTTGTAAACGTTTACGATATTTTTTACCGTTTAATTGAAATGACAATATTGCCTTACAATATATCTTAATCATTGCCTGTTCTCACGGATTTTATCAATTCTAATTGGTTTATTCCAAAGTAAAAACGGAAAATGGGTGTTTACAACCTTCCACACAGCATTACCGTACAATACTCGCTCGTGTCATAATATATTTTTGGTAAAGTTGATTTTCCTTTGATACTTGCAGAAAATGTGTGCCGACACAATGAGCCCTTAACATTATTTATTTGTACATGTATCAAAAATAGAAAGTATGTGATCATTTGGCGACCTTAATACATGGTGTAGTATAGTGCATAGAAGTATTGCCGTTTAAACGGTATTGTTTCAGTTCTTAGCAATTGTGTAAACATTTACAAAAATTGTAAATGTGGGAGCCTTACTCAACAGTTATGGGACCAGTATGTAAGATATTCAGAGAACAATGATGCAAGTTTCCAACCCATTTCCATATTGCACCTAAAAGCTTAACCAAAGTGTGATGCTGTGGTGAGTAAAATAGGTCTGACATCATATTTTTTCAATAGTACAGCTAAAAATAAACAAATTCTAAAGACATAACATTTTACTTGTTCTAGGCTTACCATATTCATCTGTGTATGATTGAGCTCCATGTCCATAATCAAAGTATTGGGTATCTCTGAAATTTATTAAAACAGGTATTTACATAAAAGATTATGTAATAAGAAAACAATTTTCATCATATATAGTGCAAATATCTAATGAAAAATTTGAAGGTAGAAGAAAAACATAAAGCAGCAAGAACAGTCAGTATGACAGAGCACTGAACGTTTGTTAGTGCTTCACAGTAAGACAAGAGCTTGGATAGTGCAGGAAATAACAATGAGGAAGACTTCATTCCATAAAAAAAGTAATGAAAAGATGAAGTATCTTTCAAAAAAATCTCTCTTGAAGACCTCTGACATTCCGTTTATAATAATTTAATGATGTATAAAAAGTACAATTAACTATGCTTACCCTGCAGCAGAAACTGGTTCCTGGTATTGCTCTTCAGCGTATGGGTCTCTCCTGGTGTAGGCATCATCATAGCTCTCTTGTGCAGTATATGACTGGGCATACTGAAATAATAGACATAAAGAACATCTTACAAACATGATGTCTGCCCCCTTGCATTGCTATAAAGAGCATCAATTCAGTAGTCCTTCAGATTAGAGATGTGAAGATCTTCAATGAACATTAAGGCAATAGGCAGTATTTTCTGGGTGATTTATATTTTTTCTTGTGTAGATTATCTTAATTTATGTCTGTACTACCAATATATGACACAGAACTTCCAAGATAAGATAAAGGACGTCAACAAACTTTTTTTGCTCCTCAACAATATTCATTATAATGCACAAGACATGGTCAATTATTTTTTTCCCCACTCAACTTACACTTCAATAATAGTAATTACAAAGTCAAAATTATGTGCATAAAATATCATATTCTTAATATCAGTGTTTTTTCCCCCTTATATAACTGATACTGGAAAATGGCACCATTCCCAATAGAAAATAGACAGCAAATTTCCCAATTCATATCTGATAAATTCCATAAATAACACTGAAAATTTCCTCAAAAATCGGCGAATTTAAAGGTAAACAAAAACAGTCATGTCATTGATAAGTGATATACGATAAAAACCAAGTATAATCACATGAGTGATATTCATACCCAGTTCATTTCATACTTTTAGTGTTTCACACCTAAACATCATTTTACAATTGTTATGATTATCAATTTTTTTCCCACCTCAAGTAGCAAAATAATTATTAAAGTTAATAATACATGGTTTTAAAGTGTATATTATGCATAATTTTCATGTCTCCCTATATAAAGAAATTCCCAATGAATATTTATAATTTTGCATCTTATTTAAATTTCCAATTTGAGTCAAACCGATGGTTTTTTCCCAATCTGTCTGGTACCGGCGGTCCGGCACCATTCCCAAAGCAAGGGTAAAAACACTAAATATGCTTTGGACTTAATCATTGACAACTATAGAAATAGTTTAATGAAATAACTCACTGGATCTTGACTGTAAGCAGATTCTGTGCCATAATCATCATAGTCTGATAAAGCAGGTGGTGCCCTTGATAATGATACTGGTGGTGGCATAGCTCGCCCCCTGTTGGAAGCAGGAGCCCCTCTGCTTGGTGGTGCTGCCCCTCTCCCAACTGGTGCTCCTCTAGCAGGGGGTGCCCCTCTTGGTGCAGGAGCACCTCGCATAGTTGGAACACCACGGGGAGGGGGAACACCACGAGGAGCTGGCGCCCCACGTTGGGGAGGTGCCCCTCTTTGAGATGGGGCACCTCTTGGTGCTAGACCTCCTCTTGGTGGTGGGGTCCCTCTTCCAACTGGTGGAGCTGAACCTCCTCCCCTATAATAAGAGAGCAAATTAAAATCATAAAATCTGAAAAAATGCAAGGTAAGTTTATGATAAAAGGGTTGGAGTAGCAAAAGTTTAATCAAAATAAAGTCCATGCATTTCGGTCTCTAAAAAGATAATTCTAATTTTCTACATAAAATCAATGCCCTGGACATAACTAAAGCTCACATGAACACTATATGCACACAAGCTTAAACTTGTAATAATGTTGCAATGATTGGAGACTGAAAATGACAATACATATCACCATCAGCACTATGATCTTGCCTTATTCTCTGAACATATCTATAGTATACAAACATGGGACAGAACTGCAAAACGCAGCATGTTTCCAAGTTTACTTCTGGAATATCTCCAGTATACATTATCATAGTAGTTCAGCGGGAATATATTCATGAATGACACCCCAAAAAAAGTTGAAAACTATACAACATTTTTTGGCAATGTTAAGCACTCAATCTTATTACTTTTACATTAATATTTTTCATTACAATTATGTTCACTGTTAAGTGTTGTGATATAATATTAATTATAACATCTAAATTTATTCCAAATAATTGCTTTTAAGGTACTTTTAGAACAACGTCGGAATGCAATTTGAACAAATATTGTACATGATTTATTTACTTTGACAATCAAGTTGCAACAATACCTCTCTGGTAACAGGGCAAATTTAAAACCTGCCATTTGATAACAACTATCTATATTATTGTCTTGTAAAAATACATAACAGGGCTCGACATTAATGGTTGTCCGACTGCCCGGGACAACCAAAAGTTTGGTCAGGGCAAGTGAATTTCAAAAGAACTTGTCCGACAGGGCAAGTGAAAAAAATCATAAGTAAACATATAAAATTCCAATATTATGACCAATAATCCTTGCAAATTACAATGTCAATCTTAATTAGACTTAATTAGAACGGATCACATTTGTGGAGACGATAAATAACGAACCTCACAGCAGGGGCAATTGTACATGTACACAGGCTATCCAGTTGTCTGATGAATATGTCAAAACTTGATTAACATTATTAATTATGTCAACACCTCTTCTTATTAAAGGTGTTCAAACCCTGTTAAAGTTCAAATCACAGCCTTGAACTTTGTTTAATTTAGCCGTCTAAACATTTGCCGATTTCTGGCTGTTTATTTTTGCTGTTAAAATCTAAAATTTATCGTATATCCTCAAAGAAAAAACGTTTCTCCTGTAGATAATTGTAACAAGAGGGCCATGATGGCCCTAAGGTCGCTCACCTGTATATAGGCCCCCAACGTTGCAGGGCCAATTTAACCCAAGGGCTTTTATTTGCACAAACTCGGTAGACACCCATAAGAAGATATTTCATGCTAAACATCTAAGCTCTAGCTCATTGGGCTTTTTGAAAGAAGATTCTTTTAAAGTTCTTACTATACACATATAGTTAAAAACAATGACACCCCTGGGGCAGGGCCAGTTTTGACCCCAGGGCTTTTATTTGAACAAACTTTGTAGACACTTACTAGAAGATGTTTCATGCTTAATATCTAAACTCTAGCTATTTGGGTTTTTTCAAAGAAGATTTTTAAGTTCTTGCTATACACATATAAAGAAAATCAATGACCCCTGGGGCGGTGCCAATTTTGACCCCAGGGCTTTTATTTGAACAAACTTGGTAGACACCCATTAGAACATGTTTGATGCTAAATATCTTAGCCATAGCTCTTTGAGTTTTTTTAAAGAAGATTTCTTAAGTTTTTAATATATGCATATAGGGAAAATCAATGATCCCCCGGGGCGGGGCCAATTTCGACCCCAGGGCTTTTATTTGAACAAACTTGGTAGACACTTATTAAAACATGTTTCATGCTAAATATCTTAGCTTTAACACTTTTAGTTCTTTAAAAGAAGATTTTTTAAGTTTTTACTATATGCATATAGGGAAAATCAATGACGCCCTGGGGTGGGGCCAATTTTGACCCCAGGGCTTTTATTTGAACAAACTTGGTAGACACCTATTAGAACATGTTTGATGCTCAATATCTTAGCCAAGCTCTTTCAGAGTTCTTTAAAATAAGATTTTTTAAGTTTTTACAATATGCATATAGGGAAAATCAATGACCCCCCGGGGCGGGGCTAATTTTGACCCCAGGGCTTTTATTTGAACAAACTTGGTAGACACCTATTAGAACATGTTTGATGCTCAATATCTTAGCCATAGCTCTTTGTGTTCTTTAAAAGAAGATTTTTTAAGTTTTTACTATATGCATATAGGGAAAATCAATGACCCCCCGGGGCGGGGCTAATTTTGACCCCAGGGCTTTTATTTGAACAAACTTGGTAGACACCCATTAGAACAGGTTTCATGCTAAATATCTTAGCTGTAGCTCTTTTGGTTCTTTAAAAGAAGATTTCTTAAGTTTTTACTATATGCATATAGGAAAAATCAATGACCCCCGGGGCGGGGCCAATTTTGACCCCAGGGCTTTTATTTGAACAAACTTGGTAGACACTTATTAGAACATGTTTCATGCTAAAAATCTTAGCTCTAGCTCTTTTGGTTCTTTAAAAGAAGATTTTTAAGTTTTTACTAAATGCATATTGGGAAAATCAATGACCCCCCGGGGCAGGGCCAATTTTGACCCCAGGGCTTTCATTTGAAGAAACTTGGTAGACACCCATTAGAACATGTTTAATGCTAAATATCTTAGCTCTAGCTCTTTTGGTTCTTTAAAAGAAGATTTTTTAAGTTTTTACTTTATGTATATAGGGAAAATCAATGACCCCCCGGGGCGGGGCCAATTTTGACCCCAGGGCTTTTATTTGAACAAACTTGGTAGACACTCACTAGAAGATGTTTCATGCCAAATATCTAAGCTCTAGCTCTCATGGTTTTTTAAAAGAAGATTTTTTAAGTTTTTACTATATGTATATTGGGAAAATCAATGACCCCCCGGGGCGGGGCCAATTTTGACCCAAAGGCTTTTATTTGAACAAACTTGGTAGACACTTATTAGAACATGTTTCATGCTAAATATCTTAGCTTTAACTCTTTTGGTTCTTTAAAAGAAGATTTTTTAAGTTTTTACTATATGCATATAGGGAAAATCAATGACCCCCCTGGGGCGGGGCCAATTTTGACCCCAGGGCTTTTATTTAAACAAACTTGGTAGACACCTATTAGAACATGTTTGATGCTAAATATCTTAGCCATAGCTCTTTGAGATCTTTAAAAGAAGATTTTTTAAGTTTTTACTATATGCATATAGGGAAAATCAATGACCCCCCTGGGGCCGGGCCAATTTAGACCCCAGGGCTTTTATTTGAACAAACTTGGTAGACACCCATTAGAACATGTTTCATGCTAAATATCTCAGCTCTAGCTCTTTTGGTTCTTTAAAAGAACATTTTTTAAGTTTTTACTATATGTATATAGGGAAAATCAATGACCCCCCGGGGCGGGGCCAATTTTGACCCCAGGGCTTTTATTTGAACAAACTTGGTAGACACTCACTAGAAGATGTTTCATGCCAAATATCTAAGCTCTAGCTCTTATGGTTTTTTAAAAGAAGATATTTAAAGTTTTTTCTTTCGGTTGCCATGGCAACCAGAGTTCTGCATGGAATTAAATTCTTTGAACAATTTTTAAAGGTGACCACCAAAGGAACATTCCTGTGAAGTTTGGATGAAATTGGCTTAGTGGTTTATGAGGAGATGTCATTTAAAGTAAAAGTTTACGGACGGACGGACGGCGGGACGACGGACGGACGCCGGACGAAAAGCGATCACAAAAGCTCACCCTGTCACTTTGTGACAGGTGAGCTAAAAATAATAACAATTCATCTGCAAATGTGATACAGAGACATATCCACAAGGAAAAAAGATGTAAATTTAGAAACAAAATCGGTAAATGAAATTGTCACATATTTTCGCGACTTAAGATGTGGTAAACACAAACAAGAGGGCCATGATGGCCCTGAGGTCGCTCACCTGTATATAGGCCCCCCCCCCTTTAAAAGAAGATTTTTAAGTTTTTACTACACACATATAGTTAAAAACAATGACACCCCTGGGGCAGGGCCAGTTTTGACCCCTGGGCTTTTATTTGAACAAACTTTGTAGATATTTACTTAAATATGTTTCATGTATAATATCTAAACTCAAGCTATTTGGGTTTTTTCAAAGAAGATTTTTAAGTTTTTGCTATACACATATAAGGAAAATCAATGACCCCCGGGGCAGGGCCAGTTTTGACCCCAGGGCTTTTATTTGAACATACTTGGTAGACACCCATTAGAACATGTTTCATGCTAAATATCTTAGCTCTAGCTTTTGAGTTCTTTAAAAGAAGATTTTTTAAGTTTTTACTATATGCATATAGGGAAAATCAATGACCCCCTGGGGCGGGGCCAATTTCGACCCCAGGGCTTTATTTTAACAAACTTGGTAGACACTCATTAGAAGATGTTTCATGCTAAATATCTTAGCTCTAGCTCTTTGGGTTCTTTAAAAGAAGATTTTTTAAGTTTTTACTATATGCATATAGGGAAAATCTATGACCCCCTGGGACGGGGCCAATTTTGACCCCAGGGCTTTTATTTGAACAAACTTGGTAGACATTCACTAGAAAATGTTTCATGCCAAATATCTAAGCTCTAGCTCTTACGGTTCTTTAAAAGAAGATTTTTAAGTTTTTACTATATGCATATAGGGAAAATCAATGACCCCCGGGGCGGGCCAAATTTTGATCCCAGGGCTTTTATTTGAAACAAACTTGGTAGACACTCACTAGAAGATATTTCATCATGTCAAATTTATCTTAGCTCTAGCTCTTTGGGGTTCTTTAAAAGAAGATTTTTTAAGTTTTTACTATAATGCATATAGGGAAAATCTATGACCCCTGGGGCAGGGCCAATTGACCTCAGGGCTTTTATTTGAACAAACTTGGTAGACACTCATTAGAAGATGTTCATGCTAAAATATCTTAGCTCTAGCTCTTTGGGTTCTTAAAAGAAGATTTTTTAAGTTTTTACTATATGCATATAGGGAAAATCAATGACCCCCTGGGGCTGGAACCAATTTTGACCCCAGGGCTTTTATTTGAACAAACTTGGTAGACACTCATTAGAAGATGTTTCATGCCAAATATCTAAAGCTCTAGCTCTTAAGTTCGTTTACAAAAGAAGATATTTTAAAGATTTTTCTTTCGGTTGCGCATGGCAACAGAGTTCTGCATGAAATGGAAATTCTTTGAACAATCTTGATAGAGAGCTTCATACAAAGAGTATTCCTGCCAAAGTTTCATTAACACTGGCCTTGCGGTATCATAGAAGATGTCCTTAGAATATTTAAAATGTGGACGGACGACAGACGACGGACGCCATTTGGTTGGCCATCCTAAAAGCTCACCTGCACTTTGTGCAAGGTGAGCTAAAAAACCACACAAAGTTTCTGTCCACAACTTTATAAAAATTCTTTTATGAAGAAAGTACTATATTTAAGTGATTTTTATATATCAAATGCACAAAACTTGGATTTTTTGTCAGAATAACCATGTTTTTTTTTACTTTTTTTCTTCTTCAAAAATACATATAACTTAATTACTGAAAACATTTTAAAATCTTATTTAGCCCCTTATAACCTTCCTTCTATTTCCAACCAATTTTAGTGAAAATATGAGTATGATTTTGTCACAAAATGTCTTAATTTCTTAAAATAAATATGAGTATGATTTTGTCACAAAATGTCTTAATTTCTTAAAATATAATGAAACCCAAGCATGACTAGAGAATAAATAAACCCCATTTTCAAAGATTGCCAACACTTTTTTCTCAAAACTTACTAATAAATGTAGGGTTGTTTTCAACACTTTACCAGTTTAAGTAAGGGCAAGCAAGCTTTGGGTCAGGGCAAGTAATATTCAAAAGTACTTGCCCGACAGGACAGCCAAATAAAAAAGTTAATGTCAAGGCCTGCATAACCCTTTTAGTTCAAACCCACTAGTCAGGTTTGTATTGTAACTTTAAGCTTGAAACCCTAACTAAAACCGTATGAGCTGAATAGGTATTTTCTAAAAACATATTGAAATTTGTATCATTTTAAATCATAAACAGACAACAGTGCATTTGTAACCTGAGCTAGAAAAAGAACTTGTATAATTGCGATATAAAATTATGTTGGATTAAAATCTAAAATGTGTTGCAATGATTGGAGACTGAAAATGACAATACATATCACCATCAGCACTATGATCTTGCCTTATTCTCTGAACATATCTATAGTATACAAACATGGGACAGAACTGCAAAACACAGCATGTTTCCAAGTTTACTTCTGGAATATCTCCAGTATACATTATTATAAATGTTCAGTGGGAATATATTCATGAATGACACCCCAAAAACAATACAACATTTTTCAGCAATGTTAAGCACTCAATTTTATTACATTAATATCTTTAATTACAATTATGTTCATTCAGGACATTGTTAAGTTTTATGATATAATATTTGAATCTTATTCCAATAAGGTTCTTATAGAAGAGCACAGAAATGGAATTTTGACAAATATTGCGAATGATTTATTTTCTTTAACAAGCAAGTTGCAACAATACCTCTCAAGTAACATGGCAAATTAAGAAACCTGCCATTTGATAATAAATGAGCCGCGTCATGACAAAACCAACATAATGGGTTTGCGACCAGCATTGATCCAGTCCAGCCTGCGCTTTCGCGCAGTCTGATCAGGATCCATGCTGTTCGCTTACAAACCCTATAACAAGTAGAGAAACTGATAGTGAACAGCATGGATCCTGATCAAACTGCGCGGATGCGCAGACTGGTCTGGATCCATGCTTGTCACAAACCCATTATGTTTGTTTTGTCGTGACGCGGCTCAAATATCTTTATCATTCTCTTGTAAAAATACATAAACCTTTCGGTTCAAACCCGTGAAGTTTAAAACCCTAACTTAAACTGTACGAGCTGAACAGGCATTTTCTAAAAATATTTTGAAGTACCATTTTAAATCATAAACTGACAAACGGTTCATTTGTATTCTGAGCAATAAAAAAAAGAACTTGTATAATTGCAAGATAAAATAATGATGGATTATTTAATATCTAAAATGTGTTGCAATGATTGGAGACTGAAAATGACAATACATATCACCATCAGCACTATGATCTTGCCTTATTCTCTGAACATATCTATAGTATACAAACATGGGACAGAACTGCAAAACGCAGCATGTTTCCAAGTTTACTTCTGAAATATCTCCAGTATACATTATTATAAATGTTCAGTGGGAATATATTTCAGGTAAATGTTTAAAATTGTGCTGACAATCTGCATTGTTTTTTTATTTGATCATAAACTGATAAAGCCTTTTGAAATTACAATATTATAAATCAGTACTTAAAACATTTTTATCTTACCTGCCAGGTGGCATTCCACCTCTACCTCCAGGAGTATTCAAGATGCCTCCCCTTCCCCCTGGAGCCCCTCTAGGACCAGGGCCACCACGTCCAGCATGGCCCTCACCATTGAAAAAGCCTCTCTCATCCATCTGGGCAGCCATCATACCCTGCAAAGCCTGTGGATCAGCATCCTACATAACAATACGACACATATAATATTCACTGACAACATTACTAGACAAATAGCCAGGTGTGTATGTGTATTAAATACTATATAATAATTTCAAATTTAATACATTATTTTAAGAAAATGCAGATATAAATCAGGGCTCATCCTGGGGGGAAATTTTAGGGAGAAGTGACTTCCTCGCGAAAATTAGGGAGAAGGGAAACAACCCAATGTGTATGCATTAACATGCATGGCTATACATCCTTTAAATATAATATAAACTCAATTAACATCACTTATAATATTTCTCCAGTTTATTAATTTATAGTAGATTAATTAATAGTAGTATTAATTAAAAGTAGATTAATTAGTAGTAGAAATGGCATCTAAATGTTTTTGAGCTGCAAATATGAATATAAAAAAATATTTTTGATATCTATTGAACAGCTATTTATAAGCTTTCTCAAAATATGTGTACATGTATATATTTTCATGTACATTTGTTGATAATGATGTGTAAGGAAAGATGTGATGATAAAATCAAATTCATATTTTTTCTTTCCTCACTTTTCTTAGAAGATGAAGTCACCTTGTATTTTGATTAATAAAATCTGTTCTATTCTGTTCTGGTAACAGAAATTTCTTTGAACGTCCTGAATGTTGTAATGTCAGATTTATATGCATATAATTATGCTTATAAAACAATTTTCAAACATCAAAGAATATGTAAAATATGTACTGCAAACATTTGTGCACATTATATTTGATCACTAAAATTACATACATTCATTTCTTATTGAAAAATTTGACTGAGAAATTGTAGAAAATTAATTTCTAATTACCTCCCTTTATTTTCATGAAAATGTTAAATTCGGTAATATCTTTAAAAATAATGCTTTTTAAAATTTACAAAATTGATAAATCTTAATCTGAGCGTCATATTTACGACATTAAAACAAATATGTATATTGAAACAATAAGAACTCTTCTTCTTGACAAATTTTGTTGTTATATACGTTACATGATATACGACCGATATGTAGTTTAGCCGGGATGTCTTGCCCACGTGCGTAAACTGTGTCAAATTTGGCATTTCTAAAAACAGAACAATGCCAAACACCCCCACTGTCTACAACATACCAATCGCAAGATTTTTGCGAAATGGTTTTCTTAAATATCAGAATCAGTAACTTTCTTTTAGTTTTACTGCTAGGTTTGGGCATTTCGCCCTGTAGCCATGACGTGAGCGACATAACAATTTTACAGTAAAAATTTGATGTTAACAGACTGAAATCATTCAAAACTATGATTAAGTTTTTAATCCGGTCGCTGATCATTAATGAAATTGATTATTTTTAATTGACTAACAGTTTTGTGATAGCCGTGAAAAATCCATTGCACATCGCCTTTACTCGGGTTAAAAACCCACCATCGAAGTGCATCGTGTATATCAATTAGGGAAGATTGCACGTGTTTAGATAATCGGGGAAAAAACAATGTATAATTATCTAAACTCGCAAACTATCGCACAATTATACCGTTTCGGGCCGATGCTCTCATTATTTACTGTTTAGAGTAGGCGGTCTATCGCTTCGCTTACAGGTAGAAGGGAAGTATAAAGCGACGCTCTGATTGGATAATGATAATTAGCGGTCGTCATATGGGCGGATACAATCTCTGTTCTTTACATCGCTAAGTAATTACTATTTGGAATTAAGATTTTATCGGCGATGTTGACTTCTCTTTGATCAATCGGAAGAGCGAAATTGGAATATACACGGCGAAGTTTTCGCCTGAATCGCCCTTCCGGATGAGCCCTGTAAATTAGTCTGGTATTAGTTATGTCATAATTTATGCATTTGTCTTCAAAAGTGCCCAGTAAATGACCGAATATGATCGCATTACAACTCCGCAAGTTCTTAATTAAAAATTCATTAATTACACAAATGACATTTCATTAAATTTCAGCTATATTGCATACATTTCTTCAAAAAGTTGTATACAATTTTAAATCATGCATGTTTTAAAACATTACAGGTTTCATTTATTTCTTACTGGGTTCATAAATTCTTTCAATTTGGTAATGGCGTTTGCAAGTCTTCCATAGGCATCAACTGTCTCAGCAAAACACTCCACCATTAAATGTAACTCTTCATTCAAATGTGCATACTTGCCGCCTTCTTTTCTAAGCTCTTCTTCCTAAGAGTAAGAATAAAATTGAAACAGTTATAGAGATTAGGTATTTTCACTATTTTGTATGGAAGTCAAAATACAACTTTTTTTTACATTTCACTGCTTTTATCAGGAAAAATTTCACTTTCAGTGCAGTTTTATGCAAAATATGCTAAAACCATATCTATATGATATTTCAATGTCATAAAACTGATGTTTTTCCTTTTTAAAAAATGCAATATGTTTTAAGGCATAAACACCCTATCTAATAATGTATGTGAATACTAAGATGACATACCTTTTCATTACATTTTCAACATCTAGTAATGGACCATTATGATATATGTACTTGAACTTACTAAATTCTTTGTCACACAGTCACCTGAACTTCTTAAAATGATTCTAAATCAGGTAGTTAGGAGTCCTAAAAACAAACTTTAAAATATATTTTACCTTAACTTTATCTCTCATTGATCCTTTGCCAAGAATAGACAGCTTGCACCCTGTTTCTTGTTGGAGCTGTTTAAGGGTACTTCCTTTTGGTCCTAGCAACTTTCCAGAAAAGTTCACCTATAGAAGTTAGATGTAACAAACTATTATATCTGATGACTGCTAGCATATCTTAACAAAAAAATGCCGGTCATCCTTGTAAAATTATTATAATTTATGCCATTTGCGATATCTATTTCAAATTGTTGAATTTGGTGGCGCAAACTAAAATTGACACAGATGGAACCCTCACTGCTCAGGGATTTTTTCCAGGATTTTGGGAACATGACCCATACCCATGGAATTGGGAATTTCAGCAGTATTTTGTTAAAAATTGGGAAAAAATGCATGACTGAAATTTTGCAGTGATTAAATGGATGTAAACAATTACTGTCTATGATGGCATTTTCAAAGATTTAAGCACTATTACAGTGATGAAGTCCTTATTTGCAAAGATTTTAGAATTTTTAATCAATATTTTTATTTTGTAACTTTCAATTGGGAATTTTTTCCTGTGGATTGAGAAAATAATATTGGGAATATGACCCAATATTGGCTATAAAATTAGCCAAAAAAATCCCTGCTGTCTTCACATCTACAAAAACAAATGACAACATTTTCTAAGATATGATTACTATACTATTAATTGTTAATTGAATGACTTAAATTTTATTGCTTTTACCTTTGGGAATTCTTTGACTGGAATCCTTATCTTTACAGCATTGCTGTGAGGCTTGTCATGATGAAGCTCAACCATAGGTACATTTTTGTACTTGTCTCCAGATTCAACTCTCTTAGTTTCTAGAATAAAGAAAATGCTTATGTTCATTAACCCTTATCAATGAATTTGGTGATAAAATAAGATATATGCAATGTTGCAACTAGCCTGTGCGATTGCATGATTTGTGCATATTTTTTGAAAATCGTGAATTATAATGAAGTCAATATGGCGTCAGACGATATTTTCAAATTAATTCAGTTAATCTTCATCCTATCTTAAACCCTTTTGCTGTTTGTTTTTAGTCACGATAATGACTAGAATATGTACTAAATCGCATGTAGCACCCGGCCATTCGTCTGTTTCGAACGAATTCTTCAAATTTTCATTGGTTCTTGCTCACGGCGATATGAAATGAAAGGTCTCGATACACCGGTTTTATCATGTGACCAGAGTTTCCAAAATGTCTTTGCCAAAGCAGATTTCTGCACCGATTTGAACAATTTGTTCGAAACAGACGAATGAAGAGCGCTTCATGACTATTTGCGCAGGTAGGTAATAGAAAAATTATGTTGCGATATTGTTTGCATGAGTTTATTTTTAAATTGTACCTTCCCCTTTTAAAATTGATATTTTACCCGTAGAATTTGGTGTTGCGACATCACGTAAGCAATTTTGTGACAGAAATTAACGGTTTGGAATAAATTTCTTAAAGTGGACTAAGGGAATCAGAATAGAGTTGGTGTTTATCAATTGTGGATTGAATAAGCTATGCAACGCAGTATAGTTTGTGGAAATTCTTTATTTAACAACTCTTTAATTAGAGGAATTTCTCAGGAAAATCTCGCATGAATCTGTGGGTGATCGAAAATTCTCTATTTACCGAGTGATGCCACTTGTCTATATTTATATACATATTATAAGGTTTAAGGTTATGACTTAAATCTCATTTTAAGGTCACCATCAAGCAGCATATAACAGCCAAACACTGTGTGAGCCCCCTGTGGATGCAATACTGTACATGGAAGGAATAAATTTCTTCCCAATATTTACAAAACACTAACCAACACACAAGTTTTTATGCTGAAGTACAATTTTTCAAGTCTTATATTTAACTTTTCTTCATCTTGGGTAATTGACTTATTCTGATCTGAATTTTGTTGTAGATCTAGACTCCACTTCTGGCGAGTGGAAGTGGGGACAGGAACCCCTAAATATCAAGTACATTATCATATTATTGTCGTTTATCTTCAGCGTCCGCTACATCAACGTGTTCCAAGTTATAGAAGCAAGAACTGGGAGATGAAATCAATCATTCTCATCAAATGTTAGGACAAATTTTATATGGTCCGGGTTTGTACGGCGTGGTTGCATGCAAATTTTACAGTGAAACATACCTTCTGTAAGAAGACGTGTGGCGTGTACAAAATCATTATTATCAATCTTCGATAGCTCAATTTTTAATTCAGAAACATAAGGAGACTGGCTTGTATCAGTGGAGTCCATGATTTGATGATTTCTATGCCGTTGTCGACTCTTTGTTCACAGGTTCCGTGGTTCAAAATGGTGTCACGCTAAAGTGGGTACTACTTTCTTAAGGTCATCGATTAATAAAGTTAAAAAGATAGCATGAGATATCAAAATGATATATAGATGATTTGAAAACATAATCATATTATCCAAAATTAAAGTAATTTTATTCTATATAAAAACTATAAGTGAAATAAAGCCTAGCTAATAAGGAACTATTTTATCACAATGAATCACTAAAATTACTACACATTCAAATTCCGTTTACAATCGCATCTCCTCGGCTCTTTCCGTTAAACTTCGGATAATAAGGCGGCTGACGGAAAGGGACGAAAGTTGCGCTGGTGTTTAATCGAACAAGAGCAATTAAAAAAGATTTTTCTAAACTATAACATCTTCTTAATGTACATTGATCTGTATGATTGGGATGTTTTAAATACAGAAATTCAGAACTGCTGGGAAAATAGAACGCTGCAATGGACAGAAAGCTGTCTGCTAATAGCCAAAATTTATATAAAATTATCTTAGAAAGGAGTCAAATTATGCTTAAAACCATGTCATTGGTTTTTTTACTAAGCTGAAAATGTCTGTATATGTTTGACAGACACTGGCTACCTATAGATTCATTCAATATGTGCCCACTGATGTCAAACTTATTTTCTGAATTAAACTGGATGCAAATAATTATAAAAAGGCCATACAAAATAAAAGGCGATTTTAGCATACAATTAAGTCCCTTAACAATCTCCTCCCTGAGATAAATAATAATAAAAGAAAAATATGATAATTCACAGTCTGAAACATGTTAGAAGTATTCTGCTAAAAAACAAGAGCTTATTTTAACAGTAAATGTATGATTAATGTGAAATAAATTCTCTTTAAACTTGTTCTGGGGCTTATCAGTAAACAGCTTTTTGCATGAGTAACCTGAAATTGACCTAAGATTCTGCAAGGCGTCTATACTCGTAGAAAAGGGTAGCCAATGTCCCTCTTAAAATCAGATAGCCTTAATATTATGCTTCGCTGGTCTTTCTATCAGTAGTATAGCGACAGACTGTTTTAATGTGGAAATATCATGGCCTGTGGCGCTATCGAGTGTACGTCTTTCTCTACAGAAAATGATCCCCGAGATGCAGCCTTATACATGCCATCTCGAATTCGTGTCACGTATTGCAATGTTTCTGCTTGTGTGTGTGTGTGTGTGTGTGTGTGTGTGTGTGCAAGCAAGCAAGCGCGCGTGTGTGTGAGTGAGTGTGTGTAAAATAACATACACCGTATATATTTATTGATTCTTTGCCAAAAGCTCTTCTTAAGGCTTTAGTACAAATAAAAGTATTTCATATTACCGGTCATGTTTCACTGTCGTGACAGCGCATACATACATCTTGTTAACTCATATAAACAACTTGACTGTTACAATTGATTGCCATCTTTTCAGATGTTTTAAATCTATTGAGACGTTCAGTTAACTCATAGAAGAATGAAAATGTTCAGAAATGTTGAGCTTTTGGCAATATCTTTGCTATTTTGTGTAGGTTCGGGAAGGGAGCCGTTATGTTCCCGATACCATTACGAGGAACAGATACTTGCAAAAGTTTTACGACTTGAGCACAGAATGGATATGTATGATGAAACGAAAGGTAAAACTTTACTAGAATTAATTAAACTGTTACTCATTTCTCATTTTGAATCTTTATACAATATAAGTACAATTAACAAGTTTTATTAGGATACTTCATTATAACAGACTTCATATTCTTCAGCCAAGAGTTACTTCCAGCTTTAAATACTTTTAGATGTCTCAAAGTCAATTTATACTAAATACGATTTTTCAATTCATTCACTTTATTTTTTTGTAAATTTTTCTGTTTTAAGTTCCCCAGCTGATCTATGTAAGAAGCTCAAATTTGTGTTTAAAGGGATATGAACCTCAGTTGAGTTCCTAAATTATTGTTCAATAGTCGCCGTAGCCATAAAAAACTGAGTAGTAGTATATATGCACGACAGTTACAGACAAAAAATATTTACAATTGGCCGAGCAGCGATTGAAAGGCCCATTAAGTCCCAGAATTGTTCTTTTTTTTATTTCTCAAAAGCTCAAATATCTGGAGACATGTTAAAATTTCCAAAAAAAGAACTCATTGCCTAATTTCCTGGACAATCTTTTGCTTCGGTTATTTTTCGGCAATTAGTACAGTTACAGTGATTTATTTAGTATTTTGTACGGAGGTCAAAATAGTTGATAATACTACTTTGTTTACATTTTGCCACTAAGTCTTTATTGCAAATAATTTCACATTCAGCGCCACTTTCTTCATGTGATAAGCTTCTAACATGTCTAAAACCATTATTAAAACATTGTAAAGCCCATATTTGCCCTTTCTAAAATAGAAAAAATAATAGTTTCTGAGGCATGATTTGCCTTTAATCTAAATGATATGTTAGCGTCAATTTTTTAATGCGCTATTTAATTTGATTTCAATCGACCTTAACAATATTCTTTATTAATTTACGAGGTACTTTATTACCTTTTACAGGTGATTCATATTTGCTAGTTCGAAACTCTAATGATACACGTGTCCTTTTATTTGGAGACAGTAACTGTTTTGACAATTGTCATTCAACACTGATTCCAGAAATTGAAAATGTGAAAAGTTATTTGATTTGAAGTAATCTTTTTCATGCATACATTTTAAATTACTTTAAATTATTTTAATGTATTCACAGTTCCGGTGCTAACTCAATGTCCTGATAGCTGGCTATCGTTTAAAAACTCTTGCTATCTTTTTGTTGACGAGAAAGCTACACATCAAAATGCGAAGGTAAGTATGAAAATAATGTCTAAATGACAATAAGAAATTCAAAGTTATTGACATAAAATATCACATGAAATTATTCAATAAACGGCATATTTAAAAAGACTAGTATTATAATGTATGTTGACTACCTAATACATGCGTATATGTATCGGTGTTTTATCGGAAATGGAAAGCTCATACTTTATAGATAGAAACATTATTAATAGATTTATATTGTATTTGTACCTATTATTATTATTATTATTCACTAGAATTTTGTTCTGATATGCCCTAGCTACTGAACGTTCATAATATTATTTTGTTGCAGCTACAAAACGTTTCAAAATTATAGAGTTATGAACATGATTTACAACAAAATAGTTAATTGAAAACCAGAAGGACTTACAACATGGAAAAAAGAAACATATATGGTTCCATTTGTTTAAACTTGTTATTAAACTAATTAACACACTGTATATTCTATTTGTCCGCTAGCAACAAATGGCCAATACCTTATAATTTCAAACATCCACAAAATATGCTTTCGAGTCCATGCTAGAACATTCCTTTAATCTTTTTTTTTGTCAGCTGCATTGTCTAATGCATGGTGCTCATTTAGTACACGTCAACGACGAAGAAGAGAGTGCATTTCTTTCTTTGTACCTTCATAAATTCAAAGGTCAGTATTACGTGATGAAATCTGTATGTACCTACAAATTGTGAAATGTAGTATCCTAGGCTATCTCTCAGGATAAATACTCGTTATATCTACATATCTATATCTACATACCTATATCTACATACCTATATCTACATATCTTTATCTACATACCTATATCTACATACCTATATACATGTATAAAAATGCTAAAAAGTGCTGGAACAATAAAAATAATTATACTAAAAATAACTGACATTAACTGGATTTTCTCAATTTAATTTATTGCCTACCGGTTTCTACATACATATATATATACATACCTATATCTACATGCCTATTACTACACAACTATACCTATCTATATCTATATATCTGTATATCTATATCTACATATTAATATCTTCATTATTCCATTTAGATAATCAATACTGGATCGGCCTAACCGACACTAAAACAGAGGGGAAATTTGAATGGGACGGTCATGACACTGCAGTTTCGTTCACCAACTGGATATCTGGCCAGCCTGATAATTCTGGTGGAAAGGAAAATTGTGTTCACATGCACCATTCTTATGATTACAAATGGAATGACAATGTATGCAGTGCTTTGTTTATGTTTATTTGTGAAAAAAGAAAATCTCATACATCAGTATCATAACAAAATTAATAAAATAAGGCAATATGAATGTAATAATAATTCCCTTCTAGAATTATTGTATTTGCAAGGATTAATATCACCTTCAAACTAAACAGAAACATTAAGATTTAATACAAATTCCATGAGCATCATATAATAATTATAAATAAACATAATGATTAGATTTTTTTCCAATACAGTAGTACTAGAAATGTACAATAATAATGACTTAGTAGCCGTTATAGAAATGCCGAGGTATTTTCCGACGATTGTGTAATTTTATAAGTGAAATACAATGATTTTTTTATCCTCGTTTGTTACAATTCATATGTTTGAGGTATTGTTTTTACGTATTTCACCTACCTTAAATACGTGAAGAGGCTTTAAACATACATGTACTTCTTTTGAAACTAATTTTCCTTGCTAGAAAATTGATTGAATAATAACATATCAATATTAAAATTATCACTAATTTTACGTAGATCCAACCGGACATCTTAGTTCATTTACACACATGATTTCATATTATACATATAAGCATATAAATTCATTAAATAGAGTAAAATGAGTATTTTCTTCGATGTTAATGCTTTATCAATAGACACATTCATCATTGAGTTTACACGATAATTATTCATTTCACATAATTTTAGAGAAATCGGTCATATGAGCTAGTTTACGCAATGCCGATTGTTTCATCAGGCTGTTGCCTGTAGTTATTATAATGCACAGGTGTTCCTCTTACAGTCAAGCTCGATTTTTACCATATAACAGATCAATCATTTCTGTATTAATACCCAATAAAAATGTTCTGTCATTGTAAGTTGAGATAAACCCTCCTACTAAGAAGCGGTATATTCTTTTAATATTTCATTTCTAGACAATCTGAACTGATTAATATTTATGTATATTGCCAAAACAACACGATGTTTGAGATTTTGCTTGTCCTGAGGTATGAACATCTTTTGCCAAGTTATGCCATTTTTACTTGTTTTATTTTCTTTTTACTAAAACACAGCAAATCACATTTCCTCGTGTTCAATAAAATTTGTTTTTAATTCATCTGCTCTATTAAAGTATCTTTTAAATAAAAATACACCAACAGCTCCAATCAACAACCCAAGTAGAAATGTACCAACACCAATGCCAACTGTTGTTCCTGGAAACAGAAAAATAAAATACAAGGTAGAAAGAGATAGACTGAGATCATAGTACTTCAGAAAAAAGAGAAAAGTCCTAATAATAATAATAATAATAATGGAATCAAATGGTTGAAATGAAATTTAGCACATTCTGTTTAATTAAACATGATCATAGGGGACAATGATCAAAGCATGCTGTCATTCTCTACAAATTGAAAAAAAAACATTGGCCAGTTTTTGAGTGGACTAAAATCAAATGCTTAACTCTCATCCAGCTGGGACCAAGTGATTAGCCTTTGTCACCAGTAAAGGGTCATGCCAAACTGCACACCTCTTTAGTCTGACCGAACTCTATTCCATAAGCTGACCAAATTCAAAAATTCATCCTGATATCAATAAACTTGCTAATGTAAAGTTTAAAAAATCAGCAGATTAAGAGTTGATTATATAATATATAGTAATGATATAGTTTACTTCCTGTTTTTTTAGATCTTAATAGAGGATATTGAATGAGTGCAGGTTCACTACTGAATTTATTGAACAAATTGAATAAAATTATATTATGCGAGCCTCTGGCGAGTAAATATTATTTTATTCAACAAGTTCAATAAGTTCAGTAATGAAACTACACGAATATAACATTCTATTTATCACATAACCAAAATAAAGAATGTTTAAAATGCAAAAGAATCATTTTCATCGACGCGCCTATAGTGTAACGCGAACATAGAGAATAATAGGTTGGTGCCGTGGATGGAGAAAGTTTATTGGCTCACCCAATAAATTCCTCCGCCTCTTTCGGCTCACCCAATAAATTCCTCCGCCTCGCCAGATAAACTTTCTCCATCCACGGCACCAATCTATTATTCTATTTATCCTGTCACCGTTATTTTAAAAAAGAATTTTATTAGGCAAACTACTTTTAATCACAAATCGGAAATGTTTCTATATAAACAAAGTAGGCCCGAAGCGTCTGTATATGCTTGACAGATACAGGCTTCCTATAGATTCATTCAATACCACTTATTTTCTGAATTAAATTGGATGGAAATCTCTGAAAGAGTAAATTATAAAAAGGCCATTTTAGCATACAAAATAAAAGGCGATTTTAGCATACAAGTCCCTTAACAATCTCCTCCCTAAAGATAAATAATAATAAAAGAAAAATATCATAATTCTCAATCTGAACCAAGTTAGAAGTATTCTGCTAAAACAAGAGCTTATGTTAACAGTAAATGTATGATTAATATGAAATAAATTCTCTTTAAACTTGTTCTGGGGGCTTATCAGTAAACAGCTTTCTGCCCACACTATATAAAACATGAGTAACCTGAAAATGACCTAAGATTCTGCAAGGCGTTTATACTCGGAGGAAAGTGCCCCTTTTAAAATCAGATCGAGCTGGTCTTTCTATCAGTAGTATAGCGACAGACTGTTATGTGGAAATATCATGGCCTGTTCGTGACACGTCTAGCTTTCTCTACAGAAAATGATCCCCGAGATGCAGCCTCATACATGTCATCTCGAATTCATGTCACGTATTGCCATGTTTCTGCTTGTGTGTGTGCAATCGCGCGCGCGTGTGTGTGAGTGTGTGTAATATAACATACACCGTTTGTATATAAGGCTTTAGTACAAATAAAAGTACTTCATATATTACCGATCATGTTTCACTGTCGTGACAGCGCATACATACATCTTGCTAACTCATATAAACAACTTGACTTTTACAATTGATTGCCATCTTCTTTTAAATCTATTGAGACGTTCAGTTAAATCATACAAGAAGGAAAATGTTCAGAAATGTTGAGCTTTTGGCAATATCTTTGCTATTTTGTGTAGGTTCGGGAAGGGAGCCGTTATGTTCTCGATACCATTATGAAGAACAGATACTTGCAAAAGTTTTACGACTTGAGCACAGAATGGATATGTATGATGAAACGAAAGGTAAAACTTTACTAGAATTAAACTGTTACTCATTTCTTATTTTGAATCTTTATAAAATATAAGTACAATTAACAAGTTTTATTAAGATACTGCATTATAACAGACTTCATTCTTCAGCCAAGAGTTATTTCCAGCTTGAAATACTTATAGATGTCTCAAAGTCAATTTATACTAAATACGATTTTTCAATTCATTCTGAGTATATTTCTACTTAATGTTTTGTAAATCTTTCTGTTTTAAGTTCCTCAGCTGATCTATGTAAGAAGTTCAAATTTTGTGTTTAAAGAGGTGAACCTCAGTTGAGTTCCTAAATTATTGTTCAGTAGTCGCCGTAGCCATAAGTAAAAAAGGTTATAAACTGTGTAGTAGTATATTTGCACGACAGTTACAGACAAAAAATATTTACAATTGGCCGAGCAGCGATTTAATTCAATTCAATTCAAAAGCTCAAATATCTGGAGACATGTTAAAATTTCCAAAAAAGAAATCATTGCTTTAATTTCCCCGGGCAATCTTTTTCTTCCCGGTTTTTTTTCCCCCGGGAAAAATTAAAGGGGAAAAATTTTTTACGGAAAAGGTCAAAATAGGGTTTATAAAAAACTACTTTTTTTTACATTTTGCCCTTTTTTTGGGAAAATAATTTTCAAAATTCAGTGCCCTTTTCTTCATTTTGTAAGCTTTTAACCATGTTTTAAAAACCATTTAAATTAAAAAAATTTTAAAGCCCAATTCACGTTATTGCACTTTTTTAAAAAAGAAAATTTATTTCCTGAGAACCAAACTGCCTTTTTTTAAAAATTGTCATTCAACACTGATTCCAGAAATTGAAAATGGTGAAAAAGTTGTTTTGATTTGAATAACCTTTTTCATGCATATATCGCTAAATACTTTTTAAATTTTTTTTTAATGTATTCCACAGTTTCGGTGCTAACTCAATGTCCTGATAGCTGGGTATCTTTTAAAAACTCTTGCTATCTTTTTGTTGACGAGAAAGCTACACATCAAAATGCGAAGGTAAGTATAAAAGTGATGTCTAAATGACAATAAGAAATTCAAAGTTATTGACGTAAAATATCACATCAAATTTTAATAAATTTAATAATAAATAGGGGTTATGACCCTACTATCTTAAGACATACCGCATGCTTAGTGTTCAACCCATTTACAGTTGGACACTACGCTTTCCTCTTTTGATTACATCTGACGGGCCAAGTGGGAGACTATAGTGATGGACAGTTCTTAAAGGCCCTTTGGGAACTGAAGTTGCCTAATGTTTGTCTTCTGTCTTGCTTCGTCGGGCCCTTGTAGTGATTTTCTTGTTGCTCTGTCTTCCTTTAAGATGCATCGAGTACTTTTTGTTATGGTCATTGGGTTTAAACTTTTATATGTTTCTACAGTACATGATCATTTTTGGTGTTTTACTTTATTTAACCTTTTGTAAGCCATAACAAGCTGTTAGAATTTCACTTGGCGGGGATTTTCATTTTAATTTACACTGTCCTCGTTTATAGGAACATGGTGGGCTAAGAGCGAGGTCTTGGTTGCACCATTAACCGTTTAAACTTCCCCAGCAGTCATTATTATGCTGCTGACCGTATTCAAAGGCGGCGCCCCCCATGTGTTCCTCAGATGTATCTATGTGTTCGGTACTGTTTTGGTGACACTTTGCTTGTGTCACTCTTGTTGTTTTCTCGTCTCGGTTAAGATCTTCCCCATTGCCTCTAGTTTTTATTCCTTTGATTATCCCCACCGCCTCCGGTCTCCTGTCCCTTCCCCTTTTGGCCTATTTTAACATTTTCTTTTTGAATTCCTAATCAGTTACAAATATATTATCATTAAAGTGATTTAACCTGTCCGTGCTCTGTCTTTGCCCTTTTTTCCTGTTTTTGTTTGGGGTCCCCCTGGGCTCCTTGCCATTGGTTCTTGTTGCTGGGTCATGTGGGGGTTGCGTTCATTGAACGCCGCCTTTCCTTGTTGATCTTGTTTATCATATTTTACATAAACGGCACATTTTAAAAACTTTTATTTATGTATGTTGACTAATATTTTGACTATCTAAATAGATCAGTGGCGTTCCTGCCGATACGCACGGACGTATATAAAAAAACCAGAGTTTCGAAAAAAAATAATAAATTCAAAAAATAAAATGTAAAATCAAGAATTTTGGCGCAGATTGATCAACAGTTGCTTAGGATGCTCGGTAGGGTGGTGGGGACGGGGTTGAACCCATCCAGATCTTAAAATTGAGCATCGTTAATAAATACATGCGACTTTCCGCTTATCCATCTGTGCGGATCCAAATGTGAAGAAGGAATAGCAGCTAGGTCAGTCACAGGGTAAATTTTCAACCTTTTGTTCAAATTTTAGAAATGTGATTCTACCCTCCTAACTTTCTTCTAAATTTACCTATTTGTGTTCCGGATTTTTATAGAGTCTTCGTCGAGATATTCTTTTCGAAGAATGGTTCTGGTGTTGGTTCTGGTGTGCCCAAAACATGCAATGCGTATGAAGAAAATGTCGCTAAACAGACACAAAATACAGTTACCGAGTTTCCGCAAAATCTTACCACCGAACGATGCTTAACATTCAAACAAACCCTTTTTCAAACATTTATTGTGATTTTACTTTTAAAATTAAAAAAAAAAGTCATTTAAAGGGACCTAAATGATCCCGCGATACAAGATTTAAGGTGTGAATACTTTAAGCTGATGTGTTTGTATTATCGTCATACAGATCATTTTAAGAATATATTTTCCTTTATTGTATTTCATGTTTAGAAAAAAAAGAAGAAGAAAAAACAAATAAAAGAAACTTTTTAGAAAAGGAAAATAAAATAGATAAATACAGAATCCCTAAAGAAAGCCCAACACGGCAAAATTGAAAATGTTGCAGGCTCGGTTTGATTGAGCCTGTTCATGGACGGTACTGGAAAGTGCAAGTTACCGGCAACGCCCCCTAGCACCGGCTTAAGCAGAATTCAACATTTAAACATGAAATAGTAAAATTTTGAATTTAGAAACCTCCGCAGATGTGTTCATACGGCGGTTATCATGGAACCTTCAATGTGACACTTCCGTGCCATTCCATGAAAAGCGGCGTATGGTCCCCAAGTAATAAAAAGCGTGTGCCCTAAACGAGAAAACAATGGGCGGAACTAAATAAAATGGAATTTTGAAAGGGGATCAGTGGTTATGAAGCCTGCGTTACGTGCGTATCACAGATAAGACGTCAAAAGACAAATTTAAAAAGCAGGCAACATATCCTAAGGGTGATTCAACATTATTCAAGTAGGAATATTGGAACCACCCAACTAGAAAATGCCGAAAAGTTGAAACTAAAACATACCACAAGCACAACAATAATGTCGTGCTGAACGATCTTCAAGGATCGAAATATAACATCATTGATTAAATGTACGGGGAAGACTTTTTACAGCCGCCACACGGCACAAATAACACGGATGTGATCATAAAATAGATAAATACAGAATCCCTAAAGAAAGACCCAACACGGCAAAATTGAAAATGTTGCAGGCTCGGTTTGATTGAGCCTGTTCATGGACGGTACTGGAAAGTGCAAGTTACCGTCCACGCCCCCTAGCACCGGCCTTAAGCAAATTTCAACATTTAAACATGAAAAGTAAAATTTTGAATTAGAAACATCCGCAGATGTGTTTCATGACGCGGCTTATCATGGAACCTTCAATGTGACACTTCCGTGCCATTCCATGAAAAGCGGCGTATGGTCCCAAAGTAATAAAAAGCGTGTGCCCTAAACGAGAAAACAATAGGGCGGAACTAAAATAAAATGGAATTTTGAAAAGGGGATCAATGGTTATGAAGCCTGCGTATCACAGAAAGACGTCAAAAAGACAAATTTAAAAAAAAGCAGGCAACATATCCTAAGGGTGATTCAACATTTATTCAAGGAGGCAATATTTGGAACACCCAACTAGAAAATGCCGAAAAAGTTTGAAACTAAAAAATACCACAAGCACAACAATAATGTCGTGCTGAACGAAAATCTTCAAGGATCGAAAATATAACATCATTGATTGAAATGTACGGGGAGACTTTTTACAGCCGCCACACGGCACAAATAACACGGATGTGATCATAAAATAGATAAATACAGAATCCCTAAAGAAAAGCCCAACACGGCAAAATTGAAAATGTTGCAGGCTCGGTTTGACTGAGCCTGTTCATGGACGGTACTGGAAAGTGCAAGTTACCGTCCACGCCCCCTAGCACCGGCTTAAGCAGAATTCAACATTTAATCATGAAATAGTAAAATTTTGAATTTAGAAACATCCGCAGATGTTTCTAAAAAACAGGGTTTCCGCAAAACCCTTCTCAATTACAATTGAGAAACGTGGCTATGTTTTGTTTTTCTAATAGTAAATAACTTTTAGACTATCTAAAACAGTGTTCGCGTTAGACTTCGTTCAAGTTCTCATACTTTCAATACTTGATGTTATTTTCGTAAGTATAGGTAAAGCTAATATTTCTACAGTAACATGACTTTTCATCGCTTAGATATCCCATAAAGCGACCCTTCGCCGAAAACCCTGCACTCGGCTATACTAAAAATAAGCCAAGGTATACATGCGTATATGTAACGGAGTTTCAGCGACAACGTAAAGCTCATACTTCGATTGAAATCTTATTAATAGGTTTATGTGTTATTATTATTATTATTTGTTTTATTATTATTATTATTATTCAATAGAGTATTGTACAGGTATGCGCTGTAGCTACTGAACGCCCCTAGTATTATTTTGTTGCAGCTACAAAATGACATATATTACAGGATTAGAAAATCTAATAAAGACGTTTCAAAATGATAGAGTTCTGAACATGATTTACAACAAAATAGTAAATTGAAAACCAGAAGGACATACAACATTGAAGAAAGAAACAGATATGGTTCAATTTTGTTTGAACTTGTTATTACACTAATTCACACACTGTATTGTATTTGTCCGCTAGCAACAAATGGCCAATACCTTATAATTTCAAACATCCACAAAATATGCTTTCGAGCCCATGCTAGAACATTCTTTATGAAATATAAATCTGTAGCTACTTACTTTTTTTAAAAAATGCTCTAAACTTGTTACCATGTTAATCTTTTTTTTTCCAGCTGCATTGTCTAATGCATGGTGCTCATTTAGTACACGTCAACGACGAGGAAGAGAGTGCATTTCTTTCTTTGTACCTTCGTAAATTCAAAGGTCAGTATTACGTGATGAAATTTGTATGTACCTATAAATTGTGAAATGAAGTATCCTAGGGTATCTCCCAGGATAAATACTCGGTATATCTACATTATCTATATCTACATACCTATATCTGCATATATATATATCTGCATATCTATATCTACACACCTATATCTACATACTTATATCTCCATACCTATTTCTACATACCTATATCTACATACATATATCTACATACCTATATGTGCATACCTATATGTGTATATCTATATCTGCATATCTATATCTACATACCTATATCTACATACTTATATCTACATACCTATATCTACATACCTATATGTGCATACCTATATGTGCATATCTTTATCTATCTGCATACCTATATCTACATACCTATATACATGTATAAAAATGCTAAAAAGTGCTGGAACAATAAAAAATAATTATACTAAAAATAACTGACATTAACTGGATTTTCTCAAAATTTAATTTTATTGACCTACCGGTTTCTCAATACCTATATTATAACATACCTATATTACTACCTATATCAACAATATCTGATATCTAAGCCATATAATTCTACATGCCTATTACTACAACCTTTTTTACCTATCTATACTGTAATCATATCTACATATTAATAATCTTCATTTATTACCCCTTTAATAATAAATTACTGGATCGGCCCTAACCCGACAAAAACAGAGGGGAAATTTTTGAATGGGACGGCCATGACATTGCAGTTTTCGTTCACCCAGCTGGAATCTGGCCAGCCTTGATAATTCTGGTTGGAAAGGAAATTGTGTTCACATGCACCATTCTATGATTACAAATGGAATGACAATGTATGCAGTCTTTGTTTATGTTTATTCTCGTGAAAACAAAAATCTCATACATCAGTATCAAACCAAAAATTAATGAAATAAGGGCAATAGAATGTAATAATAATTCCCTTCTAGAATTATTGTTTTGCAAGCGATTAATACCACCTTCAAACTAAACAGAAACATTAAAAAACGCAAATTCCAGAAGCATCATTTAATAATTAAAATAAAAAAAAAAACTAAGGGAATTAGTTTTTTTTTTTTTTCCAATACAGTAACTGGAGTACAATTTTAATAAGACTTAGTACCGTTATAGAAATGCCGAGGTATTGCCCGACGATTGTCTAATTTATAATTGAAAAACAATGATTTTTTATCCTCCATTTTGTTACAATTTCATATTTTTTGGGGTATTTTTTTACGTTATTTCACCCACCTTAAATACGTGAAGAGGCTTTAAACATACATGTACTTCTTTTGAAACTGATTTTCCTTGCTAGAAACTTGATTGAAAAATAACATATCAATGTTAAAATTATCACCAAATTTAGGAAGATCCAACCAGACATATTAGTTTATTTACACACATGATTTCATATTATAAATATAAGCATATAAATTCATTAAACAGAGTAAAACGAGTATTTTCTTCGATGTAAAATGCTTTTATCAATAGACACATTCATCATTGAGTTTAACACGATAATTATTCATTTCACATAATTTTTAGACCAAATCGGTCATATGAGCTAGTTTACCGCCAATGTCGATTGTTTCATCAGGCTGTCGCCGTAGTTATTATTAATGCATAGGTGTTCCCTTTTCAGTCAAAGCTCGATTTTTACCATAAACAGATCAATCATTTTGTATTTAAAACCCAATAAAATCGTTCCTTTATTGTAAGTGAGATAAACCTCCTATAAAAGCGGCATATTCTTTTAATTATTTCATTTCTGGACAATTCTGAACTGATTAATATTTATGTTATTGCCAAAAACCCAACACGATGTTTGAGATTTTGCTTGTCCTGAGGTATGAACATCTTTTGCCAAGTTATGCCATTTTTTACTTGTTTTATTTTCTTTTTACTAAAACACAGCAAGTCACATTTCCTCGTGTTCAATAAAATTTGTTTTTAATTCATCTGCTCTATTAAAGTATCTTTTAAATAAAAATACACCAACAGCTCCAATCAACAACCCAAGTAGAAATGTACCAACACCAATACCAACTGTTGTTCCTGGAAACAGAAAAATAAAATACGAGGTAGAAAGAGATAGATTGAGATCATAGTACTTCAGAAAATAAGAGAAAAATTCTAAAATAATAATAGTAATAGTAATAATAATAATGATGAAATCAAATGGTTGAAATGAAATTTAGCACATTCTGTTTAATTAAACATGCTCATAGGAGGCAATGATCAAAGTATTCTGTGCGTCTACAAAATGAAAAACAACAACCGGGCAGTTTTTGAATGAACTTAAATCAAATGCTTAAGTCTTATCCAGCTGAAACCAAAAGTGATTAGCCTTTGTCAACCTGCAAACCTGTTTAGTCTGACCAAACTCTATACCTTAAGCTGACCAAATTAAAATATTCATTCTGATATTACTAAAGTTGCTAATGTACAGTTTAAAAACCGGCAGATTAAGGGTTAATTATATAATATATAGCATGATATAGTTTACTTCATGTTATATAGATCATAAATAGAGGATACAGAATGAGTACTTGGTCAATACTGAATTTATTGAACGAGTTGAATGCGAACCTCTGGCGAGCAAAATGTTATTTTATTCACGGGTTCAAAAAATCAGTAAAGAACCGACATGAATTTTAAAAAATGTTACACATGCCCAAAATAAAAGGACTTTCAAAATCAATACAAAAGAATCATTTTTATTGACGCGCCTATAGGTAAAATTTAAAATTTAGCGCGTCTTTACACCCTATAATATATTTTATATAATATAAATAAAATATATATAAAATATATATAATAATAAATATATATAATATATATTAATAAATAATATATATATTAAATATATATATAAAATAAAATAATAATATATATATAATATAATATTTGTTAACGCAAATAAATAAAGTCAAAATATATGCACGGCTGTGCAACTATTTTTACGGAGTCGCAAAATTGGCACGAGTATTAAAAAGACAATATAATGGCTACTACCAGATATCCATCGAATTATTTGTACTTGCAATATTTAAGATCTATTTTCAATATAAAAATATCTCTAAATCTATTAGCTCAGGTATAATTTAACAATTAATTTCATTAAAGAAGTTTTTAGCTCATTACATGTACCAGCAAACGTTCCTAGTAATATCTCTTAAACTAATTTGTAAATTCTTGAAATGATGATAATGATATGTTTGAAAAACAAAATGCATTTCCGTTGATTTTATTTCTCAGTGTATATTGTTATGTATAATATAATGACTACCTGTAGAATTTTTAGACCCATTATTAGTCTGACGTTGTAATGACGAACAAGGCAAATTGTTTGTAGATGTCATAGATTTAGATGATTTAACTGTAGGTTGAATTGTAGATGTAGATTTCATTGTTACCATAGATTTCTGTGACACTGTTGGTTCTGTAAAGTTTACATTTTAATGTCACGTAAATTGTGGTAAAATAAAATATTCATGGCCAATATCGTTGCAAATAGATATAAGCTTATCTTTTCAAACCTTATGGTTTGTATTATTTTACGTATAAAGCAGAATATAACATTATATACCGTATTTTCGGTTTTAATATTTAATATTTATTTATTCATTTAACGTGGAAAATTAAAGTGGTATTAATCACAATTTATTCACAATATATATATCTTTTGTTTAAAGTGGTAACCCCACTAAGGTAAGTACATATCATACTTTTATTTGGTGTGGATGAAACTAGTGAGCTTTGACTCGTAGAAGATGTCCGAGATGTCTTAGGTTTCGTGTTTGATGATGGGAAAAATATCCCTGAAAGAGAATCGTATACAAGTATTAACAAGGAAACGTCTACGAAGAAAACGCAAACAGTTAGAAAATGAGTCGAAAATGAGCCTTCCCAAAAAGTAATTTATCATAATGTATACAAACTTACGAACGGCTTACTTTTTTCAATACTATGTTGAAATTCTATTTAGGGCAAGATTGACCATTTATTTACTCTGCTGATATGAGGCTGAATTTATAAATCATATTTACCCTAAATCAGTCTTGCAATTTCATAATCAACCAATAAATCTTTCTTACAATTTTACATTCAACCACTTAACTACTCATTCACTTAATCATTGAATCACTAAATAACTAATTCACCAAATCACTTATTTACCACTCCTTCACTATATCGCCTCTTAAATGCCTTTACCGAATCATTCATGGATTTATTTATTCATTCATTCATTCATTCATTAAATTAAACCTTACTTGATTCATTCATTCACTTTCGCTTCTTCACTTTATTACTCATTCACTGAATGATTTCACAATTAAATATATCCTTCATTAAATCACTCATGAATTTGTTTCACATTTAATACTCCTCATCACAAATCCTTAATCACAAAACTACTCTTTTCTAAATCTTGCTTATTCACAAAACTTGCTTATTCACTAAGTAATGATTAATGCTTTCTTATAAAACTTACTTTTATATTTGTCACAGAACTCTCCAGAACCTGTTGTCACAATACCATTGCTACCAGGGAGGTAGCAAGTTGTTGCTTTATCATTGTAATAAAACTCTGTAAATAAATGATAATATCATCAATTACATACAAATCTTGATTGCACAAAACTGGTATTTTGTTAGAGAAGACCTTTTATATGAAAACAATGCCATGTAATTTTCACTTGAAGCGATCATGAATAAAGATCCAAAATAAATGAAAAACACTGAGCGCATGTAAGAAACAAACTAAGACATGGGTAATACTCGTAGGGTAATACTCGTATTATCATATCTAATGAAAATTACTATAAAAACAGTTCAATTCTGTAAAAATACATACATGTAATAACTTTTGTTTATCTAGTTTTGATATGAAGTAATTAAGTACAAATTATAGGGGACAGTTAATTGTTTCATGTACCTTTACAATCAGTGTTCTGTAACTGAACACACTTTTTTGCACAGTCACTTTTGGTTACCCCTTGGAATGATAATACAGACGTAAAAGTATATGTCCCTGCGTTTATTGACTGGAAATCCTTGTCGAAGTTGCCTGTAAAGTATATATATTGTCGTGTTAAGTAAAAAAATATTTCAGACATAAAACGCCTTGCAATTAAAAAAAACAACAACAAAAATATTAAGTAATAATAATAATAACAACAAATCCCCGACAAACAACAATAAAATACTGTAAGTTATAGTATCCAAATGTCTTATTTCTACTTTAAAAAAACACAAAGTGTTATAACAGACAAACTTTATTTTATAAAAAACTTTCGATTATATCATATTATAAATAGGATGATTTTCATGCCTAAAAGAATAAATACTCCGATACCGAATTTCAAGTAAATTCTACTTATTTTGATGTATATTAACTTAATGCAATGTCATCAAGCAAAATCAGCACACCTTGCAATCAATGGAGATGTTGATCGAAGCTAACTAGTGTAATTAAGAAATAAAAACATTGGAAACAGCCCTGGCCAAACTAGCCAATACGTATGGATATTTTTTGTCTTTTCTAGTTTTTTTTTTACCTTAGAGCTCCACATGCAGGGGCATATTTGTTTCGGGATTGCTTTTAAGCATTTGATAAAGGTCTAGACATCTAACTTGTTTGTAAACTTTCAGATCATTCAATCAACTCTCGTTTTTTTCCATCATAATAATTTTCTTTGTAAAAAATTACTTAAATATGAAAAGCGTTTTGAACTCGAATTTTAAACTAAGAATCAAATCAATTTAATTCGGAGTACATCATTTCTTTATTACCCCTTTTCCATTTTAAGTGCCCCTATCGATCAACGAAAGACTTTCGTGTTGTTTTTTTTTAAAATGCTTTTGACGTCAGTGAAGCTCATTTAATCACAAATTTTAGAGTAAAATCTTATTGAATACAATCTAGTACGGTGTAGAACAAATATTTGTTGTTTTTAGTCATTTTGGCTTTCCCAAGAATATTAATAAAGTACGGATTGCTTGATGATAACTAAAAGGGAAATGATCCTTACTCATAAAGAGATTACAAGCTGTAAATGTCACATTTTTCTGTGGCCCAAATGTTCTCTCGAAATAATGTACACATTGTCTTGTATTAGTACAATATTCAAACATTCTACATTCAATGTTACTGGTACATGACTGGGCACACTTTTCATCGGTCTCTAGTGTTGCAAAAGGTATCGATGTCTTGTCAAATGAAACTGTGCCCTCTATTTTAACATATTCATTTATATAATTTCCTGAAATTACAAAACAGTTACATAAAATAATACTGCAATATTACTCTGAGAAATATCAAAAAAATTATTTTGAGAAAAGTTGCATATTTGAAATAACATTGATTAATTCAGAGTTGTTTTACAGTCGTCGTTTCTAATTTTAGCGGCAAATTATTAAGATAACATACTAACATTTGGTAATATAAGCAGAGAATTGCTTGTTTGTGTAAGAGTCAATTACAAAATGATAAATGAATATTAATCAGTACTGTTGTATGTTGTACAATTCGGGTTGCTTTGTATATCTTTGCTATCCAACAAATCAGGGTGTGTTTTACTAATCACACACAAATACTGGTTTCCACAATAACTGAATCCTCCACACTGGAACGAATTCTGAGTTAGACAGGCGCTTGCACAGCTACTTATATCTATGTACGACAACGTATTGTCTTCAGGAACGACAGTAGACTGTGAGTACATGTTGAAACTAAGGAGAGCATTATCTGAAAATAACAGAACCAGGGTAAGTAAGGTTCGTGGTTGTTTAACGTATATAGTTTAATATTTATGCTATGGTTATAGTTAAATTTAATCTTATTTAACATAAGCCTGCTTGTTTGATATACAAAAAAGGAATAATGATAGCGTGTTTCAAGACCAATTTAATAAAAAAAAATCGTCAAGAGATAAACATTCACATTAATTATTTTTCATTTATAGATATTAAATACTTCATTATGTTTAAAACCAGTTGACGATTCTTTAGTATAGTCATTTGTTAGTTAATTTCAACATTAAATTTTTCATGTAGTAAAGTAATTCAATCTATAACTACATATGAGAGTTTTAAACTCATCAAATATATCTTCGGCTTTGCTTGATAATTCAGGCCTACTTTAAGTATACAATGTACATTCAAGTAAAACATGTTTCTCATATTCTAACTGTATCAAAAATACTAACTTTCATACAATTACAACAATGTCTCTTGTTAATATGGAGCACGTGTGCAGTCCCATTTCTAAAGTTGGTTATTGCACCCATATGCGGTCTATTTAAAAGTTGATTTTCAACACAGGTTTGTTCATTGAACGCCGCCTTTCCTTGCTGATCTTGTCTATCATATTTTTGCTTTAAACCTCTTGAAAATATGACCCGTAAAATATCTCTTTTTAATGAATCGTACGCATTTTTATTTTCAATGAAAAACGGTAGACATTTTCTTTTTGTGCCTTGTGTCTATAATATTTGATGAAAAATAATCTATTGTACAACGCCCTTTTCTCCTTCGAATAAAACTTTGCCAGACCCAACAACCTCTATAAGACATATGATATATGGAATTTGAAGTGGAACTTTTAGGATCTGGTTTTACGATACTTTCCTCAAATATTTATCAGTATTTAAACAAATATATCTTTTGAAAAAAAATGTTGTTTTGCGCCAATTAATCAAAAACTCATAGCACTAGAGTTCTAGAGATCTTATTTTGCCTTCCCAACATCTGTTTCTAAAAAACAAAACGAAAGATTCATAAAACTTACATTAAAGGAGACAAAACATAAACTTAAATGAGTCATAGTTTAAATATTCGAACACAGGCCATAATTGTTTTTTTTACTAAGTGTGTCGTCTATTTCGTTTTTTCACAGAAAGGAACAATACTGAGGTTTTTTGACATGGCGGGACGGGAAGCTGTAGACATGAATGAAATAAACTAAGTCAAGTAAACCCAAGCCAGCCTTCACTACATGTTTAATTTTTGAAGCGAAGGTTGGCATTTGTTTAGTATATTGTTTTTTGAGGCCCTTATATGGAACGCCGTGACTGTCTTATGCTATCAATGTTTTTGCTATCTTGTGAAATGATGATATTATTTTGTCATTTAAGCATATTAACATGTGCAATTTACATCATATCTTGTCTAAAGACAATGCTGACTTGTTCAAACAGCATGTTAACTTGTCGAATAATCATTATGACATGTGCAGACAACATGTTAACTTGTCAAAGTATCATGATGACTTGTGCAAACGACATGTTAACTTGTCAAAATATTATGATGACTTGTGCAAACGACGTGTTAACTTGTCAAAATTTCATGATGACATGTGCAAACAGCATGTTAACTTGTCGAATTATTGTGATGACATGCTCATAATACCTTAACAAGTTAACATGTGTTTTGCACAAGTCATCACGATTTTTTGACAAATTAACATGTTGTCTGCACAAGTCATCATGATAATTTGACAAGTTAACATGTCGTTTGCACAAGTCATCATGATATTTTGACAAGTTAACATGGCATTTGCACATGTTATCACGATACCTTGACAAGTTAACATGTTGTTTGCACATGTCATCATGAAATTTTGACAAGTTAACATGATACTTTGACAAGTTAACATGGCGTTTGTACAAGTCATCATGACATTTTGACAAGTTATCATACTGTTTGCACATGTCATCATGAAATTTTGACAAGTTAGTATGGCATTTGCACAAGTCATCATTATACTTGGACAAGTTAACATGTCGTTTGCACAAGTCATCATGATACTTGGACATGTTAACTTGCTGTATGCACATGTCATAACGATAATTCGACAAGTTAACATGCTGTTTACACATGTCATAAAGGAATTTTGACATGTTAGCATGGCATTTGCACAAGTTATCATAATACTTTGACAAGTTAACAGTACGTTTTGACATGTCAGCATGATACAAGATAACATGTCATTTGCACAAGTCATCACGATTCTTTGACAAGTTCACATGTTGTCTTCACAAGTCATCATGGTTATTTGACATGTTAACATGCTGTTTGCACAAGTCATCATGATACTTTGACAAGTTAACATGCTGTTTGCACATGTCATCACAATAATTCGACAAGTTAACATGTCGTTTGCACAAGTCATCATTACATTTTGACAAGTTACCATGTCATTTGCACAAGTCATCATTATACTTTGACAAGTTACCATGTCATTTGCACAAGTCATCATTATACTTTGACAAGTTACCATGTCATTTGCACAAGTCATCAAGATACTTTGACAAGTTAGCATGTTGTCTGCACATGTCATCATAATAATTTGACATGTTAACATGCTGTTTGTACATGTAAGCATGTTCCTTTGACAAGACATGATGTAAATTGCACATGTTAACATGCTCATACGACAAAATAATATCATCGTTTCACAAGATAACAAAAACATTGATTACATAAGACAGTCACGGCGTTCCATACCCTTAGCTGAAGACTGATGGAAACGACCGAAAAATTGGGGTTGGAGTCGGTTTGTTACAGGGGTACGGGGTACGGTTGTGTTTTTGGGAGGGAAAGATGCAAATTATAAAAAGAAAAGGCAATTCACGAAAGAAAATTTGTTTTAAAATGAAAGGGTTTTTTTATGATTAAAAATGTTGTGAAGAGGATGTGTTATATTTTTAATAATTAAACATTTTGTGACGAGGATGTGTTATATGGGACATGGAAGGCAGATGCAGTTACACCATGTTTATAACATGGCTTCGAGACCGAGTGTCTAATTACCTTTACTATCGTGAAGTTTGTCTGATAGAAAAACGTCTTTGATATATTTTGCAGGGAAAACTTTATTCTGTAAATCATAATGAAATATTGAACTTCTAAGCTAGTGTATCATTATTATCTCAGCCTTTGTTAGCTTGATGGTTGTTATTTTAACACCTTAACTATATGCATACTACTAATTACTATTCAACATAAATTTATGTCTTAAAAGCCTAGTAATAATAGACTTTACTATCTCTAACTATTTCGTTATATTTACGAGGGGTGATTCAGAAATCATAGAATCAACAATTAATCATTTAATGTTCATATAACAAACATCCTCTTATACAAGAAAAGAAAAAAGAAAAAAATTACAGTATGATCAGCACGTGCATAACTATAGCAGCATAGTTATCTCGTACAACATATTAGACAAATGCCATTACATTATATATCAAGTTCTAAGTCATAGCTCACCTTTTCTGTCCCAGGTATAGGAATTTTCATTGTAAGATTATTCTGGAAGATGGAATTTTGTAAATTCAAAAACGCTATAAGATTGGTCGATTCAGTCGTTGATTGGTCCACGGTTCCTAAAATAAGTAATAGATATATCTTATATGAAAATAGCTCAAAGTCTGTTTGTAGGAAAGTAAAGCCTCGAATTGCAAAATTTTTTGATTTCCTTAAAATACATGTTATCCAAAAAGATAATTTTACTTGGTATATATTTTAAAATAATTCAGTATGTCACAACATTTTAATGAACGTAAATAATTTTTAAATTGTCATTCAATTATATTTTATTGCAGGAACAGATTCGGACATTTACACAAACTTACTTGAATAAGAAATACATGTTGTATGTTCTTGATTTGCACCATCCGGTACATGTTGTATGCTTAGCAAACACTGGTTGCTGGAGGTACATACATAAAAACTGTTACAAATGAAATCTGTATTACTAAAGCACGTAGCGGCACACTGGCTTGGACTTTGGGGAACAGTTACAACTTTGTCGACATGTTCTGGAACATATCCACTCTTCAGTCTGGTGAAATATACTGTAAGATGCATAAACAAAAATGAAACATAAATTTGTATGTTATTTAATGAATAACACATAAATAATTTCGGATTTAATAATGAAATAAATAGCGCATTCATCAAATGTGTTAAGTTTCAGTTCATTTAGATATGTTCAGGAAAAAACTGCTAAGAAGGCCAGATTGGGTATTTCGTGAACAAATCAAAAGCACTATTTTTAGTTATGCAGCCTAGTAAGGAAGCTTCTTTCATTGCAGCATATTGTTTTTGTTGTATTTCTTAATATTGACAATCATATTTTTCTAGTTCTTCCTTATATAAAGGTTGACAAAATAAAAGAAGCAAGTGGTAGTTCCGTAAAAACACAAATATGATGTAAATGTAAGTTCTATTTTTAAAACACATGAAGTCATACTTTTTCACAAGAGAGAAATAATCAAATAAGTCTAATTTGTCTAATGCTAATCTCTGACCATTCCTCAAATGTCACTTTATTGTACAGATGAGCAAAAAGAAATTGACCAGCTGAGTGTAGATAGTCTGTTTAATTAAGGTGGTAACTTGGTTATACAAAGGCATTCACAAACGTTTAAAATAAAACAATATGCGAAAACAGCTATCAATTTCGTTTATAACTAAAATGTATTAAAAGTGCTTACACAATTTGTTCGGTTGTTCAACAAGAGAACTTGTTAGATATATATTATCATTATCATGATCAAGACGTGTTTGTTGAAATCTGTGTATAGATGCACCAGATAACTTGGACATTTTGAATGTTGCTTCTATCAGAAATATTTTAGTACTGGTCCGTAGATATTCTTCATATTTTCCTGCAAATCGTCGAAGAAAATAGAATTTTATCAAAAAAAGATTATGTTCTTTTCCTGTTCAATGGCGTCTAATGAGCTGATTATTAAATAACTTTAATTGTTTGTCATTTGCACAGTTAATAAAGGTATTCTCAATTAAAGACATCTTAGATTGCTAAATATAACACTTGCGTTGTCAACTTTGACACTTCAAGAATTTAAGCTTTTGGAATCCTACCTGGAAAAGTGATTTGAAACTGCTTTGTATTTTGTGTTTTGTAGCAATGTGGCACGTCAAAAACAGAAAGATCTGGATGTCCTACATCGAAGTTGTAGAAATTATATTCCATGTAGTATGTTGGCTGCAGGATAATTGTATAAATATAGTTGCTTATTAATAAGGATTGTTTACACAGCAATATGTGAACGCTTTTAGTTTTGGAAGCAACGAAATCTTACATGAAAGATAATTACACGCGCAACGGCTTAGCATTAACCTGTACGTTTTCAACTTAAAAAAAGTATTAACACAAAAGAAAGAGCTTAAATTCATCTTAAATAAAATTAACTGTTTGGGATTTGAAAAATATCAGTTGAAAAATGAGATGAACTAAAAAATATAAGCAACACAAATATACTGAAACACTTTAAGGTGTTATAACAAAGACAAAAAGAAAATAAATTGAATTGTGTGAATTTAAACCTGAAGGACTGTCACTTCGAGTCTAACAGGTTGACCGATTGCACCTCCTAAATATCCATCACTGATTTCCATCCAATCATCCTAAATGCAATATTTTATATAAACATTGTATACTTATATAAATAAATCAATGACAAACGCGAAATAGTAATATATTTAATAATAATACGGCATTTAAACCTCTAAATATGACCGTTAGCATATGGAAAGTACAGTTCATATATTATTTCACAAGGTTACTTAGATTCAGCGTTTTGATGAAGCACACATATATGGATGAACCACATAAATAGTATTTATAAATGTAATTAATATATGATATATACTTTATGTCATTTTATCACGTGGTGATTAAAGAAAATGGCTTATATACACCTTGCTTAATAAACCAAAGAATATGTAAATACGTTTACCAACATATATAACAATGAAAGAAGATGATTATTTTTCATTAAGGAACTACGATTGTACATGTTTGAATAAAGGAATAATTTTAACAACATTTGTTTTCCCCCTTTTAAACTTGTTTTGAAAATTATTAAAGGAAAACTAATTTATCAATATATTACAAGTATATACTTACAGAAAGAAAGGAATATCGGAATATTGCATTTACGGGTTTGTTATTAAAGATATAATCTTTCCGTAAAGATTCAAATACGTTGCATGCCATTCCACGGACAGTTTGCTGCAAAATAAACATTACAGTATTAAACGCAACTGACATTTTTTGTACTATTTTAAATTCAGGAAAGTTAAGACGATGTACGACATATTACAATCATGACAATATTAAATATGAACTAAAGTCAGCAAAAGGCAAGAAACATGAATATTAAATTCAGGAGTAGAAGCATAAATAACAAATTCAACAAATTCAAAATACAATTCAGAGAACAAGCATGAAAAATAGTCAAAGAGGAAAAATCAGAATACAAAAATAATAAAATTTCAAACTAACTCACTTGACCAACAAAAAAGTACGAGTCGTCAATAAGGAATAGTTGTAAGGGGTCTTTTATGAAAAGTTTGTATGTTGAATTAACTGACTGATTCGGAGACATATTTGCACCAAAATCAAAGTCCCCAATCTGAGTTACTGTGCAGTTACGATATGCTTTATCTGTCACGTATTTCATACCTACAACAATAAACATATGACAAATAGTGACCTTACTTAACTGATAATACACAATGATAGCTTGCCTTTCAGACAACATTATACACAACAAATTATTCGATTCTGTGATTTTAAAAAATTGTACTGTCTGCAGATGATTAGTATTGAATTTGTATATATGTAATGCCATAAAGTGATTGTAGATTCTATTATGAGTTAACGTTTAAAAATACTTAATGATATATGTTTGACTGTATTATATGCTTTTTGGTAAGCATGGGAATATTGCCCGGATGTATTTTTGAAATCTTGTATTTGCAGCTAACTCAAACAGGCAATGAATTGTAATACTACGATAGTTTAAGCATATCCTTAAACGTACCCTAGTATAAATACTTATTTTTTTATTTGTATTGTGCAGGGCGTTATGATTTCTACTGCTCAGAATGTTTACAAATATAAGTACATGTAGATAGGTAATACAATATTTACCTGTATTGTAATCTTCTACTATAGACAAGGGATGGGTAGTATAGTATGGGTATATAGCGCGTCCATAATGTGGGTCATAACGGATCATTTTATAGCCGTCATCATAACGTACCTGCAGTGTAATTTTATACAAACATGACATTCAATTAAAACAATAGTATTTAGTGTCGATATAAAAACAATCTAGTGTGAAAAGTCATATCGATAAAACGAATGTGCTGTTATTCTATAAACAACCTGACGTTCAGATATAGTTACTAATGTTAGAGTTGCATACTTTTATAGTGTACACGTGCTCATCTGCAGGTACTGACACCTCAACGTCGTAGCTGTAGGCGCCCGACAATTGGGCGGGTACATTCACGTCACGAGTCACCCAGCCTTAAAATGAAAATAAATACTTAAATCAATAGCTATAAGATTATTACAATATGTATTGCTATGAATGTTTAAGCGATTATTCCCGTGACATTTACATGTATGTAACCGCTGTAACATTTTTACTTTGCACACTATGATAAAACATAACTAAATATTTTAAATTTCACCTAATAAGGTGAACTTCAGTCTGTATGGCGGGCTTACTGGTAGTTCAAAATTCTGTACCAACGCTGCCTGTCTGTGGATACCAAATGTTTATTTGAGTATTTGAGATTTTTTTTTTGAAAAATTCTTTTAAAATAAGATGATGATGTCAAAAAATCAATTTCATTTTCCCTCGGAAAAATGCTTTGTTTAATTAGAATGAAACGACATCGTGTAAGCAAATACTTACCAAACGTCAATGTTACATCAACGGCCGTATATACCTGAAAAAATATACAACATGTCTGAAACCATAACATTGTTAAAAAATATACTTTCCTGCTGAAATACAGTTCCCTTCCATTCCTGCTGCTACACTACTTACATTTTATCAGGTATTTGAATAACAAAGATTGATTTATCAAATCAAGAAATTGAACTTTTTCCGACAAGCAATTTTACTTCATGAGTGAAATATCTTGTCTTGCAGATTTATTAAAAAAGGTCTTTGCTTCAGAAAACAAATTTCACTTACTTTATCACCAAATCTGTTTAATACTAAAGTATTATTATACACACTTGTCCTCAGACGTTTATAAGCATCAGCAATGCTCTTTTCTGGTGGAATGCCGTCAACGTTTCCTATATTCATACGAACACGTTTAAAAATCTTCTAACGTATAAACTTACAAAAAATATTTAACATTTTAGAATAAGAATATGCTTAATTTCAAGCGACACATAACAACTAATTCTCTAGGTACTGCAGTAATCTATGTGCTTTAGAAAAGCATATGTAAGTCTGATTGCAACGGTATCAGCAACAGTGACAGGTCTGTCCCAAAATATTTTTACTAAAATTAACAACCGATTGCCTCTAAACAATAGCAGTCTGTTATTGAGATTATTGTCTGTACCTTAGATTTACAAAAAGAAGAGAAAACGGCCATTCAAGTTTTGTCAGTGTAAATGGTAAATGCCTTTTTTAAAGTTTTTGCTGGGTTTAAGACAAAATGAATGACGGCTTTCCAGCTTTTTTTATTTAAGAATACAGAGCACTCCCTTGTAGAACCGACGACCTGGACGGACGGATAGCTTCCTCCCGCTTACATTTTCTTGTTGACAGGCATGTGTTTCAAAACTAACATCATTAACCACTTGAGCACAGATGCCACGAAATGACTTAAGGGGAATAAGGAACGAAAAATAATGTACTTGAATAATGGTCGCATGTTTTAACGGTGTTAAGTACAACACCATCATCACTGTGCATCTTGCTGAGATGACACGATGAATCATCACTGCAGACATCAAAACTATTACAAATAAAACTCGGGTTGTTTACACAATCACTCGCACATTTTACCGGACTTGATGTGTTATATATTATCTGATCGTCACGTCTTTCCATTGCCTTGCCAACGATTTTTGTAAATTGTGCTGAAATAACAAGATATGTTTATACGGTATAGTCTCTGCAGAGCAACATCATTTGTGAGACAGATGTTTTGATTAATGCCGAGAAGTATTGTTAATGAGGTTACAATTATCGTGAACTTTTAATTTGTGAGTTACTGTTGCAGTTGTTGTAAAGAGGTTGTTGCTCTTCAGAAAGATTTACATAGGTTATATTGTGCCGCATGTTTACACCGGCATACATCACCCTTACTCCTACGGTATTTACGTATACTCCAGCCCATTTATTGTGCTATAACCTTTCAGAGAACTTCATAAAATATCTGTTTAACCAGTTAATCAGAAAAACTATTATACGTCTGCGCAATTTGACTTTGAATGTTGCCTGCTTAATTTTAGTATTTGATACGTATTCTTACTTCTTATTTATTGTTTAAAAATACATTAATGCAGAAAAAGTACTCAGAAGGTCAAGTGTTAAAAAAATATAACTAATGGTAAAATCAAATCAATTACCAATCATGTATAGATGTTTCGTGAGTATTTCCCATCAGTCAAACAACAGATTTTATCAGTGATTAATAATGTATATATTTTTGTAGCAAATATCGTCATTTTCATCTAAAAGTAAACCTTAATTTTTGTTTCAAGAGGGTTTTGTTTCATATTCTAATTACCCGAACGAACGAACAAACAATAAACAAGCACATCAACAAATATTCTCTATACTAGTATGTAAAGTGATATTAAAAATAATTATTTAATTGATAGAATGTTAGTATTGTTTTGATATCGAACTATTGAACTCAGTAATACCAGTATAAAGTACAGTAAAAAATCCCATGAGACACTGTACACGATACGTACTTACAAAGCGATAAAAATCTGAGGTTGAAAAGGGTTTTAATGATAAATTTGTTGATAGCTCGTTAATAGTTCGTTTTCTGATTCTGCATTTTTCTCTCCAAGTTTATATAGGTAGTAATTGTAGTCTATTGAGCAACAAACATGTGATTTTGGTTTTCCTAATCGTTCATTAATAAGTACCTAATCTTGGTTCAAATATTTATGTATGTAACTTACAAAACACATTGTCTTTCACATCTAGTGTCATTTGACTTTATTTGTTCGCTTTGGTATTAAATTGACATTATGCTAATTTTGTTTCAAATTTAAGTTGAGCTGAAGTAACGATATATTGTTAAAGAGGTGATTGACCAACAGCTTATATTTGAAAATGTTAACGATAAAATTCAAATCTGCCTAAAAAATAAAAAAGACAGCCTAATCTTTTATAAATTGAACGTTTCAGGTAAATTCCAATGGATATTAACAGAACTTTCCTTGGGCCACGTGGGTTATTTATCGATAAAGCGAAGTAAATTATAAAATTGAAAGGAGGGCCGGCAAAATGTAATTTTATTTTGATTTTTATGAGTTCACTCACTTTATACCCTTGAATAAATGAATTGTGGATGATTAAGTTACAAAATCTCAAAATATTGGGCAACATTGACAAGAGCCATGTCAACATGGCCATCTCCCGCCGAATGTGTTTGCTCATTGGAAGAATGTATATGTAGTAGAGCAGAATAATTCAATTTTAAGAGGTCTTTTGGTAATGAAAACTGATGGCTGAAGTGATAACAGATTTGAAACCTATGTGAATACTAATGGCTGAAAATAACAAAGGGTAATAACTGAAAAATAATGCAGGGTAGGTTATCATTCTTGTGTGCTGCACCCCTCCTCAGTAACATGTATCCACCTATGAAGTTTCAAGTTGATACCTCAAATAATTTTGAGATAAGCTCCGGACAAAATAGTATGAAAAAGAACAAAGGGCAATAACTCAAAACTATATAGGGAAGAGTTATCATTCTTGCGCACAGCATTCCTCCTCAATAAGATCTATCCACCTATGACATTTTATGTTGACATCTCAAACACGTTTGAGTTATGCTCCTCTCAGGTGAAAAAATAAATACGAAAAATAACATAGGGCAATAACTCAAAATTTATGAAAGGTAGAGTTATCATACTTATGCACTGCACACCTCCTGAGTGAGATCTATGCACCTATGAAGTTTCATGTTGATATCTCAAAGGCTTTTTGAGTTATGTTCTGGACAAAAATTAATTTTGAAAAATAACAAAGGGCAATATCTCAAAAATTATGCAGGGTAGAGTTATCATTCTTGTGCACTACACTCCTCCTCAATGAGGTCTATCCACCTATGAAGTTTCAAGTTGATACCTCAAATACTTTTTGAGATATGCTCCGGACAAAAATGTCGGACGGAAGGACGGAAGGTCGGACGGACGGACGGAGACTTTTTATATATCCCCCGCCGCCTTTTCGGCGGGGGATAAAAATGCCGCAGGACCTGTTTGATTGAGCCTGTTCATAGAGTGGTTATTTAAAAATACCGTCCATACCCTTATGATACGGAAGCATATTTTATTTCTACCATATAATTACACTGACATATAAAGGTTCTGTGCCCTGCAATAGTCTCAAATCGCAACATTTAAGATCACTTGTTTCTTTTGATTGTAAACTAATGGCTTACCATCTTACACAAGCACCATTTCATAATCTTACATGTTTAAGGTAGCCCTCCTTAAGTTGCTTGTTGAAACATATTCGGTATCACATTTGTTTCATTTTTTTATCGTGTTCCATTGTTTCTACTTGCTTCAAAAATACTAATCAGAACTTTCTTCTCATATTTTTGCCTATCTTTTATTTTTACGGACATAATAAATTTTTAATATTTCTGACATCATGTCGAGAATTAATATGTTTGTTACGATATAATTCTATGATATTTTATCATTTATGTTTTCATTTACAAGGACTACAGTGGATATAAAGATGTAATTTCTGTATTATAATGCGGTAATGTGGCACATGTCATGGTTAATACTCATATATCAATATTGTATATAACAGCTTGTCTGTGACCATTGTATGCTCTGTTATAACAGAATTAATCTATTATTCTCGAAGGAATCAGTAAGAGCAATCCAGGGCTATGATTTAAATAATTTCATTTCTTGATTTTGTTTTCTCTATTTACTTCAAAGTAATTTGTTAAAATGTTAAAACTCCAGTTTCATTCTTTTATCTCATTAATCATTATGATAATATTAAAATAACTGAACTCACCAGAATATGCTGTTTTATCCAATAATGTTGCACTCACAAACAGATTGGCATCATCATAATCTATATTGATGTTAGAAATTCTCAGTATTGAAACCTGCATGTTTTCAGCAAGAATGAGATGCGACCATTCTTTTATTGTTGGAACCTCCTTTGCAACCAATGTACCTATTAAAATGGAATAATTTAATACCAATCGAACCAACATAGATAAGCTTTGTAAATATATTATATCAATTTGATAATTGCATTATACAAATTAAAAGTGTCGATTGTGAATATTTTGCAAAGGACATCAATAAAAAAAGTTTTTTTGTTGTTTTTTTTGTGGTTAGTATGAAAAATTTAGATTTAGTTCAGGCAAGAATCACGGTTTAAGATAGTTCGTGTTTGCTAAATGATAACTCATAGTACTGTTTAATAGATGATTAAAATTCAAAGTCAAACTAGAATTTAGCATATTGACCTATAGTTTTGTAGATTCAAGTTAAAAACAGAATATAGCGAATTTGTATTTGGAAAGGTAAACAAAAGAATACTCTCTTACCTGGAAACTTAAGTTGAAAACTGATTTTATTTGCTTCAAAAAAGCATTTGCTGATATCAAAAACATCGAGACTAGGCGGGTTAGGGTCGAAGTCGACAAAGTTAAAAGTGGTACTAAAGTCTCTCTGAAAACATATAGATTATGTACCTGAATATTGTCTTTTTAATACATAATACAAAGTACATGCATGACATAAAAGTACTGTAACTTGATCATATAGATTATTGTCATTTAAGGTAATACACTGTATATACTGTAATGTATCAATAATATGTCAAGAAATTAATGTTGACCCTACCCAGATACGCGTAATTACTTCTTAACACTTTCTGAAATTTAAATATTTTTGTTATATCTCTGAATTGAAAGTGTCTTACTAGTTCTTTAAGTTAAACAATGAAATAAATTTGTACCTCGTAAACATAGATTTCCATTTGTACAGGAACAGATGTGCTTGTCATTCCTTTATCAGAGTCGTGAAAATTTGACCATTCTTTCTGAAATAAAATAATAAGTCACAAATGACTTTAATTTTATATGACTTTTTTGGGAATGATAATATGTTTGGAATTTTTAGCATTCATATTTTACTGAAAAAGAAATCCTTTTATAGTGCGTACTTATTTTACTTTTTGTTAAAATGTTACAATGGTGTTTCTAACTTTAGAACAGACCATAATTAATTTCGAGATATATGCTGTTTTACTAGAAGTTTTCAGTGCAACATTTTATTACTAAATAGCATTGCTTCTGTGTGCTGACATTGCTAATGTTGGCCGTTGTGTTAAGAGACCAACATAAGACACTGGCAAATGGCATTGTGATTGTGTTTTATGCCAAAACAATGCCTAATTGATTCTCCCTTTTCTACCTTTTAAACACATGCACTGTAGCAGTTTTCAGCGCAAACATCCCTGTAGTTTCATATATCGCTTTCTACCTAATACGACAGATAATTTAATAATTCTCTTAACACCACTTATCTTCACATAAAGCCATCAGGAATAAGCCATGGAAACGTTTTATTGTGAAAAAGTATCCAAAATGAATTGAAATATAACGTATGCAAGAAGAAAATTTTATAAAATATGTATATGCACCTAGAAAAAAAAATGACATGAATCTCCGGCGACTTCATCATATTGCTCGAGAGACAGGATAAATTAAAAAAAAATCATTGTAAGCTGTCGTTTTGTAAAGGAAGCAATCTGTTTCTGTTGATAATTTAGTGAAAAAACTATCAATACATTAATGAAGAGCATATGCTAATTTTAATCAAACGTCTAATTGATTGGACATAAACAGATAAGATGGAAACATTTCAGAACGCCCAAAATGGCAAAATTAAAAATTTTGGCAGTCACGGTTTGTTTAAGCCTTACATGAACGGTAATTGAACATCCAATGTAACGTTTCTGGACCCTCAGCACCGACTAAGCAGATATCAACAATTAAATATGTTTAGTGTAAACGTTATAAACACATGTGTGTCCAGCACAAGAAAACAAGTCAATATCAACTTTTGTCATTCTAAATATAGAAGCTTAATATAAATTATCAAGCAAAACATATCAAGAAATATGAAGAAACATGCAGATATTTTGAAAACGTAAGACTATTTATTAAAACTTTATCCCCTATCAAATTTTCATTTGACTGAGTACCACCTCGTCGTTTCCTCGCGAGGATACATCATTTTTTTCACTTGGGGACCATAACCCGCTTTTTATGACATTGCACCACACAAGAGTCACATTTAAGGCTACGTAAGAACACATCTGCGACAGGCGCTTAATTTAAGATAACACCATTTTCAATTAAACATATTGCATTATGCTCAAATCAGCACTAACCAAGTAAGCCACGTTTTCAACTTTCTCGTCTAGGTAGGACTTTTAAGGTTTCCGTTTTAACTATTCTGATAAATAAATTCATAGCCAAACTAAATACATAAAAATAGGCCAGTGAAGAGCGAAGGGCTAACAAATTGTAAAGAAGTAAAACATATTTTGCCAGGACGACATACATGCGCTAAAGGTACTTACAGATGTAAAGTAGAAAGTGATGGTACAATTTTGGTTGCTTATAAAACCGTTGATTGTAAGGTTCTTCGTTTGGGCAATGTAGGTATCGCACAGTATCCCCCTCACTGGATTCTACAACGTTTGTAGAAAACAAGAAGATGAGAGCAACAAAAGTTTGATGACGTCATTAATATTTCAAAAAGATTAAAAGGTGAAAGCTGAATTGTGGAAATGTTTGATTATTTAAAATAATGCAAAAGATAGAAATACGATATATCCTATATAATTGTATGCGTCGTGTTTACATTTTTATTACATTATAATACTATATATAAATATGCTACAATTAGCAAAATTGAAAATAAAACATGAAGTATGTACCTGTCCAATGTAAGTGTAATTCCAGTCTAAATGAAACAGCTGAAGGGGATTTTTCAAATCAATTATAAATGACCCATTGTACTTGTTAGTATTGAGGGACGTGTCTATTAAATTGGTGGACAATGATGTCGTCGTACAATTACCGTAAGATTTATCGATCACATATCGAACACCTGAAATCATAAAATCTTCTTAGGTTTCTCAGACTATAATCTTTATAATAATGCTTACTTAATCGTAAACTATGAATTAACACATCGTGATTTACAATTAATAAATAAAAAATAAGTTTTATTGCGTTGACGTTGACGAAAGTGTCTGTTATTTTGTAGTTACAGAAATATATTTGACAATTATGAAATTCTTTAAAAAGTGTGCTTTATTTTGAGATGATAAGTTGAACTAACCTGTTTTATAGTCATGTATCTCAGTCAGTGGGTGCATTGTATATATCGGATATAGAGGTATGAGTGGATGATAATCTCGTCGGAATAATTGGAATGACCCATCATACCATGTCTATAAAATACAGTTTAACCTTGTTGAGGAATGAACAAAGGAAAATATAATTATCTACGGAAATATTTTGATTGATTATATTTTTGTTTTGTATATAAACCTTATACATTGTAATCATTATAAATCTTAATTTTGTTTGATTGGTAATAAAGAAGTGATTATTGTCATATCACAGACTCACATCTTCAAATGTAATGGCTGATAAATCTGGATATATTCTCTCTGTTCTGTAGTAGAATCTTTTCGGTAAAGTTGGTAATGGCTTCCCTTGTTTTCTTCCCGGACAGAAAACATTCGGAGGTGTCTAAAATGTTCAATAGAATAGATTTATAATGGGTTTTCTTCAAGGTTAATCTCTTTTTAAACAGTATAATGTTTTATGTCTGAAATTTCATTTTACATTTGAAAGTTTAATTTACTAGTAATTAATGCCATTCCTTTTTGGTTATTGTGCAAACACCCTAAATATTGGTTTGATGTGTACTTCGTGGTTGACCGCGATAGGTTTTAATTCTGTTATATGGGAAAATATATATGTAGCAATCAAAAATTATCACATACTAAAAATAAAAATATTATTCAGTACTGAAATTGGTTATGCTTTTACAATTAATTGTAAATGTGTCAGAGTTAAATCGTATACATATACATGTACAGTGCGTTAACTGGAGTGCAGGTATCAGTTACCCGCACTCCAGAGCAGGCCCATTGATTGGCTTATTTTTGCTGGGGTTTACTTATTGTGACGGCAGAGAACGGGAAAAGCGATAGAAATATCATATTCAGATGCTCGTTCATTGGTTCCTTTTTTCTAGGGTTTCATATTGTGACAACAGGGACCCTGTTTGACTATGATACAAGAAAGAAAGAACATCAAAACACTCGGCAATCTGATAAATACTCGGGGGCTACGCCTCCTCGTATAAATCAGATAGCCTCGTGTATTTACTTAAATTTCAATTTACAACACAATTCATGGGTCAATCAAGTCTGGCTCAGAGGATTGATGAAAATATCTAATCAAACCATTTTGGAATATGTTTTACTTATCACAAATTAAAAAGAAAATGCAAATCCAAGTAACCAATAAAAATAAGGAAGTAAAATTGTATAATGTTAAAATATTACATATAACCTGGAATACTGTATCATCTATGGCGTCACTTCCGGGTTTGTAATTGAAGTAATCATAGACATGGTGCATATTATAAACAGTCCCATTGACAAACGTTTTATAACCTTTGACTTCCGCTTTCAGAGGAGCAGACGATACTGTTGATGAGGTAGACCAATTGCTTGCTGGAAAACCAGATAAAATAATTTTCAATATATAAGTAGAAGCTGTTATTGCAGTTTTATAGTGTGACAAAATATTGAAGTCATATATTCTATTTTTTATTTTATTTTTTATTCAAACTTAGAATATATGATAGTGATGTAAAAGTTTTAGGTTTTCAATTTATTTTGACAAATTTAAAACATGACACATCCTGATAATTACCGCTGAAATAGTAGTCTATTGTAAAATTATTCCACGATGGGATGCTGAGACAACTTTTCCAGTGGTTGGCGACTATACCGCGAACGTTCTCCTGGCCAATGTAAACCTATAATACGACAAAGTTACTTATTTTGCATATCAATAATAGATTTAATTGAGACAAAATATGAATATATAAGTATATAAGGTTTTAGTTTGTACTTAATATTATTTTAATATTTCACTTTATTATATAGTGCCAACGATTTAATAATGGCACAATTTTGTGAAAGAGATGTGACACTTTTAATTGTCTCTCATGAACAGACTAAATCAATAACATCTTCTCCTATCTAAATACTCTCTTTTCATAATCATTGATGAATATCCCTCTTTAAAAATTCAATATACTGGATATGCTTATTTATTTATTTATTTATTTATCTATTTCAATTTACCTCTCCAAACCGTTTTCCGAAATGTAGAACTGATTGGGTATCATTGATATGAGGTTTTCCCTGTGACATATACATCCCAAACCATTGTACATAATCACTTGTAGAAAGCGTACTTGTTGTACACGTATTCCCTGTAAAATTACAGTCACACACAATGGTCAACATCAATTGTATGTATATAGAAAGATTAAAAATATGTTTTGCAATGTGGTAAAAAAGGTGACGGCAACGGAGACAGTGCTTCTAACAGTAATAAAGTAGGATTTGGAAGTGATAGAGATGAGCGGAGTGTGTCTGATGATATAAGTTTACGCATCTTTCAGCCAAGTAAACATGGGACCCAGATCTGTTGTATCTACTAAGTCATTTAATCTCCGTCCTGTTTCCTAACATGATTTCTGTCGAGGTAAGCTAAGGAAACACATTATCTGGAGTAATTCATCAAAGTTGTAAGCATACACAGTAAAAGAGTAAAATAACTATGAATAAGATGTCGAAGTACTTTATGATGGACCTCGTGATGTCTATAGATATTAACGTTGTAGTGTTGAAATTTGCAGATGTCGTTATGTGATGTTTGTGAAAAAAATGCCACTTATATAAACAATCAATAAATGATACATTTCTCTAATACACAAGACAACATCAATGGCAATATGCCTTTTTAATTGTTTATATTTTTATGATAAGATTTATTATAACCGTATACCTGAAATTTCGTATATCTCATCTGTTATGAAGTTGAAAATAAGTTGTCCATCTATTCCATGTTCAAACAATGTTATTGTAGCTCTGTTACCTGGGTAATCGTAGTACCATTTAGCAGATATTGTCTTCTGTTTGTCTATTATGTTTACTTCAACATTTGTTTGAAATCCATCAAGAAGATATGGAAAGGCTGGACCTGTAATAAAAGTATGTTTTAAACATACCTGAATATGAAACCATTTTGGACATTTTTTAATGAAACCATCTACTGGTAGGTGAATTATTTATCATATGACAAGTGACGTTTTCATATACTAGTACACTGAGAGGTATCTGTATCTATCTTCCATTTAGTCAAACCCCTGCTGGGAACCTAGACTGTATTTCCTAGAATAGTTATAAATTCTAAACGCTGAAAATCAGGAAAAGGGAAAATCCATCGAGAGCAACCAAAACAAATGTCAAAAGACTTGGTTTGATTGAACATTTCTAAGGTCCCCCTAGCACCGGCTTTAGCATTATTCAATCTTCAACACAAGTAAAACTATCCCAAAGGACCAGAAAATACATTAACAAGGAGATTTTTAAAGTATGAACTAACAATATTTAGAGATAGTAAGGGAAAAGTTTTGAAAAATGTCACACAGCATGTCAACCTTCTGTTGTGAGTATTAAAATGTAAAAAAAATTCTCAAGAGGGTGTAGCACACTTATTTATTTTACCTGTTGCTGCTGTCGGCTTTATTTGGTCACATATACTGCTTGCACAAACCGTATGTTGATTAAGTAGAAATATTAGCAATGACACTTTCAGTGCTAACAATATAGGCCATTTGTAAATCACCTAAATGGAATACAAACATACATGTTTTACACATTGTAGCAGCAATATATGAACGAAAGTCAATTTAAACAGAATTTCTTTACAATTTTTGACAACAAGTATTGTTTACTATCAAAAATAAACATTACGAAAACTTCCTATACATGTATATTGTCCAACAATATTGACCTGGCACTTCATTATCGTAAAGGTCATTGTATAAACACTGGTATATAACGAATATATCGATATACTTGTTACCTTCAAACGTCAGTGACGTGATGTGTTTTAGTATAGATGCTGTTCTACCGATCTAAAGGTTTTTGGTTCGATTCTTTACCAATACCACGTTATAAAGATACACTATTTTTTTTTAATTTACATGAAATAATTAATTTGAAATCGTTTTACAATATATCTGGATAGTGATTGTATACAATTATATTGTTTTTATTTCATTCCATTAGAAAGTACAGCGAGTTAATTATACAAATCAATGATTTCAAGTCCATTTCACTGGCAGTGTCAGTCATACTGCCCATACTGACGGTTTCCATGTCAGCGCTCGTGTCATCACTAGATGTATCAGCAAGGTTTATAATTATTTTCTCCACGTCATGGTCTCTGTAGCAGTCATGTGTGTTGCTTTAGCATACACGCTTTATATGCAGGTATCAAGTATACTACACAGATAGTTAACACACAGTGAAAATAAGAATCCCTAAAGAAAATCCAAAACGAAAAATTTGAAAATGTTGCAGACTCGGTTTGCTCGAGTTTTAAAAGAACGATATTTTTAAGATAAAAAATAAAAATGGCTGCACCAGGATTCAAACCTACGAGTTTACGTCTATTTTCTTGCAGTGAAAGACTTTTACCGACTGCGCTAATAGAGATTCTTACATTAGACTATTTAGCAACTGGTGATTTACATTCATATCGATTTACAAATACATGTAGATCGTAACGTCTAATATTGTTGGACAATACACACCCCTGCCCATCAATGTTTTAACAAAAAATACTCACCGTATATATCATGATATTCTTTGATTACCGTTCTTTATAAATTCCAGATCAATATCCCTAAACTATTTAGACTAGCTTGGAATGGTAGCACCTATGTATCAAATGAAGATTTTATTTTAACTTCATTTCTTTACATCGTGACACTGTGTAAAATGTACATCATATAAAATTTTATCAAGTTTATAATAACATAATTTTATACAGACGGGTATGTAACGTTTGATAAGATAATTATAAAAGGGATAGAATCTAATCTATCGTGTACAGATATCATTGTTTACCTTTGTTAAATATTATAATTGTTCACTCATTTTATGAGTTTCGGATTAAAATGTGTAGCAAAAATATGTTAAATTGTTTTAAAATTTTATTTCAAAATTTCGGTATGTTCTGAATCTAGGGGATGTGCTGCTTTATTCTATTTAGAAATTGAAAATATAATTTGATAGAAATATAAATTAGTGATTGATGTTTTTGATTTTTATTTTATAATTTTAATTTGATAGCATCGAATGATTATTTTTTATATGCCATACCTAAAATAAACATTTGATTTTATTGATATGTTTGCGTTTTTGAAAACAGAAAATCTGCACCATGATATTTTTAGGATAACATCGACGGCTAGTTTGTAGATATTGTTGATAATGTTTGGTATTTAGATGTTAAATTTTCTTTTTGATAGTCTGACAGATCCAGTTCTGTTATATGGTTCAGATGTCTTGGAATATATAGATATAAGATGTTGATTAACTCAAGATAAAATGTTAATATGTACTTGGTGTAAAAATTAAACCCTTAGTTGTGCAGTCTTTGGGGAACTTAGTAAATTGTCTTTGTCAGTGTTATATAAAGAAAGGTCTCTAAAGCTTTGAAACAAATAAACAAGCGCATATTATTATATATGATGTAGGATTTTCATATTTGATTGAAAACTAACTTTTACGTTTTTTCTAAATTTAGCTTGATTATTAAACAACGCATAATAGGCCAATTTTTACAAAATTGGCATGAACAAATAGATAACTTGCCAAAACTCTATTACTTTAGGAGTTTTAAATTGAGAAATATCTAAATGCAATAGAAAATGACAAGAAAACGGTTGACATGTTTCAGACTGGGTTCTCATTCTTTAGAAATTGAAACTGAGATATATATACGTATATATATATAGAGAGAGGAGGATATTTGTCTGTTTTATGTAAGATGAAATTTTATTTCATCGATTGAAATTTAAAAACAGTATTCTCACGAGTGGCGTAGATAAATAAAATAATATCTTACACACAAAAATAACAACAATTTTTCTTTTTTATTTTATCCTATTTTTTTATTTTTAAATACAAATTCAAATGAAATTTCCTCGATATCAACTTGAATATCAAATCTGTTTTTCCCCACTGGTACCCCTCAATTTCAGACGTATTTCCCATAAATATATGAAGTCTTGAGCAAAAAAATGAGTCCAAAAATCAACGTTAAATGGTGGTGATATTGTCTATTTTATACAAAAAAAGAATGATTGCTTGTTTTAATAATTGAAACAAACAATTCTAGAAGAAGAAGAAAAAAAAAATTGCAACATGATGAGCTTAATTCCGTTATTTTTCGCGGAAGTTTATATGAGACTTATTGTCCTTTGAAAACCGAAATTTTAAAGTTGTGCGTTTCATGGAAGGAAAATTTAAAATGTGTTTGATTCCGAGGGATTTCATTTGCACTTGTTAATTCGACAAATATTCATAAAAAAGAAAACTCGGGCTGGTGACCGTCACTGCTTTTTACACATTGCATTACAGTAATTGCTCGTATAGAATACCTAATATGCCCAAATGTCACCAAGAGAAGTTTTGTATGCCGAAGGAAGTGTATTTTTCAGACTGCTTAAATGAAGTAAAAACAATAGACTTATAGACTATGTTTGGTGATAGGTTAACTGAATTAATTGATGTAATTTTTTCTATTACGTTTAAGATTTAATTTTTTTTATCAATTTCAGCTTTGGTTTGCCCTAAACAGCCCTGACAATGTCGGAATTGAAAGCTATGGTAAAATTGAGGTATCACATGAGGAAAATCTTTAAAAAGTTGTCTCTTCGTTGAAAAGTGTAAATTTATATTTTGATAATTTTCGCTGTGAAATTATCAAATATAATTTATGGATAAATCAGTAATCCACTCAAAAGCATAAAATAAATGGGTGTAAACAGAAATGAGAGAACGTGTAAACTTTGTATACAAAAACATGGTGGAATCAGAGTATCACCTTTCTGCTGTGTTGTCCATTTTATTCAGAATTAAGAAAAAATGTTTATTCATAATACACCCTTTCCTACATTGAATCAGTTTTATCACAAGAATAAACACATATTATGACAAATACTTGGAGTCTTGGACAAAGCCTTTGATATAGGAATACCATAGAACAAATGATGAACATAAAACGGTAATGTTACATGATTATTACAACATTGCAATGCTGGTATTTGTTTGTTTTTTTTTGTTTTTTTTTTTTTTTTGTTTTTTTTTTTTAAAACCGATATTTGAAATGTCTTTGTATCAGGAATTTATATGTGTCTATATCTGTACAAGTTTTTGTATGTAATGCAATGTTTGTCTATTTGCAACTAAAATTTGGACTTTGGTGATAATATTTAATTACATGTTGAGCCAAGTCACCAGGCAGAACTAATCATTTTTAGTATTCAAAAGTCATGTTCAATCCTGAACTACCAAAGTTGGACTTATATCAAAGTTTTCTCATTGAGTCGAGCATTGAGTCGAGCACTTTAAATTTTTGAAAATTGAATACTGCTCATGCTAGTACTAGGGGGCGTGAGTTGCACTTTTTCATTACTTCATGTAAAGACTCAATTAAACCGAGTCTGCAATTTTCATGTAATTTTGCTGATTTCAATGCTTCCGACGAATCACTTTTTCCAGATATTTATACATCACAACAGCAGGTGTCAAGTGTTGCGTGGCAGCTCAAAAAGTTGCTCCGTACTTCACTTCAGTATTATTATATTTTTCTGGGTCCTTTAGAATCATTGAGTACAGTACTTTAAAGTTTAAGTAATTGAGTGCCACTCAAGCCGGTGCTAGGGGACGTGAGAAATATTGCATTTTTTCGTTATCCCTCATGTACAGAGTCAATTAAACCGAGTCTGTAATTTTCATGTAATTTTGCTGTTTTCAATGCTTCCAGTGGATCACTTTTTTCCAGAATTTCTTAGTTGTTTTACACAATTATGTTACATACTTTTGTATGCTCATCTATTTCTGCACTGCATGTTAAGTCTTTACATTATCTACGTTGTTAACATTGCTTTTAATTTGATTTTAATAAGTACCTGTGTATTTAAATCAGAAATACGTTAACAGTATCTGTTATTCTTTCCTCACCTCACTGTTATAGTGAATTTAGAGTGTATTGACAATGATTCGCGTGTTGATCAGAGCAATGTCTATGATAAAAACCCCACCGGGACTGTCTATTGCCAATTGATTTTAGTTGAATATCAATTACCAAACCTTTTAAATAAAAATGTTTTTTTTTTAGTTTTATTGCTTTACAATTTTGTATTGTCCGTTTTATTGTATTTATAGAAATTAATGATTGTTAAGAATCAATATACATGTATTACAGTGTAAGTAAACATCGTTTTAAATTCAGTAAAAGCTTTTATTCGATAGGCTATAAAGCGGTGATTACAATTAAACAATAATTCTTATAATTAATGAAATTTAATACAGTACTTGGTATTTGGTATACTAGAATTCTTTGTTATATTAACGATTTACTCAAATAATGACTGAATATGTTTTCATTTAATTCTGTATTTGAATCATATTATGGTGAAACTTGGGAAATCTTAAAAAGCTGAACAGCTGTCCAAAAGCTTAAAGATATAAAATTTATAAATCATACATAGATCAAGTTGGACACTTAAAACGTAAAAATATGTGGAAAAAATAAAGAAATATACCAAGAGATCTATGTTTATTGTAAATACTCGGGTATTCACCTAATTGCACATTATGTTATATAATATATATTATATGATTTTCATAATCTGTCATAAGTTACGTCCTCATGCACTGAGATGACACAGAAAGATATAATTCAACTTATACAACTGATAGGCTGATAGTGGTAACATATCAAGAACAAATGCTATTGTGTTATAATATATTCCGGTCATTTTATTCGACATCATCTATTTAGTTGTTTTCGTATTTGTTACACACCTTCTTTTTGAATAAAAACATACTAGATGATTTTTAGAACGCTATCACTGAGTATATAGTAATAATTCCCTTTTTACAAAGAAATTGCAGTGTTTGAATTTTTAGTACAGCAATCAGCTAAAAGCTATAATAATTAGAAGCGATCGTTAGATGCCTTCTGTTTAGACAAAGCGTGACCATTATATCACAAATGTGACCATTGTATCACAAATGTAGAAATAGATTACCGTCAGATTTATTACGCAGTTCTGAATTGTCCTAGTAGAAATAAATTCCCAGAAACAAACAGACAGTTTGACAATGTCAATATACTGAGTAAGAAATCACTTGATTTTCCGTTGTAATTCAGTCTCTGGTGAGTTATTTAAAGCACGATTACTCTTCAAAGAACAATCCTTAAAGCAGTTAAGCATTTAATGTGACTTGATTTTTTCATTCAATTTAAAATAGCGCATATTGGAGGAAATTACAGCGTGTATCAAGCACTTCTATAAGGATATAGGGGGACAAAAATATTGTTGGAATAGACATTGTGGTGACAAGTTGCTTTTAAAGGTTTGAGAAAACAGTGCATATTTATATATTAACTGATACATAATATTGTTAAGCTGTCTTTAAAGAAAACATTTATACAGGAAAACGTTTCAAACAAAAACTACTGTTCAACTGATAATACTTACTGGTTTTTACAAGAATGCATAGACTCCGACGACTACGGTCTCGTTTACAAAAGTATGACCTTGCTAAAGAAATCGAGTGTTACACTATTGAACTCCCGAATCCACTGGCAAGACTGAAAAAGAGAGGTGATTGTGACAGTACTGACAATATCTCGCGGAATCAAAATATCTTCAAGGTAAGAGTTAGATAAATAAGAAGTGTATGAATTGTTGTTTCGTTTATGTCCTTTGTATTAAAA